AGACAAACCACTAGGCTCAATATCGTCGAAATCAACGACCGTAAAAGACTGTTGCTGGTCTCTTAAAGAGACCGCAGTGCAGTTAGACCACTTCATAATATGAGTACAAAGTACAAAGGGACATCGATGGCCGATGCCGCCGACAAACTGGCAAGACAGAGCACTACCAAATATCTGCTAGCAGATAGGAAGCGGGCGTTGGCTACTTGCAGCTTCTCACACAAGAAATTATCGAAGTAAATACAAACAGGTAATGGGATAAGCATTACTTGCGAGGAAAGTAGACTTCTGTACTTTCCCAAAAGTTCCGCAAATACATTTCCTTCCCTTCCTGCACCAGAACCTCCTTCTCCCTCTTTCTCGATCTCCCGGAAGATTCAGCATTCCATCCTTCTTACCGAAAGCACCTGAACCTCTGTACCCTCTTCTCCTCTTCCCCTTCTGTGAGCGGAGAGCATAACCCGGCTGAGAGCGTCGTCACAACCTACAGAATGTCGAGATTGATATGGACATGTCGATCCAAGAAAAACTCGGCAGAGTTATACCGATTCAGCAGTACAGTACTGTGTAGACACTGGCAGATTGGCACACACGCCTCCAGGCCGTCAATCCCTCACAATGATGCCTGCAGAAGTGGTCGGAGCTAGGAAGAGGAGAAGTCGGTTTCGCCCGTGTTCTGCCACTGCCCGGACCTTGGAAACCACAGACTACGGTCTATCGGGGCCCCATTTCTCACGGACCTTTCTGAGCCATGCGAAATCAAACAGAGATCTTGTCAACATAAATATACAGCCAAGCCATCGGAATGATTTCCACCGTGTAGGCAGAGAGAAGGGCCCATTGCAACGGATATGTAACAGGCCCAACTGAGCCCTCCAGATACCGCTTTTACAAGATTTTTACTTGAATTACCAAAATTTATAATATTAAGTACCCGAATTAGCCAGTATTTTTACTTCTTCGGGAGGGTTTAGTTAAAATTGTTAACTGATTGTGGAGGGCAGACAAACTACAGTTATTTTCTCTGTGAGTGTCTATTACCTAAGCTCTACCTAACCTTGCCTAACCCACTGTTTTCCATTGCCGTTTTCATTTTTTTTTGTATAGCATGGACCTGTTTTTGTCGAGAATACAAAAAAAAAATTGCCTAATGAATGACAAAGCTTCGACTTTTTTAATACACGAATAAAAATTCGTATGAAATGTCATTCTCATTCAACTGATATTTTCACCCTATCACCATTTTTTTAAATTTTTAAAAAGGACTTGTGATATATTGCAAATTTGAGGTATGAGGATGTGTTCAACAACATCTTACAACAAATTTATGTCTCGTGCAAAGTACAAAATCACTGTTGCATAATAATAATTACAATAATTACATTATAGCTTGATATACGTATTTACTATATATTCTGTTATCCAAGTATTGTAATAGCTTAATAATAAGAAAAAGTTTGTGTCTATCCAAAATAATTAACATTAATTAATCAACATATTTGATTTATTTAATATCTTACCTCCACAACCACCACACACTTTAATTAGAGAGTTAGGATGAATTAACTGATGATTATTGAAATCGTTTGACGATTCGTCCATGAACGATAAATGAGACGAAGAAATATTTGAGCTGGTCTCGACAATATCCTTATTGTTGGCAGTATTTCTATAACCAATAACTACGGGAGCAAAATTTTCCGGACTTGAGGAATCTTGGGGATGTGCCACTAGTAAATCTCTATATGAATGGAACGATGCATTCATTGCAAAAAGTACTTTAATGACTTATATTGTTAGGGTCATATATCCTGTTTATAGTTTTAACCTGCAAATATGTAAGAAAAGAATATATATATTAAATAAATGCCGGCTGAATAAATAGTACTATTACCTATCCATTAGGAAACTGAATAAAAAGCATACGACTAGAGTTGGTGTACTCTCCAGGTATGAAAGCAGTTAAAGGCTAACATCTAACTTGATGAGGGAAATAGAGAGAGACCGAGAGAAATGGAGGAAACACCTGATTGTGACTAAAACACGGTATCAAGTTTTTCATAGGAAGACACACTGAATGTCTTTCGACCTGTTTTTACTTGTGGTTGTAATAATTATCTTCAGCAATCCAGTATCTTCAATATTGAGAGTGCTAATCTCCAGTGTTAAGACAAAAATAGATTGCAAGCGGGTGGCCTACGCAGGCGAGAAAGAAATCATCTTTTCGGGCAAATACCCTCAAGGACTTTGCGATCTTCCAAACTTCCAAAACTCTCACGGTCTAAATGGTCTCAAATCGAGTGCAGACTAACATTCAGCGTTGGTGCTAGTTAGGTTAAGTTGGTGGAAGCGAAGATAGAACTTAAACAATAAAAAAACAATAAAGAAAAGGAGAAGAAACCCAATACCGCCCTCTAAACATGAAGTTCACTACGTCATTAATTAATATGTTGTTAAAGTAGCCCCCGACTTCTAGCCGTTTATCGAAACCCAATCTTCGGATGACACCAATGAGTTGGTTCTTCGATGAGTTGGGAAACAAAGGATATTCACTGCGAGCAAAACTACGTGCATTGTCTCCTTAACTATTCAAGAACCAGGATCTATGAGACCTAAATTATTCGAGTAGATTCTGATCTATGAGGTTAATGTCAGCAAAATGGGACCAATACATTATTAAATTCATTAAAGAATTCGTAAATAAGTGACAGTTTTCTAATGCCTACATTCCATGTGCTTTAAGCAAGCCATCCACAGGCGCACATGTTCGTCGAATTTCTTATGTTCGACGAAAATTCGATTGCGGATAGCATACCAATTTTCTTGGTTTTAACTGAGATATGACAGCATTCTATATTTTCTTCCATTGTCCTAAGCACCTATTCTGCCACTGCTGCTTTGATAAAGGTAATTTAGATATTTTAGGGTATTTAGGCAGGCTCTGGTTTTTACTTACTTTATTTACTATCCGAAACGTTTCGTTATCGTTTTTAGGTGCTCCCGATTTCTCAAATTTTCGTCATCGAAATTTTTCATTTTCTCATCGATTCTGGCAAACAAAAACCGTTGACCTGGTTGTATCAAAATATACAGCGTGATATGAAATATTTCTTGCCAGCGTTCCGATCAGCTGTTCTTACGAAAACGAAACGGTTGTGGCCCTGACCAATTATTCACGAGCCAAACTTGAGGTTGGGTTAAGAAAAAATTATTTATTAAAGAGACAAGCTATATTTCCCTAGTAATGGTATACAATTTACGTTGATGCATACAAACTGGTTTTCATTAGCAATTAAGATTCGTTTAGCTGTATTAAAAAAAGCCGTTTACTTTTCATTTCGGCAAGGAGAATGTTTGCTTTTTGGAAAAAGAGGTGCACAAATTTTAGCGTTTTTAAAAGTAAATCGGAAAATGTTTGCAAAAGTGAAAGCTAGAGCCTGCCTGATAATTATATTTTTGCAGTAAAAAAAAAAGAAATGATAATAAAAACAACCTTATGAGCATAATAGAAAAGATATACAAAAACTAAATTTTAGTTGTTGTATGTATATATGTATGTATATGTATGTATATATGTACGTCTTTTCGGTAGGTATGGGTGTAAGAAACACTTTATACACAAACTAAGACACTGTCTTGATGTTTTATTTTTTAATAGATGATGCATTTAATGGACCCGGTGATTCGAATTAGGATATTTACATATGTATGAACATGAATACTTTTGGTGTTTCGAGACAGCTATAATCGCTTTAAACGCGTTTTAATCGTCAACATTTTACGAATGCAATTTTGATCAAATCTGTACGTTGACACAAAATACTATGAAATGATGTATATGCACATACATATGCATGTAACTATTACCGCTGGCTTGGAAAATATCAAATGGTACAAAAAAATAACTTTAGTTGGTAAATATTCTTAAGTTTGTAAGAGGGAAAGTAACAGATTTAATCGTCGTTGAAAGCTTAAATTAACACCTTAATTGACATCATTTTTAACTTACATTTTTAATAAATCAATTTCTAAACCTTTAAAATATTGTTTTGGTTAAAAATGCAATTTAGATTAGTGATGAAAGAAATCGATACTATCGAATTGGATGTATTCGAGTTCGTTTGGTTAATATGATATTTCAGAATTAATTAGGAACATTGGAAAAAGGCTATATAATTTACATTGCGTTGCAAATTTATAATTATTTGTGTCAGGTTTTTTCTTATTCTGATTTGCAGTCTGTGATATAAATTAGGCATCTATAATGTCTGTTGAATAGTTCGTGTTCTTAGATTATGGTCAAGACAACCGAATAAAAAAGACTCGAAAACTTCCGCTGTTCCGACCAAGTTGGTCTGTCTGCATCGTCATTTGCATTCATTTTGAATCTTGTTGTGCAATGTTCTCCAAAGATATTTAAGCTTAAGAACAGTTTCTAATACAGAATTTAGTTACATACGATCGCATCAAATTTTACATCATATATCCATTCAATGACAGAACCGGTCGCATCCGCAAAGGAGAAATGGACAAATGAAATTAAATTTGAGGACCAAGTGTGGAAAAGCTGCGGTGGCTGGCTCATAATGACGCGGCGGAGTCAAACGCCAGGGCCTGTGAGCTAATAAAAATATTTCGTTTGCTACATGTTCGGTGTATGAACTCAAATCAATATACTGTATGGTTAGTTCTTACACACAAGTGATATGAACAATTTGGGAATGAAACACTATCTCAAGGAAAAAGTTGCGAAAACCCATTACATATGTTTTAATTTGTACAAACTTTGGTTGTATTTTGAAAAATTTGAGTTTTTGGTAGAGCTAGTTTAAATAGCATTATTCCTTCTATGTTACATATTCACCCGATCCAAATTGAGCTCAATGTCATGAACCGAAACTTATGTTCATTGTTCATTGTTTTAAAATTTTCGATTATTTCTGTTCATTGTCGTTGTTATTGGTGTGGTGCCATATCTAGCTTTCCGAAATACTACTTGTCATCCTGTGCGGCTTCTATTCTGAAAATAATGGTAAGTCATAAGTTTAATAAAGTAACTTTTTTTAAAATTTGTTTCGTTTAGTTTCGAAACCAGTATGATAGTGATGTTACTGTATGGAGTCCGCAAGGACGACTGCACCAAGTCGAGTACGCAATGGAAGCGGTTAAGCTTGGAACTGCAACTGTTGGGTTAAAAAATCGTGATTTTGCTGTTTTGGTTGCCCTTTCCAAACCATCGTCGGAGCTGTCAGCTTCTCAGCGTAAGATTATTCCTATTGATGATCACTTGGGAATATCCATCGCTGGCATAACTGCTGACGCTCGTGTGATTAGCAGATACTTACGTTCTGAGTGCTTAAGTTACAAGCATTCTTACGGCTCGACTTATCCGGTATCTCGTTTGATTACAAATCTTGGTAATAAGATGCAAACGACCACTCAACGGTACGATCGACGTCCCTACGGAGTGGGCCTTCTTGTTGGTGGCTATGATGAAAAGGGGCCTCATATATATCAAGTCACACCGTCTGCGACTTTTTATAATTGCAAAGCTAATTCTATTGGGTCCCGCTCACAAAGTGCACGTACATATTTGGAGAGAAATCTGGATACATTTTTAAACTGTTCGAACGATGAAATTATATGCCACGGAATATCAGCGATTCATGGCTCCTTGCCCACAGACGAAATGCAGAGTAGAAATGAGAGTGCATCTCAATTGGTAAGATTATAATAAATAATGTAATACAATCGTTCATTAATAATTATTGAAAATTTTTATAGAATATCACAATTGCCATTGTCGGCAAAAATCAGCCGTTTAAAATTCTCTCTGAAAAAGAAACCCAGATATATCTAACAATGGCTTCAGAGAAAGGGGCTCCTCCCGCTAATCAACCTTATGATGATGATGAAAGCACATCGCAGGCAGGTCCATCAACCTCTGGACCTAGAGACCCAATCGTAGCTGTCGCAACGGAGGAGTAGATTTTTGAGAGCATATATGTCTTTATAAAAGCATTAAATAAATGGTGAATAAATTCAAAAATATCATTAATCGGGAAAACAAACCCAGACGTATTTTGGTTCTGGTCTCCACCGAAATTGGGACGGCTTGCTGGTCACAATTGGCGCCTCAATCTTGTAATTAGCCCGGGCTTTCGGAAGATTCCGTTACCGGGTTCTTGGGCCGATGGCTTGATCTGTGCATTGTTTCGGATCCTAGCCCTTCCGCTTACTGTACTTATACCATTCTACTTTCGAAGTGTCGTTCGATATACGACCAACTCTATTGGATCGGTCGGGTAACTATATGAACGTGTCCGCTATTTTTGTACAGCCGACTTTACGAAGCTTACCGCTCTATGGATTTGGATTGGTCCGCATTGTTCTTGTGGACTAACGTTATGAAAGTCACAAACATGCTCTACAATGTACTTGACACATTTTTTGATTCTTGTGTCGCGCTTTCTTGTCCGATTAAAGCTCCATTGGAGGATGAACGTTTGATTCACCATTCGTTTGGAATACAAGGTCCTATTCTAAAACTCAAATTTAAATCTAATGGGACCTACGATATCCATCTAAGAGAGGTTGCAAGCAGCAGCAAGAATGTAAGATCTTAGAATCATCGCATTTAATCATTCCCTCTCAACTAACCCGCAACGCGGATTCAGTCACCATGAGAGTGAGCTGTTACTTAAGGTACTATAATTTGATAAGCATTTTGAGTCTCCTATTGGAAAAAACTCATGATATACCGGAGAACGGACATATGAAGTAAAGGTATATATGGTTGGGTTTAACAAATTATATTATTTATTTATGTTTAAGGAATCTTCCCAAATATCTTTACAACAATTAATAACAGTTTCTGGGGAAGATAATTTATGTTTCATAAAAAAGCCTTGAATCTGAGCTGGACTTACAGGGCGACCAAACGATTTTACACGCTGTGCAAATTCTACAGAATTTACCCCAGCATCAGTGTCAGTATTATTAAAAAAGTTTTTGAACATTTCTTCCAATTGATATTCAGTACAATAGCCTATATATTCCTTTAAATCTATTCTGCCAGGACGTATTAACGCGGGATCCAGGCGATCTAAGTAATTGGTTGTCATAAATACAATTCTAGCTTCTGTAGAACCAACCCCATCCAAACAGTTTAACAATCCACTAAATGTTATTCTGTTAATTCCTTCGTATGCAGATTTTTGTTGCAAAGTTGTCTCCCGAGAAGCGAATGCTGCGTCAATATCTTCAAGCAAAATTATGGTTTGTTCTGGTGCTACATTCAAAAGATGATTAAGTCGATCATCGGTAAGGCCTCTTTCAGATAAATTCAACAAACAAACGCTATATTCCAATTCTCCTGCCAAAGCAGTTATGAAACTCGATTTTCCACAACCAGGGGGTCCATAAAGTAAATATCCTCGCCGGTAGGGAATCCCACGTTGAGTATACCACACAGAACTTTGAATAAAGTCATTGCAATCAGCAATAATTTTTTTAGAAACTCCACTATCTAATACTACTGAGCCAATAGGACGACGGCGTCGAGGATGACCAAAAGGCCTCCATTCTGCGCCCATAGCGGTATACAAAAGCGTTTTACCAACGGTTTCTTCTAAAGCCAAATAACGAGCTTCATCTAAGATATCAGAATAAATCTGTTTATTGTTTCCAAATGCTGTTAGCGTCACCGATTCCCAAGGCACTCCCATGTGCAAGTCTAATGTTTGCTGTTCTCTAGTCCGCTCCACTTGAATCCAATTTCCTTTATATTTAAATATGTGCTTTCCAATGCTTGGTATAAAATCATAGCTGGTTTTAATTTGGCCATTGTCGTTTTGAAGAAAGTTGGTTTCTACACTTAAATGTTGAGTTTTACGGGCTCCTTTAATTGTTATCCATTTTAATAGCCACTGATATGATTTATCTCTGCATGGAACTTCTAAAGTTATCATTAAATGGCGTCGAAAGAGTATTATTCCACCTTGAAGGCCTTTTCGTAATATTGCAGCACCAGCGCCGATTCCAAACAAACCGAAGCCAGCACCAAAATAAGGATTTGTTGATAAACTTGACAAAAGTTCGGTAAAGGCCATATCACCTAAAAAACAAGTTTAAAATAATTAAATTTGATGTAAAAAAGTAATAAACATTTAATACTAGTTAATTGTTTTTTACAGATGAAGTACGCCGAGAATATGGATTTAATGGCGGATCTACTGGAGCAACACCAACATATGGAACATTGACCGTGGAATGAATTATGAATGAAATATGGGAAATAGAAGAGAAGAAAGAACAGACGAATGAATTGAAAATTTAACGAAAATGTGCGTGTGAGCATGTCGCAATGGCGCAAATCTCAATCACAAGGGGTAAGAAATTAATGAATTCAACAACGACATTTGGAACGGAGACATAATCGTACATAATCGACACTCTCAGAGAAAATGATAGACAACGCACACAAGTACAACGACTATTTACATCGACTCATCGCGCATCAGAAAAGTCCTGGAGTCCATTCGTACATTCAATTTAAGACCCAAATTCGAAAGAGACTTGATAATTACAAGCTTATCGTTTCTAAGATGTGTAGACTTTTTATGGGTTATTCGATGGTACCATGGAGGAACAAAGTTACTTATCCCATTAGCATGTATAATTTTAACACTGTAACTTATGGTCTTTCGAGCGCTCCTTATTCAGCTATAAGAAGCCTACAAGCTTACAGTTGGCCAAGTGGAATTTCAATCACGAAAAAAGGACAGGAGGGATCCAGGAAGTTCCAATTAAGGTTGCCGTTCAGAAATATCAAAGGCTTTCGGTATTGCGTGGAAATCTCGGATAGACACCTTCTGTTTTCGATATCATCCACCCATAATTTAAAACTTGGGATAAAATGAAGCATTAGTTTGCCTGTATTTTGCTGAACAGATTCCAGTGCTGTTCTGCAGTTGATGGGAATGCATTCCTCCACACTAAACTGTTTCGTGGGAAACCGCATTGCGGAATGGCAGTCATTCAGCATTTACCAAACCAAGTCCAATCGCAAGCTCAAATTGCTGAGAATACAAAGAGAGATACCGACAGGAAATCTCAGTAAACTCCAAAGTTTGCTGTGCCAACACCGGTACGGCACAAACATATACACAACCAGAGTACTCGGTAGTAGCACGTGTGCTGTGACAAAACTCAGAATAGTTTCCAAATATAAATAGATATTTAACAAAATTGCATCTTTTCTTTTCCGAAATAATTTTCTATCCATGTATTGAAAATGGGATTTATTTGTTGACAACCGGCCGGCGTATATGTACACATGTATGTACAATAAAATAAAATGGTTTTTTTGTACACATCGAATTATGTATGTAATTATGTAATTACTCTGTTTTAATTTTAGAGTCAAATTTCAATTTTTTTTATTTAATTATCAAAGTAATGATGGTAGCGCATACATTTTCTGGTAGTTATGGAATTAACACTAAAACAATAATATAAGATCTAATTCAAATTATTATTATACCAATTCAGAGAAAATCGAGCAACTATCACTGCTATCGATATTGCTTGTATATATCGAAATTGCTAATAAAAATTGGGAACGATGGTATGTGCTAGCGATATTTTCACAATTTCAACCGATGTCTTCAGCGATTGTTGGCAGCTGGCACTTGGCAGTCAGTCAAAAAAAACTAATAAGCTTAGACGTTATATGTATCCTAGAGACACTCTTGAACCTTAAAAATTTACCAAATATCTAACAATGGATACTTAAAAACATTTTACCCTATTCCCACAGGTTAACATCAGCCATGCATTTCTGTGATGGCGACCGGAAGGTTTTGCCATGCCAAAAATGTCTCAGTTAGTCCACCATCCAGTTGGGATGTTCCTAATCCGTCCGTTTCTTGTTTCCAGAAAGTAATGAGAGGTAAAAACAAATAATTCGCTCCTTGCCATATTTTGTGCCAGACAGCCGAGATTTTGGCATAAATTCGAAATTTTTATAGAAATCTTTTCATGGTGCCTTGGGTACCTACCTTGGGTAGAAAAAATTCATAAATTCATATTTCTGATTTTAATGCAGAACTACAATTTTTGCAGTCCATCAAAGTCATGAATGTTATTAATCCCCGAAATATGTAGAATGTCTAAATAAAAAATATGTTGTTGATGTTTGTTGGTTTTTTGTCTTTTTTGGAAATGTAAATAACACAGATACATTGAAGAGTGGACTTAGCCAGTCCATTCCGGAGCTTCACATGTATCTTGCATCCGTGTTAAATACAATTTTGTTGTTAACAGATCCCAAATCCGTTAATGCGTAATTTAAAATTTAAAGTTAAATTTTTAAAAATTAATTTACTTTAAATTAATTTATTTATATTTTCAAAACTTTAAATTTAATTAAAGGATTATACCTTAATACCATTAATATTGTTTGATCTGATTCATTGATCTCAACATAACTAGCGGACAATAGAAAATTGTTGACCTCTTTTGAAAACAACATATACATAAATTATTTCGATGATCAACATTAGGATAGACATAATAATTCCACCTACAAGAAAGAAGTCTAAGAAAAGCTCACTTAAAGCTTTATTTAAATTTGACTTACAAATCAGCACAAAGAAAGCCGCTAAAGCTCCTGATAAGGTGACTGGATATACGGTGTATAATGATTGACAGGTAGGCTTTCTAATTTGACGTTGCCGAAGGAGTCGTTCCACGAAACCTCTTTCCCTTGCCGAACACATGCTAAAATAATGACTGCGTAAAAAAAATGTAAATATCGGGAATGAAAGGTACTTACGCAACTTTAAACAGTTCTGTATATTGGCTGTTTTTTGGCAAAATCCAATTCAGCAATTCTACTTCCATTAGGCCGGATACCTCGCGCAGATCGCAAATTTCACTGGCATCAAATAATTCGGCAATCAAAGGATAGGCGGCAACTACTTCACAGTGAAATGCAAAACCACCGGATTTGATATATGGTACAGCTTCTTCGATATGTGCAAAAACTGGTATTTTACCCAAAGGTCTCGATGAGGACAATTTGGTTTTTATTAGTCTGGCTACGGCTGGGCTTTTACTTTCCTTTTAAAATATAATAATATAATTAAAATAATAGTTTGTTCAATGAAAAGCTAGCTATAAGTTAACTTACTCGAAATAGTACTTTATAGTAACCAATATCTTCAAAAGATATTGTGAGTGGACTAGAAGTTATTTCATCAACAGTAGCTGGACCTTTATCAGAAGAGCTTAACAATCCACCAACCACAGAAGAAGTATAGTAATTATATATTACAAGTGAAAATAAAAATATGGTTATTACGACAAAACGCGATGAGTGATCTTTTGGAATCGGATCCAAACCCTGTTGGCATAAAGCTGCAAAGGATTGCAAGAAACTTTCAGCCCAACTACTTTGAATTGTTAACGCGTAACATTTCTGTGATTCAGTGTTATTGATTTGGTCATTTGGATCATTTGTAGGACTCAATCTGCTGTTAATAATTTCAAAAAGCACCCAAATTACGCTAAACACTATTAGCGAAACAAGAATTAAAAACCAAACCGCTTTGCTAAACGGAGCCAAGAAATTACCACTTTTTCCATGAGTATCTAAATCTGGAGTAAACCTATAAATAAATGCAGCCTCAAATTTCCAGCTCTGATGTATTGTATCAAACTCCGCAAAACGGTTAAGTCGATTGAACGCTCCTGATGCTGCAATGTCTGCCTCGTCTCGTTTAACAACTCCTAAAAGTCCAAGACGAAATGTGGTGTTACCTAGTCGACCAGCCCATCCTCTTGAGTTACGGAAATTAACAGAAAAATTAAAACGATCCCGTAAAAGTCCTACAAGTTCATAGTGATATTTTATAAAGGCTGCCACTCCGGAATCTTTTGTAGACCTCGAAAGTATAGCCTCGATTTGTTCATTTGTAGTTATATCCTCTTGGTCAATCTACGATAAAAAAAAAGGATATGGACAGTCGATTAAATTCCGAACGCAAATAGTCAAAAGTCCTAACTATAAATCCAAATGATAAAAATTTGCAGTGCTTTTGAATTTTTGAAAAAGACTTTTGGAGTATATTATAAATTCTAAGTAAGAGGGTAGTGTAGACACAGTAGTGTTTTTTTCTATTACTACATTTACATACTTACTACGCTTGCTCCTCGTAGTGTAATCCCATTAAATTGCCCACGGTATTCAGTGCTTTGTAGCTTAAATATGTCTCGAGCTATGTTTAGGTAACTACTGCCTTCATAATTAGTTACTGTTGCTATTAGTTGTAATTGTAAAGGCGATTGAAGGTGACGTCCCTTTGAATGAATATCCCAGAGACAGTAGTCGTTACTTGTTTTATTAACGTAGGTTATCTGAGCGTTTGGGCCAATATAATCCAGTTCCAGTGGAAGTAAATATTTTACTTCTACGCCAACACCCCAAAAAACCCACTGATAGGTTTTGTTAAAGTACTTATTTGCAGAAGCATCAGCCAGTAGACCAGCTGCACCATTACATCTGGTATTTACTATAACAGAAGTTCGACCATGGCTATTTCGTCCCAGTATAAAGGGCAGAGAGTACATTTGTTTCATATGTACATAATTCACAAACTGGTCATTTTTCATAAACGCAGAAGCAACGAGCTGCAAATCTGGTACCATTTTGAAATTTAGAAATATATAATTCATTTTTTATAAACTCTTTGTATTAGATATGAAAATGGAAAAATTCTAATTTTTTCGGAATTTCTTCTACAAATTCAGTTAACAAGGAATGTCAAACTATTTCGTTGGTGATTCGGAAATTGAACTAGGCGAGCGTTGTGCAATTTTTCTTCAAAACCGCTTTGGATACAATGCATTCTGACGACCACAAAATCATTATCAGAGCGGACAGAAGACCCGCTAGAGGCCATGCAAGACAAGACTCAGATTAAGTTTTCATGACTTCCCTGTATTTTACAAATTCTGGGGCTTTGACAAAATGTGAACCGTATTAATTGTGATATCAGAAACTATAAAACTATGTGAAACATTGTAGGAAATGAGTTCTTTTGGTTTTTTTTTTAGAGGTAATAATTTTTTACATAATTTGAGTATTTTTAAAAATATATATTTTAAATTAGAGTTCCTTATTTAATTTAGATAGTCATTAAAATTAAATTTGTATAATATTTACCTTTGTCTGAACAGGAAAAAATAATTGCTTCATTAGTCCCAACCAAGTTCACAATAAACTTGGTTAAAACCGATATGTCCATATGCGCCGCTGCTCCACGTGCAGCGATTAATAAAATCAAAGCGATGGAGGCCCTCATTTTTTATTCTTAGCAACTGGTAAAGATCCAGTGCTTTTATATGGCTTTCACAGCCAATAGATTGACAGGATAAATGCAGGTGGGAAAAATTATAAATAATAGGTACAGTTTTACAATGAAGGCACTATATAACAAAGTCTGGATTTTTTTTTTTATACAGAATCAAGCATACTATACTTTTCATAATTATAATTCAATTAATTATAATTAATTGTTATTTTATTATTCTCTTTTAATTGATCACTTTTAATTAAAGACTAATAATAACACTATGCAACAAAAATTTTTTTTTTGTGACGAAACAGAAATTTTTTGATTGCTTCTAAAGGTTTCAGGTTTCAGCACGGAGTAACAGTATTAGCTGGTGGAGTGGACTAATATGACATTTAGCATATCGATTGGCCAAAATTCTATGGGCTCTATGGGCTCCCATTAATGAAGATGGGAGCAAAAATGAATTAGTGACAGGATTAGGCTGGTGCAAATTTTTTAAATGGTCCGCAAAACGTGACGTTACTACTGGACCAAATACCATTTGGACTCCTTAACGGCATGGCATGACTGTTTGTATTGGAGCACTTAGGTTTCGATGGGCCTTCCACAATGAATGCTTGGTGCTGGTTGGTAATAGTTTTTCTATGTAGCGACTTTGGGCGTTTTTTCTTCATTATTTAGAGCCTTGGTGAATTTGCGTGTAGCAAATTTTAGCCGTTGTTTTGACGATAGCGATCTGTGCGACTGTCATTGCCGTCGCAAACGAGTTGTTCGATTGTTGAATTGTTGCTGCTGTAATGAGTACAGATTCCAGTGCATCAGCAGGTCAAAAAATATTGATCGCCGAGATTTAAATCGAAAAAAGCTTGCCAAAATTCGGTGAAATATAAACAAATTTAAGGAGACGCATTTTTAATGGTTAAGTAAGCAATGGAAACTAGTATATAAAGACAGCTGTGAATTCTGTGAAACGGATCTACAGTTCAATATATTCGAAGTGCAACAAGTTCTTGTTATAAAAATAATATTCATAAGGTCTTAGTAGTGTCCGACCCGGCTTCTGCTCGGCAGAAAACCTTCGATGGATTTGGAGCAGTACTGGTGACAGAGACTACACAGCTTTTTGAGGTTGTCCGTTTGTTCCTTAATCCAGCCGCCTCTCAAAAGGTAAATAACACAGTTTCATTAAAGTGTAGACTTAGCTTAGTCCATTCCGGAGCTGCACATAAAAATGGGGGTCTGTATCTTGTATCTTGTGCGTAGTTTTAAATTTAAAATTTAATTTTCTCTAATTTAATTTATTTATATTTTTAAAACTTTAAATGTAATTAAAGGATTACACATTAATACCATTAATATTGTTTGCTTTTAATTGATCTCAACATAACTAGCGGACAATAGAAAATTGTTGACCTCTTTTGAAAACAACATATACATAAATTATTTCGATGCTCAACATTAGGATAGACATAATAATTCCACCTACAAGAAAGAAGTCTAAGAAAAGCTCACTTACAGCTTTATTTAAATGTGACTTACAAATCAGCACAAAGAAAGCCGCTAAAGCTCCTGATAAGGTGACTGGATATACGGTGTATAATGATTGACAGGTAGGCTTTCTAATTTGACGTTGCCGAAGGAGTCGTTCCACGAAACCTCTTTCCCTTGCCGAACACATGCTAAAATAATGACTGCGTAAAAAAAATGTAAATATCGGGAATGAAAGGTACTTACGCAACTTTAAACAGTTCTGTATATTGGCTGTTTTTTGGCAAAATCCAATTCAGCAATTCTACTTCCATTAGGCCGGATACCTCGCGCAGATCACAAATTTCACTGACATCAAATAATTCGGCAATCAAAGGATAGGCGGCAACTACTTCACAGTGAAATGCAAAACCACCGGATTTGATATATGGTACAGCTTCTTCGATATGTGCAAAAACTGGTATTTTACCCAAAGGTCTCGATGAGGACAATTTGGTTTTTATTAGTCTGGCTACGGCTGGGCTTTTACTTTCCTTTTAAAATATAATAACATTAAAATAATAGTTTGTTCAATGAAAAGCTAGCTATAAGTTAACTTACTCGAAATAGTACTTTATAGTAACCAATATCTTCAAAAGATATTGTAAGTGGACTAGATGTTATTTCATCAACAGTAGCTGGACCTTTATCAGAAGAGCTTAACAATCCACCAACCACAGAAGAAGTATAGTAGTTATATATTACAAGTGAAAATAAAAATATGGTTATTACGACAAAACGCGATGAGTGATCTTTTGGAATCGGATCCAAACCCTGTTGGCATAAAGCTGCAAAGGATTGCAAGAAACTTTCAACCCAACTACTTTGAATTGTTAACGCGTAACATTTCTGTGATTCAGTATCAGGCATGTTATTGATTTGGTCATTTGGATCATTTGTAGGACTCAATTTGCTGTTAATAATTTCAAAAAGCACCCAAATTACGCTAAACACTATTAGCGAAACAAGAATTAAAAACCAAACCGCTTTGCTAAACGGAGCCAAGAAATTACCACTTTTTCCATGAGTATCTAAATCTGGAGTAAACCTATAAATAAATGCAGCCTCAAATTTCCAGCTCTGATGTATTGTATCAAACTCCGCAAAACGGTTAAGTCGATTGAGCGATCCAGATGCTGCAATGTCCACCTCGTCTCGTTTAACAACTCCTAAAAGTCCAAGACGAAATGTGGTGTTACCTAGTCGACCAGCCCATCCTCTTGAGTTACGGAAATTAACAGAAAAATTAAAACGATCCCGTAAAAGTCCTACAAGTTCATAGTGATATTTTATAAAGGCTGCCACTCCGGAATCTTTTGTAGACCTCGAAAGTATAGCCTCGATTTGTTCATTTGTAGTTATATCCTCTTGGTCAATCTACGATAAAAAAAAAGGATATGGACAGTCGATTAAATTCCGAACGCAAATAGTCAAAAGTCCTAACTATAAATCCAAATGATAAAAATTTGCAGTGCTTTTGAATTTTTGAAAAAGACTTTTGGAGTATATTATAAATTCTAAGTAAGAGGGTAGTGTAGACACAGTAGTGTTTTTTTCTATTACTACATTTACATACTTACTACGCTTGCTCCTCGTAGTGTAATCCCATTAAATTGCCCACGGTATTCAGTGCTTTGTAGCTTAAATATGTCTCGAGCTATGTTTAGGTAACTACTGCCTTCATAATTAGTTACTGTTGCTATTAGTTGTAATTGTAAAGGCGATTGAAGGTGACGTCCCTTTGAATGAATATCCCAGAGACAGTAGTCGTTACTTGTTTTATTAACGTAGGTTATCTGAGCGTTTGGGCCAATATAATCCAGTTCCAGTGGAAGTAAATATTTTATTTCTACGCCAACACCCCAAAAAACCCACTGATAGGTTTTGTTAAAGTATTTATTTGCAGAAGCATCAGCCAGTAGACCAGCTGCACCATTACATCTGGTATTTACTATAACAGAAGTTCGACCATGGCTATTTCGTCCCAGTATAAAGGGCAGAGAGTACATTTGTTTCATATGTACATAATTCACAAACTGGTCATTTTTCATAAACGCAGAAGCAACGAGCTGCAAATCTGGTCCCATTTTAAAATTTAGAAATATATACATAATTAATTTTTTATAAACTCTTTGTATTAGATATGAAAATGGAAAAATTCTAATTTTTTCGGAATTTCTTCTAAAAATTCAGTTAAAAAGGAATGTCAAACTATTTTGTTGGTGATTCGGAAATTGAACTAGGCGAGCGTTGTGCAATTTTTCTTCAAACCCGCTTTGGATACAATGCATTCTGACGACCACAAAATCATTATCAGAGCGGACAGAAGACCCGCTAGAGGCCATGCAAGACAAGACTCAGATTATGTTTTCATGACTTCCCTGTATTTTAAAAATTCTGACAAAATGTGAACCGTATTAATTGTGATATCAGAAACTATAAAACTATGTCAAACATTGTCGGAAATGAGTTCTTTTGGTTTTTTTAGAGGTAATAATTTTTTACATAATTTGAGTATTTTTAAAAATATATATTTTAAATTAGAGTTCCTTATTTAATTTAGATAGTCATTAAAATTTAATTTGTATAATATTTACCCTTGTCTGAACAGGAAAAAATAATTGCTTCATTAGTCCCAACCAAGTTCACAATAAACTTGGTTAAAACCGATATGTCCATATGCGCCGCTGCTCCACGTGCAGCGATTAATAAAATCAAAGCGATGGAGGCCCTCATTTTTTATTCTTAGCAACTGGTAAAGATCCAGTGCTTTTATATGGCTTTCACAGCCAATAGATTGACAAGATAAATGCAGGTGGGAAAAATTATAAATAATAGGTACAGTTTTACCATGAAGGCACTATGTAACAAAGTCTGGATTTTTTTTATACAGAATCAAGCATACTATACTTTTCATAATTATAATTCAATTAATTATAATTAATTGTTAATTTATTATTCTCTTTTAATTTATCACTTTTAATTAAAGACTAATAATAACACTATGCAACAAAAATTTTTTTTTGTGACGAAACAGAAATTTTCTGGTTGCTTCTAAAGGTTTCAGGTTTCAGCACGGAGTAACAGTATTAGCTAATGGAGTGGACTAGTATGACATTTAGCATATCTATTGGCCAAAATTCTATGGGCTCCCATCAATGAAGATGGGAGCAACAATTAATTAGTGACAGGATCAGGCTGGTGCTAATTTTTTAAATGGTCTGCAAAACGTGACGTTACTACGGGACCAAATACCATTTGGACTGCTATTGCCGTCGCAATCATCCCTTTTCGAGTTGTTCGATTTCTAGATTTTGGTTGGTTTCCACAGCTGCTGCTGTAATGAGTACAGATTCCAGTGCATTTTCAGATCAGTATATTTCTTCGTTAAATTTTCTAATGAATGACAAGTTCTTCATAATTTGCTGTGGAGTAAATATTATCGCTTAACATATTCGGTTGGGTTGGATATTCTAGTCCTCTTTTTAAACAACTAGTCACAGAGACTATCTTCACGGATTTTGTGGGTTCCACATTCGTTGGGTGTATTTCTCTATTTCAGCCAGTTCAGTAACCGGACAGCCTGTTCGCAGTTTTCACATTTTTGGTATTGGTATTTTCTTTCTTAGCAATGCAATGATCTTATTCGTGGAAGTTTCCAGAGGCTACGCAAGTCGATTGGCAGATCAAAGATTGTCCCAGGAAGATAGAACATTTAGTAAAAGAATCCGGATAGGATAGCTGCTCGCATCAGGTCTGCCGACGTAAAAATCGGAAGATCCAAAACGTTACAACAACGGGGCGAAACCCGTCCATGTGTGACGGGCACTTAGCGAATATAACCTAACCCAACAGATAATTCAACTATAAGACTATGTAAAGAGTAAAACGTTAGCAGCCAAAAGACTAAGACTTCGAATAAAGGTGCTTCCATCTAGGATGGAAACGTGAGTATCCATCCAGGAGTGTCACGTGATAATGGACATTCTGCATTGCGCAGAAGATCCGCATGTTGGTAGGGTACAACTGTTTATAAACTCCACTGCTCCGAGAAGTATTCAGATATCTCCGTACAAGATTTTGACGGGCATAACATGACAGTGATTTAGAACAGCTGGTAGAAGAGGAGTATATTTTATAGTTGCAGCAGAAGATAGGCTATCGCTAGATAGCCAAAGAGAACATGGTACAGGAGAATCCATAGAATATAATAAAATAGCCAATTCACTAATTTAAAATTGTTCAGATTTCCCAATTCAGACCAAAGCTTAATAATTTTATGCTCATCAACTGCTTTTTGAAGAATGGAGCATGTGTGAATCAGTGTTTCACATCTGCCAAAAATGCCACCGTTCCCCCGGGTCGTGCTCAGTGTGTACACATACATATTATTATACATACAATAAAACATCGATGTAAGCTTCGATGTTTCTGCAGGTAATTGATTATCGATATTTCTCTTTCACTATATATAAATTATCTATATTAATCCTTATAAGCGTAAATGTTAATGTTTCAAGACATCTGATGATATTGTATAAAATTCGGTGTGGGTATTGATAGTGAATTCACAAAAAAAAACAACGTATGTATATTTTTACACATTTCTGTATCTACATATACATCTTTCCATATGTACATACATATGTGTATAATTTTACGTATGTATACATACGGATTAACACAAATAAATTCTTAAATACAATTAAAATCTTAATTGTTTTTAATGATCCATATTAATATATGGATAAGAAACTCTGGACAAGTAAGTTTTCTTTTATTGAAGATGAATTTTGCACAGAAACTGTTGTAACCAATATACAGCTGTACATATATATACCTATAAAGCTATACATATTTGTAGTAGGTTCGATTCTTTATGGAAACACTTCGCTCAACAGGCTGTAGTTTTTTATAGCTCAACCAAACTATCAGTGGTGCCATAAAAATCATTAGAAATTTTTACTCTACAAATGTAACAAATCGGTGAACAAATCCAAACCCATGTACATATTTCAATAGGAATTTTTTCGTTGGGGATCTAGAGGAAAGCCAACAACGCAATTCCTCGAAAGTATCGTGTGTCACTTGTTATAAAAATTGAAAATTTATGTCTCACAATCCTGCAAAATAATATAACTGAAAACGACATAGTTCCGGTAAAAAAAAAATATGTAGCAGTATAATAATAACGAGAAGTAGTAACGTAATTTGTGGGAGATACCGATATATCGTATAAGAAATATCGATAAGGTGTTGATCGAATCAGACTCACATGTCGTAATTAATAACGGCCATACCGACCATAAAATAGATACTAATGAGCTTTTTTTGTAGTTAAATTAGTCACATACATTTGCGGATTACGTTTTCAGCCAAAACCTTTCGTTTTTAGGTACTCCCGTTTTCACAAATTTTTGCTATCGATATGCGCAAGAATGTATTTTTTGGGCAGTGTTCCCATAATCGAATCGGGATGCGTCAGCTGTTTGCACGAAAACGAAAAGCGTTGCTGACCCGCCCAATTATGTCCAAGCCAAATTTCAGTTTGGGTTAAACAAAATTATTTATTAATAAGGCACAAGCTATATTGACCTGGGAATACAATTTATATTAATGCATCAATAAGTCATCCATTTTCCATACGTGATTGTTACGCGTAAGATGATAATGTTACATGTACTTAGAAGAACATTTCTTTTGCAGCGAAAATCAAATGAAAATTGGCTTCCTGCCCTTCCTCCCCCTGGGTACGCCCTTGTTTACAGCACTTTTCAACCTGGAATTTGTTCATATATACATATAATGTAATAATTATATATATTTTTTCCAACTTATTTCAGAAGCATCTATAATATGAATAAAATGGGAGTACCAACGGAATCTACATTTCTTGATGTTCAGCTGCCCAAAACTCTTCTTGAATCACCTTCAACATCGACTTTTTTGCCAGATGAAGAGGCTGCTTTTTGTCCATTACTTTCAAGTAGAATGTTAGGTCCCATAGCACATCCATTGAGCCCTAATCATATGGATACAGACGGTATTACCTCAAATTGCCAAATCAGTTTAGACTGTAAGGCCGAGTCAAGTTCTACCGACAGTAGTAGCGGGATAGCTATCGACGTTCAGGAATCTGCTACCACCAACCTATTTCATAATGGAAGCTATCAACATCTACAAAATAACAATATTAATAAAGAAGAGGTAATTTACTTGTATTTTATTTTAACTCTAGACTTCCTCAAAAACTAGTAAGGAAACCAATGTTGTCACATGAGTTGAAAATTAACTATATATTTTAGCAACGAAAACGATAAAGGACTTCTCCTTAGTGCTCCTACGTGCCCTCGAACATAAGTCTGCACAAACTGTGAGCGTTTTATTAATAACAAAGAAGAATATGACATAGAGCCATAAAATCTCGCACCAACGAAAAGGTGCTTCATGGCAGAAGTCTTTGCATTTTCGGATGAAGCGGAAAACGAAAACGAACACTTTAAGCAGTTTGAGGTGTGACTAGTATCCTTCTATTACATCCACTATATCATTTGATTTAGCTCTTAATCGTTTAATCTTAATAGTTTAATCGGTTCTGAAAGGTCATAATTTCCAACTCTGAACCAATTTACCAAGCACGCTTGTTCATATCTGAGGCAATTTATACCTTCAAAATATATTTTTTTCGAGATTAGTTTAAATTGACAAAGCGAGAAGAATGAGAATGCGTTTTCATAAAAATGATTGGTTTCTTCCAACATTAGCTGTGAAGCTGCAAGTATCAAAAAAGTGGTACGAAAATTTCAAACGTCGTTCTCAAAAATACTTTGTCATTTGTAGTAATTTGGTATTAATTTATTAATTAATTGGTATTGTCTTACGTTTGGTACAATGAGATTATCTGATTTTGTAACAGCCATTTCTGCTTAAAATTATTCGATGGCTTTTTAACTAAAGGTCCTTCAGAATGGCTAAATATGGCTTTCGGATTTATGAAGACACAAGTTATGGGTACAGTCGGCTTAGAGTGCTTATAGAGTACAGAGGAAAATTAATCTGTTTTGGACCGATTTCGCTAATTGTTTAAGTTTAATATAAAAGTGGACGTACGCTTACAGTACGTTTACTGAGTACCGGGTATAAGTATGGCACAGACTCAAGAGTCACAACAAACAACAGGTTTATCTTTCACAGATCGACAAATTCCTAGGTTAATTTAGATACGTTATTAAATGTTCAGAAGTATAACTTTTTTTCATAGTATTTTGAAAGTTTACATAAATTGTTTATTTTCTTTATTGTAAAACTAGGATACACACTTCATTGGAAAAAAATCGAAAGACGCTCCCTCATTTGTATCATGGAACTGGCCGCTAATACGGAAATGTACTTTTTTTATTTTTGTCTCTACTATTTTAGCTATGTGCTCGATAGTTGTTGCAAAAATATCTACTATGCCCAAGTCTTGTAATCCAAAGTAAGCTGGCAAATTATTTAAAATGTACGTATAACTTATGATTCTGTAATTTTACAGAACAACTTGGTACCGTGGAGGCGTATTCTATGAAATGGGATTTCAGGATTCTGAGTATGAAGGAATTAGCGATATAGGTGGAATAATCAACCGCCTTGATTACCTTTCCTCATTAGGTGTAGCAGCTGTCAGACTGAACTCCATTTTTCTACCAGGAAATATAGATAATGTCACATCGGTACTTCACATAGATCCTGCAATTGGGAATGTATCCCAGCTAAAAGTTTTAGCCGATACCTTACAATCTCGAAATATAGCTCTTCTCTTAGACATACCATTGCATAATACATTTGTTAATATCCACAGCAACCAAGAAATAGTCTATAATCAAATTACTAAAACACTAACTTCTTGCTTGGACAATGGAGTGAACGGATTTTATTTAAAAGGACTTGATTTGTTTTCAAATGATTTGATGCTTCTTAAATTCTTAGCAATATGGAAACGTATAGTTGGCGAAAATAGAGTACTAATAATAAACGAGAAAGTTTTAAAAGGAAAACCAAGTTCATTCTTAACAGCAATTCAGCAACATGTTGATCTTGTTGACGTTTGCCTAGACCTGGAAGGTGGCACGAAAAAAATTACCAATCGCATAGAAAATATTTTAGCAAACATGCCACCAGCCGAAGATTCAACATGGATACACTGGTCGATTGTTGATTCCAAATTAAAACACCACAACGATCGAGATTCTTTTAATTCGGATAAAATAATGGCTGGCACAATAATGCAGCTTATGCTGCCAGGTACACCAAATATAAAGTATGAGGATGATATGAATGGAAAACAATACAGCGTGCATAAGCTAAGTGATAGATCAAAAATTGTCAGCAATATGATATCTCTGCGAAAGCGTTCCCCGTCTATATACAAAAGTGTAATTTGTAAGCCAAATAGTAATATTCAAAATACTTTAATACGATATACCAATGATGATACACTTATTATTGTCCGAAACTACCCACGGAGAAACTCCTTTGCATCTGTTACAAACTTGGGCAGTTATAAAATTACCATGGACTTGACATCGACATTTTATAGTGGCACTCGAATGCTCACTAACGAAACTGATAAAATATTTTTCAAAAATTTTGAAATAGATCCGTTTGACACCATTGTTGTTAAATTAGATAAGTAAAACGCATGCTTATTTATTATAGTTGCAGGTATCTAGACTTCGACTTCTTCAGCCAATTTATGTTTCAGTTCAAATTTAATAAAAATACCAAAATGAATATCTAACGGACAACGAAGCTTTTACTACACTTGTAGATCGATTTTTCCAATATCAGCCACAGTGGCGAGCACGTGTGGATACATGTTTATCACTTTCCACTTTAAGCGCCTGTAAAATCTTTAAAAACCAATCAATCCTTGTGATTTTTTTTTTAAAGATTCATTAATTTATTGAGAATGAAAAAAGACAACAATTTCAATTCAAAGAGATCCTTTTCCTTACGAGATTTTAATTTGTTCAAAAAATGAGCATGTATCCACTTTTGCACGTTTCAAATTTTTGTACTTTAATAATTTTAAAAAAATATTTGTTCCAAAGGGCCTTAGCTTTTATCATATTCCGAGTAAGTATTGGCATACTCTCGACTAAATTTAGTAGGTTTAACCAATTGGAGAACGTCCCATGAGTGGACGCTCTGCGTACGATCGGCCTGACACAGGCAGATAGCCAGAAAACCCTGCCCTCTCACAAAAAGTGGCTGCGCATCTTATATTTACCGAGGAGCATAGGAACTGGACCAGGGAAAATTTTAAGAAGGTAATTGGGTCAGATATACCAAAGTAAACCGTTTTAAGTCTGATCAAAATGAAAACTACTGATATTTTTTAATGAATCTTAAAAAAAAAAAATCACAAGGATTGATTGATTTTTAAAGATTTTACAGGCGCTTAAAGTGAAAAGTGATAAACATGTATCCACACGTGCTCGCCACTGTATATGATATATAAAGCATAACATGTATGCAATTTTGAAAGAACTCACAGAGCTTTCCAAATGATCGAGTGTGCTTAAATAATGGTTGCTCCGACGAATATATTGCGTGCAAATTGCAATCTCTGAAGACGTACATACAGTGTTTTATTAACATAAGGGTTATCAAACTCTTTGGACTAACGCCTAATGAACGCTTAAACCACCCTTTGGGACGGTTTGTCGACTTCGGGTTAATTTGTCGTTTAGTCGTCCTTCCGAAAGGTCGGAACGAAAAAGAATAACAGGCTGCTGTTAGGCGTTTAAGCCTGTGTTAAAAAAAAACGGTAATTTTTGCCAACCACCGCCGGAACGGCTGCGTCTGGCCTAATCCATGGCTTATGCCACGAGTCCTCTCCAAGCTTTAAGTTAAGATAATCGACAATGTCACCTTTAACAAAAAAATATCTTTAACGAAAAGCGAAAAACATTAAATAATTAAATTATAATTGTTCTCGTAAATAACCTATCGTGCATGCTCTTGCGGGAAACATGTTATACTCGTAGGCATGTGTGGGATGTGTATTCATGTATATATAAGGTGTTAATTTAATGTGGGCCACAACCGAGATGAAGCTATTCAGAGCTCTTGTTAGGGGTCACAGGAGCAGAATTACTAAATATTGAATGAGAAAGGAACCACTTCTCATACACCACTAAGTGTTAAGCATATGCAGCGGATAGGACGCAGCCAAAATTGTATGGAACGGACTCACTGTTTTCATTGCGTTGCAGTCCGTCTGGCATCTTCAACTATGACCTGTGGTCACTAGTACTTCCCAATCTTGAGGGACCACACGATCATCTCCACGAAAATTCCCACCAGGCTACTCAAGGGACTTAATGCACTCCAGAAAGTTCGTCTGAATCGGGTTTGATGTGCAGTAATTCTGCGCTGCATCCGTAGTATATGAACATCTTTACTTTAATCCACGTGCTCTAATTTGTTCACCCCTACTTAAAGCCTCCACGGGCATGCGTGGCCTCACAGCCCTGGACCAACTACCGCTCAGGTGGGACTGGAACACAAATTTCTGGTTGACATAAGCTTTTATTTGAATCGATATTCCGAAAGTTAACTAGATATTAAACCTGCTTCAAACCCTTGAAAATATGGATGCATCAAAATATCTTGGGCTGATATACGATGTATTGGATCATAGATTAGCATTCTTTGTATGAGGTTTACACCATTGTCATCAAGATTTTTTAGCTGGTTTGTTAATTGATTTGTTGACCAGCAAGGAAAAGTATTTTTATAATCGGGAAGCGAAGTTACGCCCGGCCAGATGTCTTCAGTTGGAGTTTTGAGAATTCTGTAAATGAATAAGAATAAGTACAAATTAGTTCTTAGGAAAACGGTAAACAAAAATTATCAAGTATATATAAAATCAGAGGGCGTAAAGGGCGCTTCGTAGCCACTGCAAATTGCTTTGTTCCTTTTGGTTATAATAATGATCCCATCTGATCCAGATTCGGCAATCTGGTAGATATGGTTATTCTCTGATTTTCTTGCAACTTGAAAAATTGTGGACGCTACATATTTTCGTCAGAAGGTTTCCACACAGGAGTGTGGATACCAAATATGGTTTCTCTAGCTAATATAGTCTCTGATATCTATGCGCTCATCGGCACGGACATGGCTCGACTATTGATGCTAAACAAGAATTTATATACTTTATGGGGTCGAGAACGCTTGCTTCTGGGTATTACACACCCACTTCCAAAATAAGTAAAAATTAATAAATATAATTACCTGAACATTCTGAATAATTGATCGATTTCAGAGTCTCCTTGGAAAAGCGGTTTTCGTGTTGCCATTTCGGCAAAAATGCATCCGATTGACCATATGTCGACGGGACATGAATATCGGGGAGAGCCCAGTAATACCTCGGGTGCTCTGTACCACAGAGTCACAATTTCATGAGTGTATATGCGGACAGGAATGCCAAAAGATCTTCCCAGTCCAAAGTCGGCAACTTTAATTATGCCATTTTTGTCAATCAGTAAATTTTGAGGTTTCAAATCCCGATGCAATACTCTACGACGATGGCAGAATAAAATAGCACTTGTTATCTGAAACAAATAGCTTCGCACAAGTTTACTATCCATAAGTTTCTCTGGTGGTAACGAGTCCATATATTTCTTTAGATCCATTGATAAAAATTCAAATATCAAGTAAATGCGGTTTTCCTCCATTAATACATCTTCCAAACTGACGATATTTGAATGTTTTAGTTCTTTAAGCAAAGAAATTTCTCTGAAACAACAAGTAGAAGTAAATTTTATAATTGTGTCGAAATATTTTAGCCAGTACACAATAGGTGGTGGTGTTGAGTTTCGATAGAGCCTGTGTTGGGAACTATGTAACTACTAGTGGACTGAAAAAGACAAGAGGCAGAAAACACCTGATCAAATATGTTTTTGCTCGATTCGCTCTTCGGTCAAGCAAAGACCGATATTGAATTTCTCTTCTGTTGCTGTATTCCACCGAGAAGTTTGTCGGAAGCGAACGTCAAGCGCCATTTGCGTAAGTAAGTGTGCCTTGCTAAGCGCACTGACTGACTACAACTGGAGGGCTTTAGAAGTTTCCTTCCTTCAATACCTTAACTATGAACTACGACTGATCATAAATCAGTGATATCGAGAGGTATATAATGCTCTAGCTCGTTTTCTTTTTGTATCGAACTGGTGGCAACCCAGCTTAGACTTACATTTCTAAAGTTACATACATAGCTCTGATAAGGCAGACCATAAATCTGCGATTGGAACAATCGAAAATACTATATTATATACCTGTGCAAACGTAACTAAAAGGGATTTAAATCGCATTAATATATACGTATGTATATCATATTGAAGATATACATATATGTATGTAAAACCGACATAGGCATCTCGGCTTGCAGGTTCTCTACAGCTTCGTGATGCAGGTATTTTTTCACTGGGTTTTCTTAATTGTTTCGAAGGTACAACATTTAAATTTAGCTGGGCATCCACAGATATATTTGTTTGTCAAATTTCTGTTCAAAGGGAATTCGAATGTGAATAGCCCCAGCTCGAAACCAATTCAGATAGAAGCATTTATATTCTTCTCTAGCTAATCGGCATATGTTAGTACCAAGCACACGTAGTGCACAAGATCACTAAAATCCATTACATGCCTCCATGTACGTACATTCATATATAAAATGAGCTAATGGGGTTAATAATACTAATAAATATATTAAGGATATATGTAAAAAGGAAACATTAAATACATATTGGGGTGTTTAAAATTAATACGGGTTACCTGATCGCAGTTGACGGTACGCCTTCGTCGTCAGACTCCAAGCGAATTTTTTTCATTGCTACAATTTGGCCCGTGATTCGGTTGCGGCCTTTATAAACAACACCGTACGTGCCCTCACCAATCTTCTCAATTTTCTCAAATTCTTCCATTTCTAAAAATTATTAATACAAAACACTAATTCAAATTTCCGCGTTCTAAGATGCTTCTTTATTTGGAAGTTGCCAGATTTCTATATTGTATTGACAAGCCACTTGGAATTCGACAAATCAACATAAATCGTCAATTTGGAATATGGAATTGAATTGTACCCAAAATACAAAATGGACTAACTAATACATTTGTTTATGGGCCTGCGTGGCTTGTTAATTCAAGGGAAGTATCATATTTACACGCATTCATCTATTTATACATATTATTATGTTTAATTAATTCTCTTTGTACTCAATAATTATATGACATTATTCGGGGGAACGGTGAAACTTTAGATAGATGTGAAACATCGATTCATACTTTCAGCATCAAATATCCATAAAACAAGAGCTGACGACACAAACAAACACAAAATTTTCTGTGAATTTTTGTAGAATTAACAAAAATGGGTACATTAACAATAGTTTTAACTGTGGTTCAAAAATAAAAAATATTATTGCAAAAACTCATGTTGACGTTGGAAAAAAAAACAAATTTATGATTTCGAAGAGGAATAAATTTTGCAATGCTAGATTTACTTAATACACAAATACAGCTTTAGAAAATATTGATAAGCCTTTCCCAATACAAACAGTTTAGTAACTCTATTTGTTTTTTCCATGAACTCGCGTATATTGTAGCAACTTAAATGTATGTACATGTGTTTTATATTTATTTATTAAGCTAGCTGCTCCCTAATTGCTGAAGTATATTCGTGCCAGTGTCTACCGATGTCCGCAGCGCTTTTTAAAACGGAAATATGGATGACTTATTGATGCATTAACATAAATTTAACACCATTACTAGAGCAATTTAGCTTGTGCCTTAATTTTTTCTTAACCCAACCTCGAATTTGGATCGGAAATAATGTGTATCACGCTGTTTACTTTTAGAGCAAGCAGGTCAGCTGTTTTTGAGTGCCAGAATCGATGACTAAACGAAACATATCGATGACAAAATTTTTGAAAACAGGAGCAACTTATAACGAATACTTAACGTTTTGACTGAAACGTAATCCGATATCATTCGAATCGATCATATCTACCATTGCGCTGCTAGAAAGCAGCGTTAACTAGAAAGCCCACCTAACGCAGTTGTCTCTCTCGCTCTTACCGCATGCTCTTCCCAAAAGGCTATCCTTGCTTTTGCAACTAGTCAGTTAGCAATGTCTAATGTCATAAGACTGTTAGTAGCGAACAATTTTCCTGTACTGGGCACTAGGAAGTTGGTGATAAAAATATACATATATTCAAGTTCAAGTTAAAAGCAGTAGTTAACTTGAATTGCTTTAATGAATACCGTTATTATTTTGTCCACCCATCGATAGTACTCTCGATTGTTTTCACATTGCGTTGTACATTCACTAGAGTAGTATAAAAAACGTAAATATTTATGTATTAATTCACGTTAAAATGTAATGCCAATTGTATATTACTACCTGTGTTTCGAACTAAACAATAATATGGCTTTAAATGGATTTGTTGAGTTCTTTCAAAAAGGAAAAGTACGATAGTCAACCAAATGAATATTTATACAGCGTCTGCCCCGTCATCTGCATTTTTAAAAATCAAAACATCTATTTGCAGACTTTTAGGCCCAAAAAACGATTTGCGGCAGGCACAATTAGATATTCTCTCTACAAACAAGCCCAGGCTAGTCTTCAATCTGGCATAAATTTACGTCAGGTGGTGCGGTTACCTCCAGGGGAGAACATGAATGACTGGCTAGCGGTGCATGGTAAGTGGTCATTGCAGCTGTTAACAATCTCTACACGAACAAAAGTTCTAAATGTAAAATTTTTTCGATTTTAATACAAAGTTGTGGACTTCTTCAATCGTATCAACCTTATTTACGGTACTGTTTCCGAGTATTGCGATGAATCAACATGTCCAACTATGTCTGGAGGCTCACGTTATGAGTATTTGTGGGCAGATGGAGAGATGTAAGTTTTTATGCACCTTACCAAATTGATATCAAAATATGATTAGCTGCAGAATTACATCATACCACGTTTTATCATTATGATTCAGTTTGGGCATTCCTAAGAGCGATATGGGTTTCCTTCAGATATTGCAGATCGGTTGAAAAAATAACGACATAACTCCGCCTCAAATGTGGCTCACAGGAATAGTCGATGAGCAATCCCAGGAAGAAACTTTCCGGTAGGCTCTGCCTGGCTCCAAATTGGCGATGATTTCTTCAATGACACACCCGCTTCTGTCAAACTTAAATGAGAATTTTGGGTTGGATTGGATTCTTGAATTCAAAAACCAAAATACCGAATCTAAGTCTGCCACTGAAAGTGAAGTGATGTTCTGTATCTCCGCAACTCAATTCGAGAGATGCATTTACACATTTACGTCTACAACTTCGATGGTTCTTTATCCAGAGGTTAATTGATGGGTGCGTGTTGCGATCCATTATAGCGTTCGTAGTTCCGATATCGAATTTTCCGGGTTTATCAGTACTCATAGTGCATCCTTTTTGTTATGAAGGGCTCCCTCGATGGTGGCTACTAGCGAATGCAGTATCGTTTCCACCGATTACCCTTTTGGTGTAAGCATACTGGTTTGTTGACATCAGTCCCCTACATAATTCCTGATGTGTAAATCCAGCAGTTTTTTCAAAGTTTTTAATTGAAATTTTTACCTTTCTTAATTTACTGTTTCAGCTATAAAAAACCAGTTGCTCTCCCGGCTCAAAAATATATTGAACACCTAATGGACTGGATTGAGACTCAAATTAACAATGAAGCCTTGTTTCCCGTATCCACTGGTAAGTACGTGTAAATTCGAATACAACAATGAATTATATTCAAAAAAAAGAAAACTTTAAGCCTTTGCGCAGTGGGTCAAACGGCTAATCTAGCCTATATCGTCGAAAGTAAAAAAAGATCGTCTTCGTGACTAACAATTTCTGACTTCTAGAAAAAAAATGAACGTTTTGAGGCAGACAATAAAACAACAAAAATGCATTTAAAAAACTGCAAACAAAAAACAATGGTGTTTTACTATTTGATAATCAGAACGAACAAATTTACCAACTGATACTTGTTTTAGCCTACAAGAGTCTAGTCATTTTTAGATAAACTCTACGGAGCAATGCCAAAAACAGCAGTAAAGTCAAAAGTTATTGCTGTGGGAGCACTTAAGTCTGGCACTGTATACGTATGAATTTATCCGAATAATAATAATATATAATATTTATGATATTTTTTCAGGTGTTCCATTTCCAAAAACTTTTGTTGCACTTTGTCGTAAAATTCTAACGCGATTGTTCCGTGTTTTCGTACACGTCTACATTCACCATTTTGACAGAATCGTGAGCATCGGCGCTGTAAGTAATTTCAATTTGTTATAAACCGATAGTTAATGTAAGCCATTAAGGATATATGTAATTTCTACTCTCATGATAATAATTATTATCTATTATTTATTACATAGTAAGATACACTTTCTCAGCTAAACTGACAACGTTTTCTAGGCGCAATTCTATTTTTAGAAACTTTTTGTATAATTTATCCATCTATTTAGTTCCTCCTTCCTCGCTCACGAAACTGTCTGTGCAGTACCGGTATCCAAAAAATTAACTTATTCTTCTGTAGTTACTTATCAGAATGCTTACTCAGTAAGCTCAGCAATCCCTTTTTCTCGGATACGACCGAATTGTTGTAGAGTGAAGACTACTTGCGACGTGTCGGTTTATATTGGATCAACTGTATGCTGCATTTTGTAAATCCGTGCTTATGAAGCTGAATGACCACATTAGGGATTTTGATGGGTCCGCTCTCTACTCGTAGTCTGACGTCATTAAAGGAACGTAAATTTTCTTTTTTGTCCGATAAGATCTGGGAAACATCCCTAGTTCATCGAGAAGTTTCTTTATCTTGTAAATTAGGGGAGTTAGGTGGAAGGGGGTGGGACCTTTTCAAGCGGCCATATACATAACTACATCGCTACGAGCTGAAGCAAGCATCCTAGGTTGTTCGGATCATGCTTTTGGTCTCATAAACCAGTGAACTTTATCAGATTTTAGACGCACACTCGCTTTTCCTTTTCCATATGTAAACCGAGAGGGTGCACTATAATCTTTTCCCAGTAGAGAATGTTCTCTCCTTTCATCCCTACTCCTAGAATCGGATATATTATTGTCGGAGCACTATAGTATTCTGCTCTTTATAAATCTACGTTTCCTTGGCTGCTTTTGCGATCTTAACTCGGTGAATAACATGCTCCTACATTTTGTTTATTTACAGGAGGCGCACGTTAATGCTTGCTATAAACATTTTTATTATTTTGTAAAAGAATTCGATATGATATCAAGCAAGGAATTGGAGCCATTGCACGAAATGACGTCTCGGATTTGCAAAGACAAAGATTGAACATAATGATTGTACATGCTTTTATTTATTTTAAGCTTCATGAATACGAGAGTATTTCTTGTATTCATTCGGAATCTCTGTGTAGAAAATAAATTGCAAAAGCAAAAGAAAAAGGAAACTATATTGTGAAAAGGTGTGACGCTCTGCATCAATAGAATAAATAAATAAATTGATCGCATAAAGCGGAAAACCCATAACAAGATCCAAACTTTTTATACCCGATACTCAAAATGAGTATTGGGGTATATTAGATTTGTGGTAAAAGTGTATGTGTGTAACGTCCACAAGGAATCGTTTCCGACTCCATAAAGTATATATATTCTTGATCAGCATCAATAGCCGAGTCGATTGAGCCATGTCTGTCTGTCCGTCCGTCCGTCTGTCCGTCTGTCCGTCCGTCCGTCTGTCCGTCTGTCCGTCCCCTTCAGCGCCTAATGCTCAAAGACTATAAGAGCTAGAGCAACGATGTTTTGGATCCAGACTTCTGTGATATGTCACTGCTCCAAAAATATTTCAAAACTTTGCCCCGCCCACTTCCGCCCCTACAAAGGGCGAATATCTGTGGCTTCCACAATTTTAAAGATACAAGAAAACCAAAAACGCAGAATCGTAGAGAATGACCATATCTTTTAGACTGCAGAATCTGAATTGGATCGTATTATTATTATAGCCAGCATCACGAAAACAATTTAATTTTTTCTCGCCCTGTCTCTCTCTAACACACACGTAGCATAGGCGGCTTTGCTTAGAGTAAAACATTAGCGCCTAGATCTCAGAGACTATAAAAGCTAGAGCAACCAAATTTGGTATCCACACTCCTAATATATCGGACCGAGACGAGTTTGTTTCAAAATTTCGCCACACCCCCTTCCGCCTCCGCAAAGGATGCAGATCTGGGGATATTCATAGATCTCAGAGACTATTAAGGCTAGAGTAACCAAATTTGGTATCCGCACTCCTGTTAGATCTCACTATAAAACGTATATCTCAAAATTTCGCCCCACCCCCTCCCGCCCACACAAAGGACGAAAATCTGTTGCATCCACAATATTGCAAATTCGAGTAAACTAAAAACGCAGAATCATAGAGAATGACCATATCTATCAGATTGCTGAATCTGGATCAGATCAGATTATTTTTATAGCGAAAGGAAACAAATCAATTTGCACTGGCTACGCAGCGCCCGACGTCACGCTCAGACTGATTTTCTGTCTCTCTCGCACGCACTCTTTGTCGTGTCGATTAATATAAGCGGCGTCTGCCGGAGGAGAGCCATACTGACTTAGTATCGGGTATAACTGTAGAGTTGCGGTGTCCGCAGCAACTCACAACGTTCCCCCTCGTTTTTGACTGTTCCTGACAGTCTACAGCTAGTATGAAATAAAATTGTTATTTCCGTATATTTTTCCTGTTTATTTGTATTTATTAAGAAAGAGCATCGAGTTCAATTTTATTGCCAGAGATTCGGCACTAAGTCAAGATACCTCACAATACCCGTAGAAGGGTATGAGGCCGGTGTTCGGCTGCGAGAGGGGAGAGTGACAGACAGGGATGCGGCTCAGCTTATGCTTTGCCAACGTAGCCAAGACGGTGAGACGGTGAGGGAGTGGTCGATTTAAAAAAGAATACAAAAAAAAATATTTTTCGAGCCCGTAGCCCTTAGATATGTTATGTAAGGTCCGACTGTAAGAAATAAAGACAGTTTTTAAACAGAACTTAACGCAAATGTATATTTCCTTTAGCAAAATGTAGTATTGTTGTATTTCAACTGTTAATATATCATTAAAATTTTATTGGTGACTTTAACTAACATATGTAATGGGCACATCAAAAAACAAGGGAATGTCAATTTAAAATTTATTTAAAGTATATTAATTTAGTAAGAGACAAACGCCCGATAGGACGTCAGCGTGCTTAATTTATCATGTCTAAAAAGGTATATCTATATCATCTAAATTTGGCAGCGCCATATGTGAGTCCAACTTATACTCGCATTGTTCAGTCCCAGTGTTATCAATATCTTGTTTGGAACAATTGTCCCTGTCAAAGTTGTCACAAAAAACATTGTATATTGAGATGCAGCACTCAGTTTCCAAAGTTTCCACTAAGTCGCCAAGATCATTTAAAATTGTTTGAGTAAAAGTATTTTTACCAGATTGATTATCCAACCATATTTCAGCAATGGCTAGAAAAAAATAAAAAAATCATTTTAAGAAGCAGATATATTATACATACTTAAATACGAATGTACATGTCGACCTCCTTTTGCGAAATGATCATTAGCGACAAAAAGTAAAGCTGCCAATGGATGACGAATTAAATATTATAGAACAATTTAACATAAAAGTGAGTTTTGAATTAATTTTCGCTGATCATAATTTGGCAAAGAGGGGCGATATATGCGTGTACACATTAATGATAATTTCCTTGGAGACGGTCATAACTAAAAAAAATACAATGCGTCAAACGCGAGTTAAGACGTAACGCTGAGAGTCTCTTCTCACGTGTACAACAAGTTATAAAAGTGCATTTACAAAAACGAGTTTCGAACATTGATTGGAGTCGTAACATGACTTCTGTCGCAGTTGCATGGAGGAAATAAAGCAAGGGATCGGCACCCAATATTCACATTTTTTATAAGTAGACAGCAGGAAAAACGAAACATTATGTTAGCAGCAACAAACTGGGTTACGCGTGTAGGTGCGCGGCAGCATCACAACACTTTCCTTTTCACTGTGCATAGGATGCTGCAAACCTCTGAAATAGAGTGTAAAGCCTCGCCTCTGCGGCTGTTCGAAAGAGGATTCTTCGAGGATCTAGACCTCTGGAGAGACCGGTACGGACTGAGACCACTGGATCCCTAATTAGACGACACAGCACACAGGGCAGATCTGCCAACGAGCGACCATAGAACTGCGTTTTTTAAAGTTATGAAGTCTCTAAAGTAATTTAAATATGTGTAATCGATTGAAGAGAATACAAATTTTAAGCGACTTACGTCTCCAGCATTTATTCAAGCACTTCGTACTCGAAAAGTCCATATAATCAAATAAGTTTTCATAGGCACTCTGGGAACATATTTCATTTTTTAAAGAATAGAGACCCAAGTAATTAGGTGTAACTTTCAGAATGGCTTCTCCACGTTCATTATCATAATTTCTATGGAAATTCTGAAGTGGCAATTTTGCAACGCTCTTAGGGAATGATATGGAATCACTTTTAAATGGCGTTTGGTTTTGATGCATCACATTTTCCAGCTTTCCCAGAACTAATTTTCTGGCATTTTGTTTTATGCTACTATTATTAATAGACAATGCATTCTTTTTGATGGATATCGACGATACTAGATTTTAATAAATAGAGAGAAACTCATAAAATGCAACAGTTAATATATTGTATAGAATGCATACCTGGATTTTCCTTGGCCAAAAAAATCTGCTCCATTCTTCAATAAATTTCTGCCAACGAAATTTTCTTAGTTAGTTATAGTAGCAGATATCAAATTCAAACATATGTTTGCGGGCACTAAATTGTTGTAGCGATAGGAATTACATTAAAAAATCAATCGAATATATGAGTCAAGTTATCGTCGCAGAGCTCGCGTCCCATCGATACAAGCAAATAAGGAACGCGTTATTGCTATCTGCGATGAAGTGGAACGCAACCGAATTATACCCGGCCATTTTCTACAGATGTAGAAGTTCTCCCACACACTATGGGAGGAGGGGTCCACAAAAATGTATTATCTAATGATAAAATAAGATTTAATTGTTTTAGGGACTATCAGACCAGCTACTCTTTCCTCCATTTCAAATAGACCACACAGATTCCCCACTTCCTCCTCAAATTCGACAACCAATTGTTGTGCGTAAGGGCCTTCTTCTGAAATTTCAACGAAATGCAATATAAGTTGCCTATTCCATTAAATTCGTTTTACCAACAAAGAAATTTGTTGCAATGCAAGGTCATATCTTATGTGCATATAAAAAAGTGCTGCAGCTGCCGCTCACGTACAAAAAAGTATAACACTGATTGGCACCAATACAATCCTCCGTTTTTCTTTCTGTCTTCGCAAAAACCCGCAAAAATAAAAGCGTGAATAAATGCTTAACGCCCTCTGCTTAGGATGCAAGTAAACACATCTTTATTAATTCGACGAGGAGGTGTTTTCTGTTAAGCTAATTGCATTAAATACACATATTACATAAAGGGTGTAGTCGGTTTTTTTTTTGACTATATTCTACAATTTTGTTTGTACATGTGTGCTCCCGTAAATCCTCAGTATATTCTTGTTAAATATCTAATCGCCATATCTCCACCTTGGCGGCTGCTTAGCATGGCTTCAAAATACACAATATCACAATGCAACATGATTAAGAAAAAAAAACGAATATTAAAAATAATGACAATAAGACAATCTTAATTTTGATATAATTTTGTGATTATAATAATATATAGATTTGATTTGATGTTCATTCCATTATTCCAAATTTCTAGCGCTATGTCCATGTCAATGATAACATAACTCATGTATAATTTAGACATCGATAACCAAACTGCTTTGGTATGCTTCTTCGAATTTTCTGCCGGAACATTTTAGTATACAATTTTCCAGGAAAATAAAGTTAGTGAAGTTTCAAACATATTTCCAAATATTTCAAATATAACGTATTTATAATATAACCACTTCAAAAATACTTGCGAAGACTACAATATGTCGTCCCATCAATACCACCAAATTGCAAATTTGCTGGAAAAGGTACGTATAGATTTTTATATCCGCAATGATTGAAATACATATATAGTTGAGTTTTACACATGCAGATGACCTCAACCGATAAAGATTTTCGGTTTATGGCAACAAACGATTTAATGATGGAATTGCAAAAGGATAGTATTATTCTTGATGATGACTCGGAAAAAAAAGTAGTCCGAATGGTATTAAAACTATTGGAGGATAAAAACGGCGAAGTGCAGAATCTAGCTGTAAAGTGTCTGGGCCCCTTAGTCAACAAAGTAAAAGAAATCCAAGTAGAGACAATTGTTGATTCCCTCTGTGCCAATATGATGTCAAACACAGAACAGCTAAGAGACATCTCGAGCATTGGTTTAAAAACAGTAATTGCTGAACTCCCTCAGTCTTCAAACTCTCTTGCCCCAAATGTCTGCCAGCGCATAACAGGAAAATTAAGTACGGCCATTGAAAAGGAAGATGTTTCAGTAAAATTAGAGTCTCTTGATATTCTGGCAGACCTACTTTCTCGATTTGGCGAGTTTTTAGTTCCCTTCCATAGTACCATATTAAAAGCACTAATACCACAATTGGCTTCGTCCCGTCAAGCTGTACGAAAGCGTACTATCGTAGCACTTTCATTTCTTCTCATGCAAGCAAATACCAATGCCTATAATGGCGTCATTGATCATCTTCTTGATGGACTCGAAAAACCACCAAATCCTGCTGCGATTCGAACGTACATTCAGTGTCTAGCTTCAATATGGTAAGACATAATAAATATCAATATTACTAAGGTATTAACTGTTGTTAATCTCTGTAGCCGCCAGGCTGGACATCGGCTTTGTAATCATACTATTAAACGCTCAATGCGTGTTCTGGAGCAATACAGCGAGCAGGATGACGATGAATTACGTGAGTTTTGTCTACAGGCCTGTGAAGCATTTGTTATGCGCTGTCCCGATGCCATACATCCACACATATCTATGGTACGTAATCTTTCAGTAATCTGTATATCTGTTATATTCATTCACTGCTTTGTTAAAAGATTCTGGCACTTTGCCTGAAATATGTTACCTATGATCCAAACTACAACTATGAGACCGATGATGGTGACACTGGATATGCAATGGATACCGAAGATGATGAATACGTTGACAGCGAAGAATACAGTGATGACGACGACATGAGTTGGAAGGTCAGACGAGCTGCAGCTAAGTGTCTAGAAGTTTTAATTGCGACTCGACAAGAACTTATTGAAGATTTTTATCGTACCTTAAGCCCAGCTTTAATAGCTCGTTTTAAAGAAAGAGAGGAAAATGTAAAGTCTGATATATTTCACGCATATGTTGCATTGCTTAAGAGCACGCGTCTGACCGATGATGTGACTCCAGACCCCGACTCCATGGATCAAATATCAAGTCCAACTTCATTATTAATGGAGCAGCTGCCACTAATCGTCAAAGCGGTACAACCGCTAATGCGAGAAAAATCAATGAAAACGCGTCAGGATTGCTTCTTGCTACTACGAGAGCTCTTAAACTCACTACCAGGAGCTTTAGGTCCTCATTTAGACAGCGTTGTGCCCGGCATAAGTTATTCGTTAAATGATAAGAGTTCGACAAGTAATATGAAAATCGAGTCGCTAGGTTTTCTATATTCTCTACTTCAAGGTCATCCACCGAGTGTGTTTCATCCACACATACCGTCACTAGTTCCTCTAGTAGTGACTTCAGTTTTCGATCCATTTTATAAAATTGCCACAGAAGCATTAATGGTGTTACAGCAACTTGTTAAAGTAATTCGACCATTGGATACAAATGATTCAAAATCTAACTTCGATGCGACACCCTTTGTTGGGCAGGTTTATTCTTGCACGCTGCAAAAACTAAAAGTCACTGACGTAGATCAGGAGGTGAAGGAAAGAGCTATAGCATGCATGGGACAAATTATTGCTAATATGGGAGACATGCTAAAAACTGAACTGTGCATTTGTTTACCAATTTTTATGGAACGCCTTAAGAACGAAGTAACCCGGCTGAGCAGTGTGAAAGCGCTCACTATGATTGCAGCATCCACGTTACGTATAGACCTCACGCCAATTTTGCATGATGTGTTACCGACTTTAGGTACATTCTTGCGCAAGAACCATCGTGCCCTGAAGCTCCACTCTTTGGATCTTATTAACAAAATTGTTATCAACTATTCAAGCAACTTTGAACCGAATCTACTGCAGACAGCAATAGTAGAAATTCCACCACTCGTATCTGATACAGATTTACACGTAGCTCAGTATTCTTTAACGCTCCTAAGCACTGTAGCCCGTAGGCAGCCACAAGCATTAGTTGGCATACATGAGCAGTTTTTACCATCAGTACTTATTCTAGTTCGGTCACCATTGTTGCAGGTACGTAAAATCATTTTTAGTTACGATTTTTTTTAATGTAATAGGAATTTTCTGTCTTTATAGGGAACAGCATTGAACTGCACGTTGGAGTTGTTTCAAGCTTTGGTTCAAACGCAGTTGCCTGGCTTAGACTATCACTCGCTTGTGTCAAAACTTATGGCGCCAGTCTTGATTGGTGGTGACATGACGTCTAGAAGTACAACTACGTCTCCAATTGAACCATTACAACTTCATAAACAAGCATATCATTCATCAGCCAAGTGCATCGCTGCTCTAACTCAACAATGCTCGCAAGTGGCCACACCATTAGCAACAAAGCTGATAACAGACCTACAAAAACGAAACGACACAGAAGTCATCTTTTGTTTATTAACAATTGGAGAAATAGGTAGGCACTTTGATCTGAGCTCCATACAAGTGCTCCCAAAAACTATTATAGACTGCTTTGGTGCAACCTCCGAAGACGTGAAAGCAGCAGCGTCACATGCCCTTGGAGCGGTATCTGTTGGCAGCTTGCAGACATATTTGCCGCTTATTTTAAAAGAAATTGAAGTACAGCCCAAGCGACAATATTTGCTTCTTCATTCCTTAAAGGAAGTTATATCGTCTCTTTCTGTAACACCTTGTGGCCTCGCCCAATTGTTACCATCTGTGCCATCCATATGGACTCAACTTTTCAAGCATTGTGAGTGCTCAGAAGAAGGTTCACGTAATGTGGTGGCCGAATGCCTTGGTAAGCTCGTACTGGTTAACCCTGACGAATTACTGCCGCAATTACAGCAAGCACTGCGATCGGAGAGTGCTACTATGCGTACTGTTGTTGTCTCTTCAATCAAATTCACCATTTCCGATCAGCCACAACCCATAGATGTCCTTCTTAAACAAAGCATTGGAGAATTCCTTTTCGCGCTTCGTGACCCAGAACCCCAAGTGCGTCGCGTTGCTCTTGTTGCTTTCAATTCAGCTGTGCACAACAAGCCAAGCCTGGTGCGCGACCTGCTACCTACCCTTTTGCCATGGTTGTATTCTGAAACAAAAGTTAAGAGTGAACTTATTCGAGAGGTAGAAATGGGACCGTTTAAACACACAGTCGACGATGGTCTGGATATCCGTAAAGCTGCTTTTGAGTGCATGTATACACTGCTTGAGCAGGGTTTAGATCGTGTAGATGTTATGCAATTTCTAGATCATGTGCAAGCTGGACTTTGCGACCACTACGACATTAAGATGTTGACGTACCTAATGACTGCTCGTTTAGCCGTATTGTGTCCGGATAAGGTGTTGCTAAGTAAAATATATTTTTAAATATGGTTATATTCGATATGTAATTGTTGCTTCCCGTCCTAGGACTTGATCAATTTATTCAACAACTACGTGATACTTGTACACATAAGGTGAAAGCCAATTCCGTGAAACAGGAATACGAAAAGCAAGATGAACTGAAACGTTCCGCACTTCGCGCCGTGTCTGCACTTTCTCAAATACCCAAAGCAAGTAAGTATTCATAGAGACATATACCTCAGCCTAATCCAATAATCAAAAATTGTCCTGCTTAGAGAAAAATCAGCATTTAATTGATTTTCTAAAATCAATTAAGGAAACTCCAGAATTGGCTAAAATTTACGAGTATATACAGAAGGATTCGGTCGCTGGGGGCTCGGAAATTATTTTAATGGATCAAAGTTAAAGACCCTGTGAGCTCGGAAATAATTGTACTGGATCAAAGCTACAAGTCAAGCATAGATTTCTAGTTTCTTTCATCTGTCAAACATTTGCGTATGCAAATGTAGTTATGTCTGAATTAGATATATTTAAATAAATATATATATATATATGTGTTCTTTTTTTTTTTTAAATTGACAAAAGTATTGAAAAAATAGTTTTTATATGAAAGTTGCTTTTCAATTTTAAAGATAAAGCTTGAATTTGGGTTTCCGTAAATGAAAAGATCTTAAGCTGCCTGGTTTGACCTTTTCCTCTGGGGCTCATCAGAAACAGATTTACCAGCAGTTTTACCACCATCAGATGTCGGCCCACTGTCTGAGACTGTTTCTGGTGGGTGTTCAAGCACGTGATCAATAATACCAAGTATCTTGGCCTCATCGGGGGTCATGAAATGATCCCGCTCCATTCGTTGGCACATTTCTTCGTACGAGTTTTTAGCATGCTTTACATATATGCTAGTAAGTTGGCGTTTAATTTTGATAATTTCCTCGGCATGTATTAGGATATCGGTGGCTTGACCCTAGAGTAAGTACATTGTTGGATATTAAATGTTATTATTGACAAAAGGAAATGAAGAAATTAAACATACTTGTGCGCCTCCAGAGGGTTGATGTATCATAATTCTGGCATTAGGTAATGAATATCGCATTCCCGGTGCTCCTGCAGCCAATAAAAGTGATCCCATTGAACATGCTTGACCAACGCACCACGTCGCTATAGGCGGCTTAACGTACTGCATAGTGTCGTAAATGGCAAGACCAGCAGTAACAACGCCACCCGGAGAATTTATATACAAGTGGATTGGCTTGTTGACATTCTCAGATTGTAAAAACAACAATTGAGCAACCACGGTAGAGCTAATGTCATCGGTTATGTTTCCCATAAGGCAAATAATCCGTTCTTTCAGCAGTCGCGAGAATATATCATAGGCCCGTTCTCCTCTGCCAGTTTGTTCTACCACCATGGGAATGAGATTTATACTCCGAGAAGAAGTAGTTCCGGTAACACATTTTAGCTATTAAAAAATGGTCATATTACGCACTTTCGTTACATATAATCGATATTGAAACTTACAGAATTATTTTGTAACAAGCGGCTGATAGTGTTCCTAAGCATTTTTCTGGTATGGCTTTGACGGTAATCAACCTGAATGGCAAAACATCTGTTTTATAAGGCTTAGCATAGACATTTCTAATAATTTTAGAGACAGATGAAATGGAACACTGAAAATGTATGCCGAGATGGCATACTTTGCTAAGGTGATATATATATGGATTAGATTCTGTTAGTTATTTGAACAAATTGTTTATAACGTGCCAGTAAAAATGTACGATGAAAACTCGTTCGATTACGCTGGTCAACAAAATTGTACCATTTTTTTAGAGGGAACGAAACTGTGGTCTGCAAAAATTACTGAATAAATTATTGAAAGGGTTTTTTCTTAAACATTTTACGAGCGGTTGATATTCAATATTTCTAGTGTTTTTTGTGAGAATATAGTGTTTTCCACACGAACATATGCAAATGAGCTGCTGGGATGATGAAGTGGCGCTAGATGAACGCCGGAGCGGGTAACGCAATCACGTTTCAGCAATCGAAATTAAATAGTCAGCATTGTGCAAGTATAAACACAATGCTGCGCCATGACATGAATTTCATGCCATTTTAAGAGATCTTATCGCTCTTCGGGACTTTATTGACTCGGCTATTGTTGCTGATTAAGAATATATATAAACCTTATGGACAGTCGTCCTTGTACGCCAAAAATAAGATATCCATCTTCGAGTGTCGAGTATAATAATACATATTCTGCAAATATGCTATTTTCGTTAGATATAAAATTTGTTTGTTCCTCTGTTCTCAAAGTTTTGCTATGCCATCGATAGCGTTTCTTTCCCAAATTGTTTTGATGTGATTTATAAAAAAATATTTTTGCTTTTAGTTATTAATTAAAATAAAAGGTTTTGTTTCGGAATTTCGAGAATTTTGGGAATTCAGGAATTCGCCATTTATTTTCGCTTTGGTATATTTTCAAGTTTGAGTTGTAATTATAAATGATCTTGCATATAAATAAATATTGAAACAAATTAATCATCAAATATGGTGGTAGTTCAGTCTCAAGACCTAGCTTGTCTGGCTATAACCATTAAATTTTCGCTGTGCGAAAACCGGAGTACGAAATTAGGCTATTTAAGGTCACACCGCAAATTTGTCCGATTTCCGATAACCGCAGCATGACTGATAACAAGTCTTTGATGAATTCGTCAGTCTGTCAAAAATATCAAATAGCTGCAGGCGATAAAATTTTCTGTCGTATAAATTCATATTCATATCATATATTTTGGCTACTACTTTTTTTGATGGATTGTCGGTATCTGCCAATCTAGAAGAAATAGACAACTAATTTGTACATCATAATATTTATTTTTTTTTTGGCAATAATATTGCACCTAGTGTTCGATAATTTTCTAGTGCGTCGATCGATATTTAAAAACATTAGTAGCGATATATCGCAAGATTCTTTCCTATCCACCTAAATAATCTTTGTATGATTAATAAAAATGAGTGAAAATGTTATTTGGACTATCAAAAACGGAGAGTTTGATGCTGTGCAAGAAGCGTTCAAAAACGATGTGTGTGTTTGCATGCAAGTTCTAAAAGTGCATTTAATTGTATTCTTTTTTTCGACAGGTTCTTAAAGTAAATGAGGAGATTAAAGGAAGGTACCCAATTCATTATGCGGCTGATTTTGGTCAGTTAAAGGTGCTCGAGTTCTTGATTCTAAAAGGAGCCGATGTTAATGTAAGTTTAGCCGATTTAATTATGTTCTCTAAAAACAGTATACACACACACGTATTATATACAGTGACCGGCAAAGTCTCAGTACGAATTTCACCACTTATTGGCTTACTGACTGGCCGTGTGACTATAAACATGTTTCCAAAAAGTTATGATTGAGCTTTGTGATTTTTTTCTGTTTTCTACATATTTATAAAGTCATATAACTTTTTTGCGCATATCCTTCCTGTGCGTAGCGAACATTTTGAAGGACTAGATACATATGTATGTCCTTAAACTCTGCAGGTAGATACTGGCCGGATTTAAGTAATTTTAAATAAGTTTACTGCTGTTTTGAAATCATTCCCATAGCGATTTTTAAAGAAAAAATTGCTTCCGCTAAACTAAACTGTTCATCATTCTACATTTTCCTAACCAAGCAAAAATCTTTATTGTCAATAAAAATGAATTTAATCCAAAAATATTCCCGATACGGAGTGCTATTGAGATTGAGCAAGATTTGGGGAAGGCAAGGATGGATGTGTATAAGAAGAAGGTTCTTTCAAAACTTATCCAGGCCTTCTACCCTCAAGTGGTGCAAACTATGGTGCAAAACTATGCAAACTATCCATAATTTTGAAGATACAAGAACACTGAAAGCGCAGAGTCATAGAGAATCATAATTGATTTGAGAAACACATTGCAATCGGATCATTATAATATCCCGAATGAAGAAAGCAAGCATACGTAGATCAAGAACAATTACAATTTTTCCACGCCCACAAAAATTGAATACTTGAATACTTGATTCATATATACTTACCCATGGATATGTGTAGGCTCTGTATTAAAAACTTCTTAGTATCAGAAACTATCATCCCTTGTAAATGATCTGATTTACTGTTATCCTTATATGCTCTAACACAGAAAAAGGATAAACATGGCATTACACCGCTTCTTGCAGCTATTTGGGAAGGACACAAGAGCTGCGTAGAGCTTCTTTTGGAAAAGGTTTGGATTGATAACAAAAATCTGTAAATGTTCTAAAAAAGTTTTAAAATTCAATATCTTACAGGGAGCAAATAAAAGCGAGTCTACTCCAGATGGCAAAAGTTATATTGAAGCAGCAGAGAGCGATGAAATCAAGAAACTTCTTATCTAAATTATAAAATAATTATGACGCTAAGCACTTTAAGTTTTGGAATTGAAATACAGACTAGCTCTAGTTTCTCTAGATTCTAGTTTTTATGACTCTCCTCGAGTTTGCTCAAAGTGATAATATCACAACAGGATCTTTATATCAACGCATTAACAAATCTTTTGTGGTATATAATTTAAGGCGTCATTCCAGAAAGATTGCATGATGTGGGCTTTTTAAGATTGAATTTTAAAAATGCATCCCAATCGAAAATAAATTACCTGACACCATTTCTTTTAGATGATTTTTTACGATTTTCCACAACTTTGACAATTGGCCAAAAAAGGCTCTGGTCAATTGATGGGTAGAAATGCAGACAAGCACAGCCACTGTGCTGGTGTGCGGTGAATATCGACATTAAAAGCTGCAGAGTAATAAGCAAATAAGTTTCCACCATATTTGTTTTTTAGAGGGGGTGCGGTGAGCGGCCCGCCTGTTATCCGGTGCTCGGGAGTTAACGCGTCTCCGTGGCTTCGGTTTGGGCTTAGTGGTCTTAGCGGACGCGAGACCCGACCTGCACGGTCTCCAGCTCATCTGCGGTGAGAAGAGCTCTCGAAGGAAAGCTCGCACCCGCTTGACGTTTGCGGATGAGACGGAAAACGAATAATCTTAGCAGTTTGAGGTGTGACGAGTATACCTCGATTGCATGCACTAAATCATTTGGTCTTCATCTTCAGATTTTCTTCGCAGATTTTTGGGCCAGATCTCTTTTTCATCCTTAAAAACTCTGGTCTATCAAACTTGATCAACTGCACGATTTCCTCTCCGTCACAACCTCTCGAAACAATGTCTGCTGGGTTCTGTTTTGTGATTTTTCCGCTACGTAGCATCACCAGACCTCGGTCACCAGACTCGGTTCGCAACGAATGTTGATAGCGACGTAGAGTGGGATCGGATCTAATGAAGGGTAATTTCCGAATCAGACCAATGTATAATTCGTTCGATTGGAACCTTGAATAGCGATTTGAGTCGGGGCAAGAGATCTGCGAGAAGGTGAGCGGCTCATATCTTAGGACTTAGGACGTCGGCAGAGGCATGTCCTTGAATCGCTGACATAGGATCAGTACCAGATTACCCCCAAACTAGTGAAGTCACCGACTGACCTGTCTATTTTGAACTTAAAGACTTCTTCGTGTGGCTGCCACGATATTCCTATCGGCTTTGTTGACTTTGAGTCCCAGATCGCTATCGGTTTAGCTGGGATTTCGGATGCGGTGACCTCAGGTGAGTCAGCAATCAGCTTGCTGAATCAGCCTTTACTGTCAATCAGCGTCGTCTGTTCAATATGAACGTCACATGCTTGAATTTATACTCGGCTATTTTGATGCGTCAATCAGTTGTTACTAAGTGTCTCTCAAGTGGCAGGATAACTTTTAATGAACATTTGGATCGACTTGGGAATGCTGTGTTGCCAGCAAAAGTGTAAGATCACAGGAGAGCCATCACACTATCAAAACAAATAGTCATTTTACAATCAATATAAACTGAATAATAAAGCTCCAGAATACAACTTTTATTTTACAAGTCAAAGGACTAGCTTAAATTATATTTAACTATAAATTACATTTTTACAAGTCTTAATAATGCATAAATTATGTAAAATTATCTGGGTCCTTCGGCTACAGCGACAGGTAAAACGTTTCCAAGACTTGTTGCAGTTTTTGATGGCTTCAAAACCATATAGTTTGAATCTGTTTTTATTGTTTCTTCTTCTGCGTTCTTTTTAAAATACCATTCTTTTTTATTTGCCAAAAATAATAGCATCAAAGCTGGCAAGTGCAGTAGTGAAAACCTAAAAAGGCTTCTCGAGCTTTTGCTATCTGACTTTTTGTTAAATTTATACGCTGTAAAAAAATATTGAAAAGAAGATTAGTTTATGTATATATCATGTTGTAATTAATATTAGAGCTGAAGAGATTTTGTGGAGACCAGCTCGACTGGCGGCAATATAGACATTTTTTCAGTTTGATGCTATGCTGGAGCTAAAACCAGTTTTGCATATAGTTTTTATTATTGTCTATATAGATTATTTATCAGATTCATACACTTTATCGTACATGTCGAACAAATAAGATAAAGACCTGGTTAACGTCTTGGTCAAAACATTTTATTGACAAAACTTGAATGATTCCTATCACCCTTATACCATTTTTATAAATAGTAGACCAACAGTCAGTCATTTGTTAGACCGCGCGCAGTAAAGCCGAAAGCGGAACTGAAAACATAGTTTAAAAACCCGAAAACGCCAAATAAGGAAAAATAAACTGCAGAATCTGAAAGGAAACTCATTCTGCATTTTCCTAACTCTTTTGAGCCGTTGAACGAAGAGTCGAATGAAAGTTGGTGCCGTGACTCCATTTGTTATTACCACACTTCAGCTTGCCTTGGTTGTGAAAATGCAGAATAATTTTCTTTTCATAGTAGTGTGGCCACCATTGGAGGTATGCTGAGATTAAATATGGCAGAGCTCCACAGAAATAAAATCATGTGTGAGTCCTTGTACAATAAAAGTGACCATATGGCCAAATTACAAGAACATAGCTCAAGAACAGCCCAAAATGATAAATGTGCTTCTAATTTTGTTTGTTAATAGGGTACTAAAATTATTGCTGGTCTGGGTGTGTTTTTACTTACCCAAGTATGCGAAATACGCGTTTAAGGGAATTGTTTCCAAAGCAAACCAATAGTTTGTAACGTCTAGAACTGGCGCCATTAATGAAAGTCCGACAATGGCTAGTGAATATCGGAACGCTGTACGACGACATAGACTCGGATTAGTAACCGCCATCATGCGATACCCGGCGCGAGAGTAGTCCGGTCGCAGGTTCCATGAAAGGGCATTAAAATGAGGGAACTGCCAAGCAAACAGTATACCAGCCAGTATCATTGCGCCTGAATCTAGACTGCCAGCGCAACCGGCCCAGCCCATTAAAGGTGGAATTGCGCCAACTACTGATCCAATCCACGTGTTGACTATACTAATCCGCTTCATTGGTGTGTATATTGATGTGTAAAGAAAAAGATTTCCCGCTCCTAGAGCCGCTGTTAGTCCATTAACACCAAAATACAGCATGCATAGTCCAGTTGACGCAGACACAGCGGCAAACAGTACTGATTTAAGTGGGGTAATTTGGCCGGTTACAAGCACACGGTTTTTCGTTCTCGACATTTGGGAGTCGAAAGGAACTTCATGATATTGATTTATTGCATTAGCTGCAGCTGAAATCATTCCTGTTCCCAACGTGCACATAGCAAACGAACTAAGATCGAACGCAGCAGGTGCCATCGCATATCCACCCATTGTGGTAACAACAACCAGAGCTGAAATACAACAATAAACAAGAAGCTCATTTAATTTTCCAGCACGAGAAAACTTACATGTAAGCCGAAATTTTGAAAGTTTTTTGTATTGACTGATTGTTTTCCCAATGGCAGTGTATGGACTCGGCAGCCATGAGGTATGGTTATCGGGTATTATATTTGTCGCTGGGAATATCACATTGTCTTTACTAACAGGCCCACTAATATCCTTCACCTGAGATACTGGTACTATCGAATTGTCACAAGGCGAAGCACTTCTCATTTCTGCAATTACTTCATTATTGGAGGATGCAGTTTTAGTTGTACACTGAAAATTCAAACAGTTTTAAAGTGTTCAAAGTTACATAACACACATACAATAAACTTACTCGCGTCCATTGTAAATTAACAGGACTTACAACCTGGGTTATTAGCCTCCATTCACGCTTGACTAATCCCCGCATCATTATTAGTTTTTTAAACAAAACCGGTGATACATAATTCAAGCAATGTAATATTAAGGTCTTATACACTAATGTGTATAATTTTGTTTAAAATAACATAAATTACTGACAAAAATGTGACCATATACCAAAATGAAAAAATACTGAGGTGAAATTCATCGTAATCTTCGCTCTCAAATAACACATTCCTTTCCTGTTTGCATCAAACCAAAATTTTAGTTTAGTTTTGAACAGATTTTATTCGTAAACAAACACAACAAAGTTTAAACGTAGAGCACATAGAGGTTGCAACATTCTGCGGAAATATATGACAATTTTAGAGGGGAAAAACTTCGCTTATCTGAGTACTGGCCTTATAGTCTAATAAGTACTCAGGCAGGAAATATTTGGCAGGAAACAGCTGTACCCCACTGTTTAATTGTTTACAACCAAATCGGACTTCGTCAGCTGTTTTCACGAAAACGAAAATTGTTGTTGCCCTGACAAGCCGTTTACCCACCAATTCGTCGAGGAAAATATTTTCGTTTTGAAAACGAAAAAATCTTGCGAAATGTGAAAACGTGTGTCTTCAAAAGTAAATTTGAAAACTTTTGTGAAAGTGAAAACAGGAATCTGGCTGAATGTTAAATTTTTCCGCTCAGTACTATCGTTGGTTAACTAAAACAATCGATGGTCGGCGTATTTTTCAACCATCGATAGTATCGCTAGTACTATCGATTTTTTCCCAACCCTATTGTCAACTCTGTTCGTTTCCCATTGCTAATGGCAACAATCATTCCAAACAAATTTATTGACAGAAAAATTTTGAACAGTTTCGTATTCATGTTTGTAGTTTGTACGAGTTTCGGCTGTGCTAAATTTGTTGGCCAGCATTTACTGGTCATATACTAAATTTGAAAAACAGTATATTGCGAAACAACCCGGTCAATTCAATCGCAGAATGTTCAAAAATACTTTTCAATCTGGATTTTTATCAATTCTCTACAGCATTGGCTCCAAGCCTCTTCAGCTTTGGGACAAGAAAGTGCGCAATGGACATATAAAACGTATAACTGACAATGACATACAGAGTCTAGTTCTGGAAATAGTTGGGACTAACGTCAGCACTACATTTATAACATGTCCAGCGGATCCAAAGAAGACACTTGGTATAAAATTGCCTTTTCTTGTAATGATTATTAAGAACATGAAGAAATACTTCACATTTGAAGTGCAGGTAATATTTCTGATGCAGCTCTTCGTATGATATTCTTTACATATAATTTGTAGGTTCTGGATGATAAAAATGTTCGTCGCCGGTTTCGAGCCAGCAATTATCAATCGACCACTCGTGTCAAGCCATTTATTTGCACGATGCCCATGCGTCTGGATGAGGGATGGAATCAAATTCAATTTAACCTATCTGACTTTACACGGCGCGCCTATGGCACAAACTATGTAGAAACTCTGCGCGTACAAATCCATGCAAATTGCCGTATACGGCGCGTATATTTTTCTGATCGCCTCTATTCAGAAGACGAATTGCCGCCAGAATTTAAGTTGTTCCTACCAATTCAAAAACCAGTACAAAAGTCCAACGCTATTTGCGGCTAGGTTCTTTCCGCCGACGAAATTGCATCTATAATCAACTATAGCACAAAATATCCAAAGTTTATAGCGGCCCAGTTGCTAAAATTGTAATTTCACTCATATATTAACATTTTTATGAACTAAATAGGCAAATATATTGAAAAACAATAAAAATTCGCATATATATCTACATACTTTGAACTATTCATGGACCTTTGTCAGTACTTCTGCTCCTGCCTCTGTTATAAGTATAGTGTGTTCAAATTGTGCGCTCCGTGCACCATCTAGGCTGATTGCAGTCCATCCATCTTCTAACAAAGCTATGTCCGATTCGCCAAGAGTTAGGATGGGTTCAATTGTAAACGTCATACCAGGATGCATTTTACCACCAATGTTATTATCTAAAAATGAATTGTTTTAGATTACCATACAATTAAGAATTTAAATGGTGTGCATACGGTAATGATAAATTTCTGGAGGCCCGTGGAAATAACTACCAATCCCATGTCCAATAAAATCAACTATTGATTCAAGTTTTGTTTCTTCACAATATTGTTGTATAAACTTGCCGATTTTATTAAAAGACACATCTGGACCACATAGTGAAATGCACATATCTAAGCAAGTCCTTGTGGCCTCGACCAGGTAGCGGCCATGCTCATCAACATCGCCAACGAGGAAGGTTTCTGAACAGTCACCATGGTAACCATTGAGGTAAACGGTAACATCAATGTTTATAATATCGCCATCAATTAACTGGCGGTCATCTGGGATTCCATGGCATGCTACATTATTGACCGACGTGCAGATGGATTTTGGAAACCCTGCATACCTAAGGGGCGACGGGTACGCATTTGCTTCAATAATAAGTTCATGGGCACGTGCGTCTATTTCATTTGTTGACTTCCCAATTACTGCTAGAGCGCGGCATTCTTGTAATATGTTGGCCGCCAGCTGTCCGCTTAGACGCATTCCTTGTATTTGGTCTATATTTTTAATTTCTGGGGTCCCAATTGTGCTACCTGGTGGCATTTTTTTGTAGTAGTATGGAGGCTTTGGTATCCATTCAGGAACAGTCCGCTCCTTGGAAACCTGTCCGGGTGCAAAGATCTTTTCATACTTTCCTGCATCGCTGTGAAGTTGTGTTATGTAAACCCACCAGTTAGTCATTAGGCATGAAAGCACAATAAATATATTACACATACCCCTTCCCCTTTCTGAGAATAAAATTCCTTATTAAAGACTTTTGAGGTAATAAACATTTCAAGAGTATGCTCATTTTAAGCGTCATGTTGTTATGCTATGAAACTAACTAAAGTAAATAAGTCACGAGTATTTTAAGATCACCGGTCCCAACCGTGACAGACCACTAGTATGCACCTACTACTTCACTAAGCTATATTTCTACCGTTTCGGACGGTATTAACAGATTCGAAATTTTTGTATAAATAAGGCTGAATTGCCTTGGTATGGTGTCAAATTTATGCTAATGGTATGTTTATAAATAATTTTTTTTTAACCCAACGTTAAATTTGCCAAATAATTGGTCAACACTTTTTGGATATGCACAAACAGCTTTTATCGGAAAACTTACAAATGGTAAGGGGAAAGGGTAAGGACAGCTGTGTCCCGCCACATATAATTAAAATGTTGGTAAACCAAATTCAGTTTTTGGCCTTATCAATTTTATTTTCAATATACATTTTCAGACATGTTAAATAATTGTCAATTGGAAAAATTAAGGCATTTTTGCTGCGAATTTTCGAAGCAACCATGTCAGCTGTTTTTGTTTGCCAGAATCGATGATTAATTGAAACATATCGATACCAAAATGTGTGAAAACGGGAACACGAAAACGAACGTTTTGACTGAAAGAGTAATCCGCAAAAGTGACAACCGTAATTTTTTTCCATTTTTCCAACTTTAAAATGTTTTAACATGGAGACAAAACTTGCAGAATTTGGGGTTACAAAACCAGGCAATCGGTTCGAAAAAAGTGTGGGCAAACATGTATGTACGTTCGAGTAAGTTTAATCTTTTTATAGATATATTCGTCGTCAACATAAGATGACAGAGATGTTCCACCATGTCTCGTATCTCAATCGCCGACCAATAAAAGTGCGATGTTTTTATCAGAGATAGCACAAATAATTCATCACACAAATATTTTCATCAGAAATGCCACAAATACTATAATTTCAGACCGTAATTTGTAGGCAATTGGTAGAAAAGACAAACAAAATTGTAGAAGGTGTTTTTCGCTTAAGAGTGTTTTTTTTCGTTTTGCACTTAAAATTTCGTTTGACCAGTTTTGATGTTTATGTATGCAGCTTTGAAAACATTTTTCCAAGTCGGATCCCAACATCGTACAGCTTTTATCGAAACATCGTTCAAAATTTAGACTCGGACATAGCTTAGAAGTTGAATTTCAAAATTGACTAAGTATAAGAGTACGAATGCAGGCCTATTCACTTTGAAGGTACAAAATTAAAAGTTTGGGAAAGCTTTTCGGATTCTTATCAGGGATTGTACAAATAATTTCATCGAGATAATCGTAATCAGCGCCTTCAATGCTCCAAAGAAGATAAGATAGGTAGAAATAGATAAAAATACACATTTTTTACTGAGCGTTTAGTCATACACTTTTCATTCGTCTGTTAAGAGTCATTGCATATTTAGTTGTTCTTATTTGAGCAAACAAAATGAAATTAAAAATAATTAATATTTTAATTTGTACATTACATTATTTTATTTTAACAAATGTCAATACTCAGGCAGTTTCTGATGAAAACACATCCGGAGAGCCATCAGTTTCGAAGGTATACGTAATTGTTTTAATCTTCTTACTCTGTAATATTACGCAGTACCTTAATAGTTAATAGTTTGTTTGTCGTTTTGGCTTTGTTAACTGTCAATTTAGAAAATATACATTTACGAGGAGCTAGTCTAAAAAGCGAAACATGAGTTTAAATATTCATTAAAAACCGCAAAATTCAAACAAGAAACAGGGAAGGAAATCTCTCTCCCTATATTATGTCTGGTGCGTCATTATAGACATAAACAAGATATAGATGTTTTCTATAATATTTTTTAAATATTGCTTATATTAATACGAAATGACATCGGTGAATATAATTTAAACATATACCTGATTAGCATGATAATAATCGAGTCGATACAGCTATGTCTGCCTGTCCGTCCGACTTGATAAGTCAGAGACTATAAGTGCTGAAGTAACCAAATTTTGCATCCCGACTCCTGTGATATCAGACGGTTAACATTGTATTTACAAAATTTGCCTCCGACCCACAAGGGGTGAAAATCAATGGCATCCACAATTTTGAAAATACGCACAATTCTCTCTATGTTTTCCACAGTTGTCATAACAAAAATTGAGAGAGATCCATCGTCCCCGAATTAACCAACAAATCAATCCGGCCGAAACAAACTTTCTTTCCGTTAAGACTCTGAACTTAATATATTAATGTACATAACAGATAGAAAACGCGTGATAAACACAAGCTTCCTCATGTAGCTGGCTCTCACTATTTTTTAAATTTCAATTCTAACCAAGAACCAAACCAAAACCAAATACACCACATTGATTAATACATATTAAAATTAATTTATCTAATTCCAGAACGTTGCAACTTTAAAAGAAAATGATCTGTGTAAAAAATGCATTTGCGATTTTGAAAACAATTTAATCGATTGCACGAAAAAATTAAACAGTTGGCTCTCTAACGAAGAATGGAATGTCTTAATCAACGGAAACTTTACTTTTGAAACAATCAAGCTAGAACACAACAATTTAAGCAGTATCCCAATATTGCCAACATATGATGTAAAACATTTATACATTGGCTATAACCAGATAGATTCAATAGCTAACGGCGCCTTTCAAAATCTATCCGACTTGACAAGCCTAGACTTATCGCACAACAAATTAACTTCAAAAGTGATGTTACCAGATGTCTTTAAAGGACCCTATACCGTATCGGACTATAAGGCGTTATATAATTTGAAATCGCTAAATTTGGGATACAATGAACTGCATTTTTTGGATGCAGATTTATTCGAGCATGTTCCAAACCTAGAAGAGCTTATTTTATGTTCAAATAATTTTCAAGTAATAGACGGACTTTCAGAAGTGGCAATTTCAGGTTTGACATCATTGAAGGTATGTAAATCCCATTTAACAAGAAATTAAAATTATCATTATTATGCGTAGCAGTGGTATCGGACTCCTTCGGGTAATACGTACATATATAGACAAATTTATATATTTTACGTAAGTTGCTTTTATTTTTTTAGATTAGGCTAAAGAGTGAAAGCACTTTCACATCAACAAACAAACATTTAACATAGCTTTATTGTTTTTGAAAATATTCTCCAGGAAGATCAATTCCTATTTTGAAACGTTTTGACACTCAGAAAGTAGTATCTCTACGACAAAGCTTTTTTCGGTGCCGAAAAACGTTGCTCATTTTTTTGTTATATCTGGGAACTCTTTTGGTTCGATATTTTTGTGGTTGCAACGGTCGAGTCAGTGAGAACGCTCTCAAGCCCATGAGGGCCTGTAATGGACTGAAGTAAATTGGGAAGGAGGTTTCCCTCTCAAAAAGCTCTTTACATAAAAAATAATTAAATAATAATAAATAAATAATAATATAAATAATTAAATTGAAAAAATTTGTTATACCCGCTAATTCAGTAAAAAGCAGTTCCGATGTCATTGTTTTTTTGGCTAAATAATATCCCTAGAATATTTTTTAGATATGATTTATTAATATAATCTTTTTTTATAGGTTTTAGATATTTCATATATGGAAATAAAAACCTTGCCACAAACTCTTTTACATGGGCCACGAGATCTTGAGACTTTAATAGCAGCTGGAAATCTTTTCAGTAAATTGCCAGATGCTTTATCATTTGCAAAGAATTTAGCCAGGCTTGTCTTGAATGAAAACCCAATTGAAGATCTTCAAGGCGACAAGTAAGCTATGACCAACGGAGCTCTCTGTCTTAAAGAAACACTATAAATAATTTTTAAAAATTTAATATTAAAATTTTAGCATTTTTCCTGTGATGACTAACTTAAAATATCTCAGTATGTCTTATATGCCAAAGCTGCGCCATATTGGAGTTGGAGCCATGAGTGAATTGCAGAGTAAGTTTACAAATCTAAGCTTTTCTAGTATTTTACAGCCAGACAAGCACTTTCTTTTTGAAATCAACGTTAGTTTCATCTTCATGTCACGTTGTTTCTTGGATTATTTAGTTATCAATCAATATAACAGTTTTTAATTAGTCCTACTCCAAAATATTTACAGCAACATGTTACAGTAAAGCGCTCGCAATTGTACGATTGGCCTACGTAGTTAGTAAACCCGAGATAAGTAGAAAATATACCTCGAAATAAATTGGGTGGACATTCGAAGCTCCCAATATTTATTACCTCCTTAAAAGGGGACTTAAACATTGACGATATTGAGAGAAGTGGGCTCATCTTTTACCCGACTCTGGCTATTGATCGGGAAAACACATCTTCAAATCGTCGCACGGCTGACTGAACTGAACTATCTCGGTACAGATTGCGGTAATTGCTGTGCCATCTTATTCCCACTGTTTTCTTCATGTCAATAGAAATATAATCATCGTGCCGATGAGCCAGCCGTTTAATAGTTCTGGTGGTTTCTGGTAGTTGCACTTTTCCTGTTGCGCAACATATACTAACTGCATGACAATGGTGAAATTTTGCATTTATGTCACAATCGAAGCGGGTGTAAATGCTCGATTTACTTGTGAGTGACAAAGACAAATTAATTGTCTTTGTTGATTTCATTCATCTAGTTCCTCCATACCAGCCGCAAAATAGTAAACTGCTCCTGTCATGTAGGCACAAAAGAAAGCGCAAAAATATGACTTTTGAAATTCCAATGCGTTGCAGCTGCAGCATAGCAATATGAATATGGAGTTAAAAAACAAAAACCATTTTAGTTATATCATCTAATCAAATTTAACAAAAACATATTTCATTATCCTTCAATTAAAATTTTTTTCAGACCTTACCGAGCTAATATTGTCTGACAACAAGTTTCTAGTAGAAATCGATGAGCTCGCCCTAGCAAAAAACCTTAATGATGGGCAATACATGAACTATCCGCCATTAGAAAAAGTAACTTAAAAAAATCCCATTATTATACATATGTTATCTATTGTTCCCTTATAATTCCAACAGGTTTATTTAAATAATTGCAACTTGACAAAAATACCAAAGTCATTCCTTGTACGTTGGGATAAACTTTCAGTGCTTGATCTTCGATTTAATCCATGGACTTGCGAAGAGTCGAATGATTATTTAATCAACATCCTACTGCCACAAATAAACAAAACAACCCCACTTCTGGCAAAAAATGTACAGTGTGATTCACCCGTTGAATTAAAAAATGTGGATATTTTAAAGGTAGCGACGGATCATTTAATTGACAGTAAAAAAAGCAGTGGTATTTTCTGGATTGGGCTGCTTGTTTTTATACTTATTGCCATTCCGATTACACTAGGAATTATTGTGTTATACAGACGTGGCTGCTTTTCTTTAAATAGAAATGACAGTGGCGCCAGTCGTGCTCTCTATAATAGAACAAAGTTCAATGACGATTTCCAAATCTAATTATATTGTAATATATATTTATAATTATCATACCCAACAAAGAACATAAAATTTTACTTTTGTACACAAAATACAGAGTTTTCCATTTACCCTTTTCCTTAAATTTTTAATTGTGGATGTCAAGTTTCGCAGCCCGATATTACCTAGTAATTACATGAAACATAGCTAAATGCGCAGATTAAGGTAAAGCTTAGTGGCGTAAATGCGACCGGTACCGTGCACAAAGGTAATTATTATAAGTTATTAATATATAATTAGCTAATAACAACACTACAAGAAAAGTTTTTTTTTTCCGGTATGAACCAACCCGACATATTTGAAAATGTCTTTAACAATTTTTTAAAATATTGATATTGGTTTTGGATATTGGTATAGTTTTTTTAAAACAATTTTTTGAATCATTTTTTTTTTGTAATGTTTTCTCATAATTGGTGATTTATTTTATATGTTCTGTGTATTCTGCAAAACTGAAAAATTTAGCTACATATTTTACCCCAACACTTTTTAGCTAAGGCGTATCATCAGGAAAATATTAAGGATTTAAATTGACTTTTGAAAAAAATTATTCCTTAGGGTTTTGTATTTTTCTGGTTAATTATATATTATATATTGGGCGTATATTGGGCGTATATTGGGCGTCATTCAAAGTGTTGTTTGTAAAAATCGATGGATAAACGGCTCAGGTGCACCCGTTTAACTAAACCTCTGAATGCCGTATTAAAAAGTTGAAATTTACAATTTGATGTTTTCGACTATGGACACAGTAAAAAAATATTAAAATCTTGGTGCATAACTAAGCCTCCCCTCAGCCCACTTGGTCCTGTTATAGACCATTTCGCATGGGCTTGAGCCTCATCTCTCTGCCCAGACCGTGGGCACTATTCTGAAGTTTAAGAGTAGTCCCATTCAGTGGCTTGGATCTATTTTGATAAGAATGCTGTTTTGGTTTCAAATATGTCAAAAATGCGCTTGGTAAAGAGGGACGCGATATACCAGCGTCTACGGTTCCAAGGGCAATGCAGTGGCAGTAGTGGGGAACCGACCCCTCATCATTCTCATCTGGAAGACTTCTGCAGAAATCATTGTGATATATTGACGGTCAGAAGGGACGTATGCCAATCTACCAACATTTTCCGTTGTGGATCCACGGCTAAAATGATTGCTAATGTATCAATATCTGTTAAAAATTCACATTTCGGAATTCCATGTTACTATTATTCAGGCAGGCTCCGTTTTTCATTTACTTTTGCGGATTACGTTTTCAGCCAAAACGTTTCGTTTTCGTTTTAAGGTGTTCCATTTTTCACATATTTTTTTTATCGATATGTTACATTTTGAAGTCCGAATTAAATTGGGCGGGAAACAGCTGTGCTCACCCAGATTTTCTGTTGAGCGCATGTTACAAGCACAGTCTGAGCTGTTACATGCACATTTGTGCTGTTATACGCAAAAATTTATTAATTGCCAACGTTCCGATAACCAAATCGGAATGCGTCAGCTGCTTACACCAAAACGAAATTTGTTGTTGCTGTGGCCAATTTTTTCCGAGTCAAATTTTAGGTTGGGTTAAAATAAAATTATTTATAAAGAAAGCACAAGTTAAATTACCCTGATATAGGTATCAAGTTTATGTTAATGCATCAATAAGTCATCTATTTTTTTCCTTTTGCAATTAAGGTTCGTTTTGTTGTATAAAAAGCCGTTTACTTTTCATTTCGTCAACGAAAATGTTTTCGTTTTGAAAACGAAGAAATCTTGCGAAATGGGAAAAAGAGAGCCCCAATTTATGTGATTTCAAAAGTAAATCGGAAAACTTTTGTGAATGTGAAAAACGGAGCCTGGCTGATTGTGTCATTATCATCAGCTGTTTCTTATGGATGGTGAATGGTGTCAGAGGGAATAGATGTTTCACATCTGCCTAAAATTCCACCGTACCATGTTCGGCTTGGGCTATAAACAAAATATTTTAATTGTCGAAAGGAAGACAGACAGCCAAGCATGTAAAATATCTGGAAACAATTTGGAAAGGAAACACTATATCGTTTGCGAATGTTGCAAAAAACAGAGCATAAGTTCTAATATAAAGGAAAGCGTTTAAAATTGTATTCCCAAGTTTGCGAAAAACAGAGCATTAATACAATTCCAGCTAAAATTTAATTTTTATAACGTATATAGATGAAATTTTTATTATGTTCCTATTTCATTGATCCAAGTTGCCAGTATGATAAAATGAGCATTAACTGTATCTTTGAAACATAAAGAAGAAACACTTCTTTAAATATACAAACATATTTTGTATTAAAATGACATTTTCGTTTCGACATAATATTCAGAGAAATGTTCAACCATATTCTTCGATCCTACCGCAATTATCGAAACCCATGCTGCGGGTCTTAATTCAAGTTTCCGTGCATTATATAGAGACAAAAAAATCATGTTCCGAAGTGCTGTCCCTTGCAAAGAGCAAACTGACAAATGCCGGCCATGAAGTTCCTGGAGACTTTTGCGAGCTCTTTACTATAGTGTTTTTGATGATGCAAATATTTTTGCGCTATCCAAAAGGAGTGGTAAAGGCTGACGAGCTACGAAAATGCCTAATGGTTGATTTAAGGTATACAAACACATACATATGTATGTATGTACATATGTATGAATTCTTCTATTTACATTCGAAAGTAATTTATTTGTTTGTTGTTTATTGTAAGTATTTATGTACATATGTATATGTTTATGTGTGTATGAATGTAGATGTTTTCAAATGTAGAAACAAACTATGTATTTCTGCACATTGAATCAAAGTGTAGCTGCACTATGATTCTACTTGTTGAGCATACATTTTTTGTAAAGTTAAAGAGAGTAGAGTAAAGTCAATAATAGTAATCGTCGAGCAAATTTTTGTGTATTTCAAAGTAATAGTAATACTAATATTTAATTCAAAGAACAACAGTAGCATTGCTGTAAGTTCTATGCTCTGAGGCTTGCAAATTAGCTATGAATACAGCAAGTTTAGCATTAAGTATAAATAATACAAAATACACAATTGCCAATCAGATAGAGAAGTGGGCAGACTTTGCACAAGAGAACTACATAATCCCTCACTACGCTGAGTTAGTAAGTAGCCAACAAGCTATTATTTGTACTTGATTGGTAGTTATTAAGATTGGATTGTCGGCGATTAGTTTATGTAAGGATATACCCAGAGCCTTGTATATTTTTATATTAGAGGACGGTGGAAGATTGAATTATGAAGATGGCAATGACGAGAAGAATCTAAGAAGAAGTAGCGGGATGTTGCATGAGGGAGCAAAAAGCTGTTTTATGGCGGGGTTTTTCGTTACCACTGCTTACCTACTCGGTTTCGGGTGTGCTGCTCATCAGGGTCCTCGAATCCTTCTATAAATACAAAGGTGCAGAGACGTAGTACTTTCGGTCCTTTCAATTTCTAGCAACATCTCCACAGCATTTGGCGCTGCACAAAGTCGTTCCCCTCGCACAAGCGAGATTCGAGACTTTTAGGTCGTAAGATTACAAAAAATAACTACATTGCTACATTGTCATGATTCTGCACGTTGATGGTCGACTCTATGGCCGTCGTCAAAAGACAATTATTTTTTGTTTTGCATTTTAGCTCGGCTCAGCGCTGAGCAAGGTATTGACGAGCAGACCAAGCCGAGTAACAGGTCAGAGGCGAAAGATAAACCTTGAAATCGAATTTTTTCCCAATGCTACATCTTGGTATTGTATAGTCTTTGATCACACGTGATGAATCAGCGAAAATATCTAAATCATTTTAATATTCTGTGCAGCACGGGTATACATACGTCGTATGTAAAAATGCTACCATGAAGGTACTGCATCGTTTACGGCCCTCTTAAGACTAACAAGAAACCAGCTTAAACCTCTACCGTTATTATAAGTAAAATGAAAGAAATTAGTTTTTGGTAGGGTGAAATTACAGATCCGCTGATTATACGCAATCTGCTTGTTGCACTTTTCTTAGAGCAGACAAATGTATCAGCCATGATTCGGTATTCGCAAAAAGTTGCGAATACGATTTTTTAATTTTCATACGACTTCAGATTTGTGTGCACCGGGAGCGTGGCAAAATTTAGCAACAAACTTGATTCAGTATGATATTTCAGGAGTATTGCAGGGTACAAAATTTGGTTGAGAACTAGGCGTCAGGCAAGACCAATAATTTTCGTGTGCCGATAAAAAAAGGGTTTCGGAATTCTGAAATTGAATTCGAATATAAGCTAGATTGGCCGTTTCAGCCACTTAAAAACATGATACATGATGCATGATACATCGTGCTGGTGAACGCGCCCCGCCCATTTCCCTGGAACTTTGACAAAATAAAACCCGACAATTATAAAAATTAAATCCAATTCAAATTTCTTTACAGGTTTTCGGAAGAATGCGTTGAAGATATCTGCACAGTTATTTTCCATCATCGAGAGATACTTAGTAAAAATTACTCGGATACCAAATTAGATCGTGTTAAAATGTTAAACGTGAAGTGGAGGATCAACATTTCTTTGACTTTAAGGTATGAATATAATTAATTTGGGATATTCAAATAAATTGGTGATATTTCTTCGTATTATTTAGTACTATCCAAGATAAAACGACCGTAGTACTGCACTTCAAGCTCCCGAGTGGAGATTTTCGAACTCTGGAGTTACCACTGTCCACGTTTCAACGATTGCGTTACAGTATTACTTTATTACTCAATGATCTGCAGCATTTGCAAAGTCGATCAATCTTAAAATAATATAGAAGTAAATATGTTTATTGACACTATTAAGGTATCAGCAGTTTCCCTGACTTTTTTTCTGTTCCAACACTCTCCATATTTAACAAAACAGGTCAGGATTGAAACTTCAGGTAATTGGACCCCCAAAGGTATACTTATATTGCTATCCTACTCCACCAGATTTGAGTGCCAATCAAGATTAAAAGTGCTTAAGACGTGATAAATCCTAAGTGTGTCAACACTTTTGTTACCCTTATTTTAGACATTTTTTTTGTTTAAATTTTTTTACTTAATATTGCAATAAAATTACGCTTATTAAAATGAGCCAATCTTATGGAAAATTCATATATTTGTGCCAACATTCAACTCCGACACTGTATTTGTAAATTTGGGTACGACGCGCACCTCTGAATAAAAGTAAAATTCCTTTGGATCCTCTGCTACACCTTGAGCTAGCCAGCAAATGCAATTTTGGAAAGGGTTGGCTTATTTGAGTGCAGTTTGGTCGTTTATCCGAAGATTTCCCCTTACAGGTGTAAATAAACTGTAATACAAAGAAAATTTCAGTCGTGGTTCATATCAGAAAAATTAGGTTTGATATTTAATAAAAAAATACACATTTTTTGTACCTATTGTACCTATTAGAACAGCCAAACGTTTTCTACGAAAGCTTTCAGCACTTGGAAATGTGATGACAAGCAAGTAGGTTGTATATTTTCAGAACGCTCCCATTACGCCTTTAATGAAATTATCACATTCCGCTTCATACATTTTCTGTTACTTTAAAAAGGTGTTTGGGTGCTCTCTATTTTTTCGGGTAGAGGCTGAGATTACACTATGCAACACCACATTTACGCTGTAAGCGACTTTTTGTGATAGGTTTGGGCCTTGAAAATGTTTAATAATATATTTTGTAATGAACTTTTCAATTCTGAAAAGTTAATGGTTGCAGCTGTTCATTCTACCCGAACACTTCGTAGCTTAAGCTTACCGTCTCTACAATATTAAGCTTTCAAATTAAAAATGATTAATTTTTTGCGGTATATTTTTCCAAAATGTTAACTTAAGACTCGGAAGAAAACGGCAAAATGCGTCATTCAGAGGTTTGGTCAAACGGCTGCATCTTAGCCGTGTCTCAATTAATGCAGCTATACCAGAAAAATACAAACTCCAAAGGAATACATTTATTTCGGGAAAGTTTTTCAAGTTTTTAATATCAAAATTTGTCTAAAAATACAACCAATAATTTTCAATTTTTAATTTGAAAACTTAATATTTTCTATACGTTAACCTTAAGTTATAAGGTGTTCCGCTCAGATCTATAGCTACATTTGGCAGCTTTGAAGAATTGCAAAGTTCAATATAACCAGATTTCAGATACTTAAGTTATGTCAAAAAAAAAAAATACCTTTAAACAATTTCAAGATTTAAAAAATTCTTAAAAAATAAAATAAACCCTATGCACAAATAGCTTAAACATTTTTTAAGCCACAAATCTATCAAATAAAAGTGTCTTTAGTTCACAGCGGAAATGTCGCGTTGAGTAGTGTAATGGGTCCGGAGGATCAACGCGGCTCCGCGAGCGCGAGTGGAAGGGATTACGGAGATTCAAGTGAGCTCCGAGACAGAATGTATTCAATACAAATGTGAAAGTAGACGTATCGTTTGCTCTACATCACACGTAATGCTTACCAAAATGGACGTTAGCCCTGCGGCTAGCCTAGCTTGCCACTGATCAGGACTGTTCCGATTCGTTTCAGCGACGCTGCTTTTTTGATTTGCTCTGATCAGCTGTTGTGCCTTATAATTTGGCCCGTCGGTGCTTTTCCGCCCTATTATATGAATGTAAACCAGGTGTCGGTAGGGCCCTATCCTTTGTGACATTTCGCCAGTTCAGAATCTATCAGAAAATCCCATTAGGATTTAATTTAACAATTCATTAATATTATTTATATAGAACACACAAAACAGTGTGACCATGGAGCATGTACAGCTGGTCACACTTACCGCTTGCGTAAAATATGACAAATTCAAAACCAATTTACTAAGCTTATAAAACGTTAAATTGCATTAATATTTTGCATATTTATATTTGTTAAATATAACATATATTTGGGTCGGAAGGGATCCTTAAAATCTAACGTGAGCACCCCAGATATTTTCCCAAAAAATGCATAATAGAGTGACCCTTTTTCAACAAAGATACCGTTTTTGGACATCACTAGCAACCCGTAAAAAAACCTGTTACAACCCCCTTTACCCAGTAACACCCCTTGGTATCTTATCCTGTAAAAACATCCTTTTAATTGAAAAAAAGATAGGCATATGTAAAGATACAAAAATCATATTTAAAAATGCCAATAGGAAGTATAATAAAAAAAGCATCCAGCTTTATACTCGGTGAAGAAATAATTGATAAAAAAATCGATATTTCTTACGAAGACAACGAAATTCTATTTTGCAAGAACAATGTATGCATTCATCCGCCAACAATCGCACGTCATGAATTTGATATATTGCACAACCCAGGTTATTTAACATGCACTACAAAAACATTCGTTGATCAGTATAACTGTGCTAAAAGACCTACTCTTCTTCTCACATGGATTCCAAACTCTTCCCTATGTAAATATACGACTTCGTCTAAGGCAGATTCCAGCGAAAGTTTCAGTCCCATGCGAAAGAGTGCTGATTTAACCAATAAACAGTGTTTTTTAGCGGTGTCGCAAACGGGTAATGAAAGCGTCATCCGAGAGGAAGATGATGAGGCGTCGGAAATGCAAGAACTAAAGAATGAGCTACAGCCCCTGCTCGGCGGACAAACTGCATCAATAGATGATTTAACAGCGCTCCTAAAGAATAACCCAATAACTTCGGTGAATATAACCATTTCGAATCCGCAGATCGAAAACACCAATATTTCGCAATCATTCAACTGTATAACGATAAGGACAGACGAAGACAACACCAGTGACTGCTTCATAGGACCCAGGGGCCATTTGAACTCCGTTGGCCAGACATCTGATGACAACAACCCAAAGTGGATGACCCCTGAACTACTTGCCTTTAAGCACAACTTAGAGTTCCCAGATAGTGAAAACACGATGGCCGCCGCCCGCCGAAATACCGCACTAAAGTGTCGTCATTTTTCCGTCGATTTAAGTCAAATGAGATCACTACGCCTCTTTTTCAATGACAACAACTGCACATCGGGTCAGCTGGTGATTGCGTCTCGAGAATCGCAGTATAAGATACTCCATTTCCATTATGGTGGTTTGGATCACTTGGCCCAGGTGCTCCATCAGTGGCATTGTTTTCTGCACAACATCACTTTGGACAATTTCCCAGAAAAATTCGATCTGCCATACAGGCATTTTATGGTCTGTCGACCTGAAGTCAAGAAATCAGAAATGCATCCCGATGAGGGCGACGTTAAGAAAATAACTACGAACTTTTTCTATGGCACATTGTTAAACGAAAAAGGACAGATCGAAGATGATTTGCTTCTTCGCAAATGTGTATTTTTTGGTGGCCTTGAAAAGAGCCTGCGAAAAACGGTATGGCCATTTTTATTAAAGTGCTATTCCTTTTCGTCGACATTTGAAGATCGAGCAGTCCTTATGGACATTAAGCGACAGGAGTACGACGAAATTACACGAAGGCGCCTATACTCAATGTCTCCAGAGCAACAAGTACACTTTTGGAAAACCGTACAGTGTGTTGTTGAAAAGGATGTTGTGCGTACGGACCGCACCAACCCCTTTTTCTGCGGTGACGATAATCCCAATACCGAGGTTATGAAAAACATTCTGCTCAACTTTGCTATTTATAATGCTGGGTTGTCCTATTCCCAGGTTCGTAGTTCAATTTGAAGACGTGCCAGTCTATTTACACACAAACATTTACTATTCAATTCGCTTTCAGGGTATGAGTGATTTACTAGCGCCTATATTATGCGAGGTGCAAAATGAGTCTGAAACATTTTGGTGTTTCGTAGGATTAATGCAACGTGCTTTTTTTGTGTGCACTCCCACAGACAGTGACGTCGACCATAATCTTAGTTATCTGCGAGAGCTAATAAGGCTAATGTTGCCGCGTTTTTATGAACATTTGGAACATCAGAACGATTCTATGGAGCTCTTATTTTGTCACCGATGGCTTTTGCTTTGTTTCAAGCGAGAGTTTACCGAAGCTGTCGTAATTCGTATGTGGGAGGCCTGTTGGTCAAACTATTTGACTGACTACTTTCATCTATTTCTTTGCTTGGCCATCATAGCTGTCTATGCAGATGACGTGATAGCTCAAGGATTACGCGCGGACGAAATGCTATTGCACTTCAGCTCCCTGGCCATGTATATGGATGGACAGCTGATTCTTCGAAAAGCTCGTGGTCTACTACACCAATACCGTCAAATACCCAAAATTCCGTGTACGTTAAGTGGCCTTTGTAAGCGATGTGGACCTGGTATGTGGGACTCTGAGCATCGACCTGCACTTGAGTGTGTGGGGCATAGTGATGACGAGAAATGTTCTCTTTCGATTGACTAGCTGATTGCCAATTCCATTAATTTACAAAATATTTGCATATTGATGGATTTTTCATTTTCAATACCAGTAATGGTCGTATTCCACTACACTTCAGGACTAATCTACTCTGAAAAACTGACGACGATACATTAGTGTTGTTAGGTTGGATTGGCCAATTTGTTATTTCAGAGTAAGCATTTATATTTTATCTGATGCCGCGCTGCCACCAGATTGACTACAAAAATAACCTAAAGTATATATTTCTCTGCTTGCTTCACGCTTTTCGCCATGTGGTTTTTGTATCTGGGCTGACTGCTTTAACTTCAAGTGTAGTGGTATTCGACCATTAGCATTGCATGTACCCAGATTGGCGGATACACACTATTATTAATATTAGCATTCATTAAATTTTACTTTATTTTAAGCTTGAAAACAAACGGTTTTTCTTTAAAAGTTCTAGCCATGACTAATTTATGTTTGGAAAGCAAAGTAAAAAGCATCTACGACCCCACAAATTATATTCTTACCAACTACTTATATTATTATTAAAACTGTAATAAGAACGATCGACCAAAAATTAAGTCGTAAGAAAACCCTTTGCTTAAAATATAAATTAATGAAACCTGCATTCAAATAACTCACAAGGCCTTGGTCCAAATAAAATTACTATTTCATGTTGCTCCTCTACAGAAGATCGGAAATAGAGTGATGAGAATACGTTTTTTCTATGAAAATACCCCAAGTACCTTTCACATTTCTGTTTATATGACTCAATAAGACCATGATTTTCGTTCTTGATGTCTCAAATATGGCTAAGGTGTGTTAATTTCCCAATAAGAGGTTCACCGATCAAATTATGTTGGCTTAAAAAAAGTTCTATTATTATTCCGTGATTTGAGAAAGAACGCTGGTAGGCTATTATCAGGGGACTTGTTTTGCGGTCGTTCATTCCCATTGAAGCTACATATATACTACAGTGCCACGATCTACCGTGATATAAAGAAAATATATGTGGCGAAGTCTGTTTCATTGGGGTTTTCATAGAGATTTTTTGTTTTCTACAATTCATTATACCAAGTTGTACCGCAAACTTTTTTTTACCACTACGAAAAATTGAACAATTAAGAAATAAAAAGTATATTTATGTTCACATATTATTATAGTCCACCCATTTATGTACTGTATGTCTGTTGTAATGAATACAAAATGTGGAACTTGGTCTCAACACATTGCTTAAATGCTTATGTTATAAAAATGTGTGTTTGTTAAAATTGTTATAAAATATGAACGTATTTAAAGTTATGTTCGCAAGATATCGACAGAAGAAATAAAGTGCTAAAGGCGTACAAATAGGTCTTATATTAAATCTGTGATGGTTGATTGAAAGAGGGTCGCCTTTTATTTCTTTACTTTTGGAAAGGGTTTTAGGAAATTATAGTCATATCCGTGATCAGTATGGCACGTTGCTCAAGACAAGAGTTATCTCATAGTTTCCTTTAAAAATTAAGTTACATTGGAAAAGAAATAATTTTTTGATGTTTGGCGGAACAGTCTACTGCCGGTAGAGGGTAGCCCGTCTTTTGGTCTCAAATCAAATGCCGCAGGATATACCCATATATTTACAATTTTGACCGGCGAGCGAGAATAACTTGAGGAAATGTCTTAAAAATGGGAGAAATCTTTGGCCTCAATGAAACTTCATGACTTTCCGCATTGAATAGTTGTGTCAAACTACACCACAGTGGAAAGAAGTGAACGCCGTCTTGTAAGATATCCTGACTGTAAATTTGTATATGACAGACAAAGTTTAATAGAATATATTAAAGAAAGGGTAGAATGATAAAATCCATAAAAAGGGTAATTTATAAAGTGGATAAACTTTTAGATCAATATGAGACTACCATGCAGTCAGTAGTCTAGAAGTACTTTGAATGTTTTTTTTTTACGATTTATAAAGTGGATAAACTTTTAGATCAATATGAGACTACCATGCAGTAGTCTAGAAGTACTTTGAATGTTTTTTTTTTACGATAAACTCTATTGTATTTTTGTTATTCAATTAAATGTAGTCAGCAGACCCTTGGAGAAGTTATTGTAAATTTAGTTTGATGTTTTAACGCACAGGTGAAAGCATCTCCAAACGCATCAAATAGGCATATATACATGCAATTTTGAGATATTTAAGATGACCCGAGTCGATATAACTATGTCCGTCTGTTTCTTTGCGAACGTAACCTTTCTTAACGAAATTTTCCGTAGTCCTTTTTGTTGGAGTGGGACTGATAAGTAAGATTTGGCCCATATACATATATAGCTGCCATAGGCTGGTAAAACGTCAACGTCCCTAAGATACTTTTCTTACTGATTTCTAGTTTAAAATATATATTTCTTCCCATATCTACATATGTATACTTATTTCTTATGAAGCAGTAAACTGTTTGTAAGCTGATTTTCTTAGACCGGCTGATTCTTGACACACTTAATATTTTTGTCCCCTCGTGATCAAGGCAAATGTAAAGCTCACTCTAATATTAGCTAAAATGCAAAGTCCGATAAACAAAAGGAACAGTCAGATTTGTATACAAAATAATACTAGCTTTATTTAATAAAATCGTGCCTTTTTGATTATATTACAACTTAGCGTTAGCATTGTTATTGAGCATCGATAACTAACCAATTTACATTTGTGGTAACTGATCAATGGGTGTGGTAAACTTAAAATCTTCAGGAAAAAGCTTTGCAGCGTGAGGGTACATTAATTTGTACGATTGTCTTATGGTGACATCAGCAACGCCAGCTATGTCACCGATTTCCTTCTGACTACGCTTATGCTCTGACGCCTGCGATGCCATATAAATTGCGGCTGCAGCCACAGATATTGGAGATCGGCCTGGAACAATGTCCATTTCGACAGCTTTTTTCGCAATGTGTGTAGCAGCGCGTTGAACCATATTCGGCAGATCTGTCAATGGAAAATGTATAGAAAATTATGGTCGATTAGAACGATATAATATCAATGCTTTAGTAAATAGACTTGTATTTTCCACTGAATACTTACCCAAATTTGCACAAAAGCGACACATAAAGTCGGCAGTTGTTATCAAATCCACACTAGTTTCGAGAGCTTTCAGTGTTAGTTTAAAGCATCTTCCGATTTCTTTTTTGCTAATCTTGCTAACGGCGCATATTTCTTTGAATGTACGTGGAACTCCTTCTTGTCGACAAGCAATATAAAGACATGCAGATGCCTTCGCATCGTTTGACCGACCTTTAAGATTTTTTCCATCGTGAACCTAAACGAAATAAGTCGTGGGATCGGATTTCACTAGCTATATCAAAACATACCTGTTTAAATAGGTTATTTGCACGATCCACAATAGTTTTTGGTAAGTTAATTCGATCGGCCATTGATGAAATTTCTTTGAAAGCTGATATAAGAGAGCGGTCTGAGCTGCTCATAGTGCGTCTGTTTTGATATTTTGGAGCACCAAAGGCATCGAATGATGCAGAGCCCGTTCCTGGCCCAATTATTGTAGATAAATCTCCACCACTAAGAAGGGGATTCTCTGGACCGCCAACACGACTGGGGTCCACGCCACTTTTCTCATTGCTGAATGTTCGCCATTCTGATCCAACATCAATTACGCGGTCTCCAACAACCAGACCACACTCCGAACATATCATATCACCAGCCCGATAATCTTCAATCAACGGAGATTCTGGATGTGCATAACAGCACACTTTATTGTTGTCAAGTCTAAAAATATAAAAAACCACATATATAGAATTAATTGTGCCAAAAATATTCAATAATACCTCGATGTTGAAGCCATTTATACAACCAACTTCACACTAGTGATGATATTCAAGAAAATATCAATTATATCGATGTTTTTGTAGGTGATGAGATTTTGATTGATTGATGTTGTTTCGATAGTGTAATAAACGAATTAAAATGTATTCTAGATTATAGAACGGGGAAACATTGAACACGGAACCTTTTTTTTCGGAAATTCTATGAGCTTCGCTAGTGGCAGTGTGAACAAAAAAAAAAAAACTCCATCAAATTGGTCTGTGCTCTACTGTGTTAATACGATTCAATTTGTCTTTATTATAAAATTATTTTAGGGTTCTGCCAGCTCGCCAGTGACAGGCAGAACATTTCTATATTTCGCTAGAGCCACTAACCATACTATATTGTATACGAACAGAGCTCGAAAATAACGGTTGCCATTTGTTAATAGGCTATTCACACTGGCTACCATCCAACATTTATTTCGGGGATGGTGCTTAGGTTTTGCAGTTCCAAAAATTTCCCAGTCATTCCTCCTTCTCTCTGGATGCAACTCTAAAAAACAAAGAATGGCAAAAAACATAAAGTTCGCGACTAAACATATATAAAATCGTTACAGACTAGAACAAGAAAAACATACAATTGACTCAATACAAAATGGAGACACCAGAAATTGGTGGTAAGAAGTAATAAGTGTGTATGTATTTGCTTTTTCATGATTAGTTTTTTGCAGCCTTAAATAAACACACAACCCACGCAAGTCAAAATGGACTGCATAGATGGAAAAGCTTTCCATAATCATTTGGAATGATAGTACTGCGGATTTACTGCGGTCCCGAAATAGTTCCTTTAATGTCGATCGGGACACATCCAAATGCAGCTCTAGTATTATTTTTGAAACCATGCCGCACCAAAGCGGATTAAGCTGTAAAATATACTGGAGATTGTTAGGAAAATGCTTAAAGTCCAGAAGAAGCAGCAGTAATTAGACGATGAGCACCAGGAAAGATACAGTGACAACCAAGGTCAAAACAACTTCCAAATACAGCTATATTTACAGCTGTATGTACAGCAATTTTTAAGGGTGTCCAAAGAGTAACGTTTATTGTACATACATGGAGTGTTTTCTTATAGCCAATAAAAAGCCAATTTACTAAGTTACAATTGTGAAAATTTTACAATTCAGAACAAAACTTTGTAATTTTATGCTCATAAGCTGCTTTGTGACGGATAGTAGTTGATGGATGTTGGATGGTGCCAGCTTGAATCCGTTTCACATTTGGCGAAAAATCCCACCGTTTCCCCTCTCAGTGTGCACTGGCTATTAGTGGTTATAATAATGTTCGATATATAAGACTCGATATTTGACGTAAAAAGTATCGAAACCTAATAATATTGCCCGTGAAAATATCCCATCAATAGTGAATCTCTCATTAATCTCCTGCAGTTCAAAACTTATCATCAATTAATATTAATTCTATCGAATAGTAGCACAAACCCTAAGGAAATGAAAGGGAGTTTAATACAATGAGTTCCAATTACGCTGACAGCCTTTCACCTTATGAAAACAAGGGAATCCTAGGCATCCCAGAGGTAAATATTTATATTGATGCGCTTTGGATTCGTATTAAAAAATTCATTTACCGGCTAAGTGTTTTGACAGCGATGATACTGTCAGTAAAAAATGCACTGAGTTAGCCAATTTAATCAAGGATGCCAGACACGTTGTATTTCATACTGGCGCTGGGATAAGTACATCAGCCGGCATTCCCGATTTCAGGTATGCGATATACATTTTGATATGGTTTATGACGGGTACATAAATATACATTTATTTTTTATTTGCATATCTTAACGAAGAGGCCCGAAAGGCGTGTGGACATTGGAAAAAAAAGGCGAAATCCCAAAATTGAACACTTCTTTTGATAAGGCAACGCCGACTAAGACACATATGGCCCTACGAGCATTAGTAGAAGCCGGATACGTGCAGTATATTGTCTCTCAAAATATAGACGGGTTGCACTTAAGATCCGGACTTAAACGCAGATACTTATCAGAGTTGCACGGAAACATATTTATTGAACAATGCGCTACTTGTAGACGTCAGTTTGTTCGTTCGACATCTGTCAAATCAGTTGGTCAAAAAGCACTGGGAATCCGCTGTCGATCTACAGTCAGTAAAGTAGGCCGGGCATGCCGAACTGGTTATTTGCATGATAACGTGCTTGACTGGGAGCACGATTTACCGCAGAGAGATCTCGATATGGCTGTCATGCATTCTACGTACGTTTGTTTATATTTTTACATAATTTAAAAATATCTAATTTGGACAGTAATTGTCAAGGCAAAATTAATTATACAAACCGTTTAGATATAGCGAATCCCGTCTGGCTGTCCGTCTTTATCAATACAGAAAAAAATCTTAGTTTGTACGTTCTTCAACTAGAGGTATTCCAACCAAAACTCAACATACATACAGTGCCGGACTTAAATGTTGCCCCACTTTGCATTCAGCACTTTTTAATGAGCCCATGCTCTTGTTTGGCCATATGGTATTTTTTTGACAAGGATTCACACTTAGTTTTAATTCTGCGGAACTGTCCCATATTCGATTCAAAATAACTCCAATGGTCTCCAAATCGCAACCTTGGTTTACGAGAAATACGATTAAACCAAAAATGCAGAATCTTTGTAGCTCTGTAAAACTTAAGTATCAGCATGAGTACAACTGTGATTTTAAAAATACTGTGGATTCATGCAGGGCCCTAATATATACATACGTACCTATAATTTTATTAAATTGACATTTCATTACTATACGAACGTATAGTATATAATATATACCATATAATAGATACTAGCAGTTTTGGCGTCCGAATCTAACAAGGTTTTCTTATATATAATAGAATGGCTGACTTGAATATAACTCTGGGAACAACCCTACAAATTGTACCAAGTGGGAACTTACCCTTAAAAAATATTAAAGGCGGTGGTAAACTTGTTATATGTAATTTACAACCAACAAAACATGTAAGACATATACACATTCTTATATAAATTCAATTCAATATATATAAATTTTCATTTCAGGACTCTAAGGCACACTTAGTTATCTCAAGTTATGTTGATGAAATACTATCGAGGGTTTGTAATATTTTAGGTATTGAAATATCAGAATATTCAGAGTCGTCTGATCCCACAACACAGTCAAACTTGGTTGAATGGACTTTGCCATTGAATCATATAAATATTATTGAAAGAAAGTTTAAAACACATTTGAAAGAGACAGCTGGGTGCAATCAAAAGAAAAATCCGGAGTAGCTTTTACCTCCCCCGCTTTATCCAAGATACATTTTTACAATAATTTTAGTTATTTGTAAGTTTCTGTTTTAATTTTAATTACAAAAAAGTGTGAGATATACATGGAATAGCTTAGGGACATTTTTCATGCTACCATGCTAGCTAACCTGTATTTCACGAAAGTTATAGGCGACAAGCAGCAGATATAATTATAAGAACTTCACCTTAAAAAAGCGGGAAGGGTCTTAACAGGAACTGAGGTATGTGAGCCTGCCCCTAAACGATCCCTTTTGGGCCAGCGCCACCAAAGGACCAAACTGGAAACTTTCGGTGTAATCACGAGAACAAGGTAATCACAAGGTTAATTAATAACTTAACATCGATCCACTTTCTTTTGATATATGGCTGTTAAAAGTGCAAACTTTCCTGTATACTTCCAAGGAATCTCTGCTGCTGATTTTTGCTTTCTTAAATATGATGGGCGCACAGGTGATGCCGGCACAGGAGAAAGGGTGCCCCGCAACAGAGAATGGCTGCTGGAGATGGGGATTGCCGAGGATTCCGTAAATTGGCCACGGTGACGTCCGTCCCTCGGGACATGATTTATGTCGCGCGAGCTGTGGTCTTTGGCCTGGCCGTCGCTACCTGCTCAGCGGATGATTCCGACGTAGCCCCTTGTCCTCTCGTTAGTTCCAGAGGATGTGCTCCTGGCTGGACTGTGGCAGCCATGATGTGGCTGTGTCGCCCCGTTCGCTGCAGCAGGTACCAGTGATCGTAAGTAAATCAGTATATATTTGTTTATATATTTTAATAGAAATCTTCCTTCACAGAGGACCTGTTCACCCTACGCTTTGCCGTAGACCGAGTCATATCCGATTTCTCCCCGCCAGATGGAGTCCTATCAAACTATCGCAGCCCCTTGCAAGGGGCCCCCATCCTTCGACGTGCCCATCGATAACAAGGACTTTGACTGTTGGAACTAAGAGATATCGTTGTTGTTAGGTTTAAGGATATGAATATATCCATATATTTAGATAGTAGATACAAATGTTGTTCCCTTGATTATTTATTTATACTAAGTTATGATGAAAAAATTATATTGAAAAATCATTCTTGCTGTTTCCCTTATCGGGGAAACCACCTCGATTACAAAAAGGCGTTGCACGCCCAGATCGGTTCTCAAATAGCGGAGAAAACTGAATATTTTTGATTGAGAAAAATGTCCTTGATCCTTGATAGGAACTCCTTCAAATCAAGGATGTTATTCCGGACACAGGAAGCCGTCGCACGTCTCGATCGGGCGCCAAATAAAGGAGAAAACAAGATATATATGTCTTGGGAAATTATCCTTGATCCTTGGTGCTTGATAAGGACTTCCTCAGATCAGGGACGTTTTTCCGAACACAGGAAGCGGTCGGACGCCCAGATAGACCCATAAATAGCGGAGAAAATTAGTATTTTTTGATCCTTGATATCCTTGATCCTTGATAAGGACGCCATAAAATCAGGGACATTTTTCCGATCACAGGAAGCCGTCGCACGCCCAGATCGTCCCATAAATAGCGGAGAAAACCAAACTGGCTTGTAACTGGCTTTGGAAAAAAAAAACAAAAACTCGCGTCAAATGGTCAAAATCTGGATGGGACACCAGGCCAACAGAAATCAGCAGAAGGTCGCTGAATTTTTAAAAATTGTTGGTCCCCCAAAAGTATGCACCATTTTTTTCGAAATCGCCACAGTTGCTTGCTGCTGATTTCTGTTGGCCTGGTGTCCCATCCAGTTTTTGGCCATTTGACGTGAGTTTTATTTTTTGTACGGTGGCGCCCCTGTCGAGGATTTCGTGAACTACATTTTCAAAAACAACAAATTACAAGCCAATTTTTTTTTCTTCCTTATTTGTGGGCCGATCGGGACGTGCGACGGCTTCCTGTGATCGGAAAAATGTCCCTGATTTTATAAAGTCCTTTTCAAGGATCAAGGATATCAAGGATCAAAAAATACTAATTTTCTCCGCTATTTATGGGTCTATCTGGGCGTCCGACCGCTTCCTGTGTTCGGAAAAACGTCCCTGATCTGATGAAGTCCTTATCAAGGACCAAGGATCAAGGATAATTTCCCAAGATATATCTTGTTTTCTCCTTTATTTGGAGCCCGATCGAGACGTGCGACGGCTTCATGTGTCCGGAATAACATCCTTGATTTGAAGGAGTTCCTATCAAGGATCCAGGAAATTTTTCCCAATCAAAAACATTCAGTTTTCTCCGCTATTTATGTGCCGATCTGGGCGTGCGACGGCTACTTGTGTTCAGAAAATTGTCCCTGATCTGATTAAGTCCTTATCAAGGACCAAGGATATCAAGGATAAAAAATACTAATTTTCTCCGCTATTTATGGGTCAATCTGGGCATGCGACGGATTTTTGTGTTCGGAAAATTGTCCCTGATCTGATGAAAGTGTTTTCAAGGACCAACGATATTTATTTTAGTTAGCTCATATCGGCTCGAGGTAGCGAAGCGAGTGAACTCCCCGGCGCAGTTTAAAAAAAAAATACAAGTACTTCGTTCAAAATTTCAAATTTGACTTAGTTATTTGTTAACCCTGCAGTTAAATATATTAAATGTAGCTACGTAATATCAGGTATTTGTAAAATTCTTTATAGAATTTTTATTGATCATTCGGATATATTAATTTTAAAAGCCACCTCTACCCGCAGGAGGTGCTCCACGCATTATACTAGGAGGGGGGCCTCTCATTGGTGGTGGAGCTCCACGTCCAAGATTCCCAGGTAATGAAGGAATACCACCAGGAATTAATCCTGGTGGGGGTGCTCCCATCATGGGAGCTCGAGGCACGCCCCTGCCCATCGGAGCCATATGTTGTTGAGCTGGCCCGCCTATGCCTCTCACTGGACCTTGTAATCCTGCTGGTACAGCTGACATGTTCAAGGGTACGCCTCTGCCGGCTATACGACCAATGCCTGGCCCTGATGCAGCTCCTGGTATTGGTACTCGGGGAAGTCCTTCCTCTGGAGGTGGAGGTCCTTCCACTGTAAGAGAAACTATGTTTTCACCACGCAGCAAAACAAAGCCTAGGACACGTTTTTCCTCTCGTTCGGGCACTTTCGAATTCTTAGATCTTATCTTGCGAAACTCTTCGCAGTCGCCCAATATTAAGTTCATGTGCTTATCAAATGCTTTGAAAGTTCCGATGAATGTACGTGAGTCTTGCAGAACGATTCGCACCCGGTAGTTCAGATGCTGAATCATTTTGTTATTCTTCCCAATAGTCTGTAAGTAAAATAATATTAGGTTAACAAATGAATTTATATATGTTTAAATAGTCCTACGACAATTATTAGAATTAATGTAGAAACAATTAAATAGCACATGGTGGTACGAAAGCTAAGATGGCAAATCGAACCTGTTTTTGGATCTTAGGATAACGATTTACCCCACATTCGCGTCGCATTTACCTCATCTTTTCTTATATGTAACCCTTTAATGTATATATTGAAAACTGGCGGACATATAGACAGGTAAAGCGTGGCGAAGGTCTGCCGCGGGAAACTGTTTTCTTCCTTCTGGCCATATTAAATATACAATATAATCTTTCTGAAAGCGATGCGGTTTTCTCGTATTTTTTAAATTGTGGAAGCAACAGATTGTCTTTTCTTTCAGTGTGATATAGACACCGACTGGACTAAAGATATTGATCAATAATATCTACGCGATGTAGCCTTTGAGTACCAGACAACACATTGTACTCGCAAATAGCGTCGGTTTTCGATAGTACATACAAATGTATGTATGCAACGGAAATAATAATTCCAATCATTTTCTGATATATGAAACATATTTTTAGCTGCTTATTAAAATTGTTTGATGGTTTTGTTTTAGTTTTCGTTTATAATCTTTATGTATTAATGTTTGTACACAATGTACAGAATGCTTTTCACCCGGCAACATCGAATTGTATTCTACAAGTAACACAATAAATCCATATTTAATTTCAATTCAATAACTCTTTCTCTATTCTACAATGAAATCCATTGGCGGCCATCGTCTTACCATTTTAAGAGATTTATTTTAAACGAAAATAAAATAATTTGTATTTCTATCAGGCAAGCCAACACGGGGTTAGATTGAAGAAAAATTAATCTTATTCTATTCGATTATTCCAAACGATTGCTATCGCTCACGAGTTCAATTAACAAATAAATCGAGTAGTTTATCCACATATCTTATGGTCGTTTTCCACTTCTATCAATATCGGCATGCTTTGAAAACCCTTGCTTGGGATTTGCCTTGGGTTGCCTACTGTTTACGCATGCAAACGTACTACAAACATGTGAATATATGCGTGGCGACCACTGCATCAAACTAACACAAATTTATAGTTGGATTTGTTTTTTCATACTTAACAGGCACTTAGAGTAGTGGAATACGACCTTACGACCATAGCGCAGAACGTAATGCATACTGCGTTATTCTTAAAATGTTCCTTGCTATTTCTTTCCTTACATGACCAGAGGGGTCCCCATATTACCCTATTCACACTGGCCACCATCCATTGAAAAAATGAGAGAAATATGCTTGATTTTCCACTTAAGGGAGCAGCTGTGCGACAGAAAAGTGTTGCTGGCTGTGTGTGTGGGAAAATTTGTCACAAGCAGTGCCTCAGTTTGTGACTGATAGCTGGCTACATTTTTTGGTCTAATTTTTCGATATACCTTTAATGAAGTCGATATATAAAGCAAATTAAAAATATTTTTAAAAAGTTCGCTGGTGCGTAAACGCTTTAACCATGTTCTCAATATAATAGCCGAGTTACACTGTCATATATCTGCTATCGATATCGGAATACAGATACTCCCACTTTACCTACGAAATGGCACTAGTCTCCTTCTACTTAAAAAAAATAGTAAGACCTTGTTACCTAAACGCAAGAACGCAATAACGCAACCAAATCATGGTGAAATTTAACTAAATAACATAAAATTTAATCGAAATATTAATAAAAGGTAGTGCTCTGTAATTCTTGGATAACTTTATGTTATTCTCGTTTTGTGCTGTATGAACAGCTGCTTCCCGATATGCGCAGATAACTGAAATGGTATATTCTTAGTTCAGTCTTTAGATGTAGTTAATTGTTATCGACTACTTCCAAAATGCATAAAAAGTTGCAGCCCTACAAACATAGTAAACAAATAATGAACTTCAAGTCTGCGACTCAATGTTCATACGGCCACGTCATTTGGTCTCTCTCCGTTATTCTCTTTTTTGCTGACATTCTACTCAGAAGTTTGGGGAGGAAGCGCCGATGCCCTGAAGTTCTAACTCGTTGGCAATATACGTGAAAAATAAAAACGGGTAACGTATGCAGTAATTAAAAAAAAGCATTCTAAATTCCAATGCTTTATTAAAGTGTATATTCTCTAAATTTATTAAAAGGTGCGTGCTCTCTGATACTTCAACCAGGAACAAGGAAAAATCGCCAGAAATTCATAATTTGACCCATCATTTAGGATGAATATTTTTCGGTTTGCTGGAGATCTATCTCATGTTTTTGCCATCATAATACTTCTGCTAAAAATATGGAAAACTCGATCGTGTGCTGGGATATCTGGAAAATCGCAAATATTGTTCGCTGTAGTTTACTTAACACGCTACCTCGATCTCTTCACCACATATGTAAGCCTCTATAACTCTGTTATGAAGGTGCTGTTTTTGGCCACTTCTGGTGCAACGGTCTATTTGATGTACGTAAAGTTTAAGGCAACTTATGATCACAACCATGATTCGTTCCGCATCGAGTTCCTTCTTATACCTTGCGCCTTGCTTTCCTTCGTCATTAATCACGAATTCTCAGTAATGGAAGTGCTTTGGACATTTTCAATTTATTTGGAATCTGTTGCCATTTTACCACAACTTTTTTTGGTAAGCAAAACTGGAGAGGCAGAATCTATAACTAGCCATTACCTCTTTGCTCTTGGATCATACCGCGCGCTATATTTGCTTAATTGGGTTTATCGCTACATGGTAGAATCGCACTATGATCTTATTGCGATCTTCGCGGGAATTGTTCAAACCATTCTATACTGCGATTTCTTCTACTTATACATTACCAAAGTTCTTAAGGGCAAGAAACTACAGCTGCCAGCATAATTAAAACAATTGTTAACTTTAATACATCGACACATCAAAGGCATTAATAAGCAGCTGTGTGTATTCCAGCAAAGACGGATACAAAAGCAAATAAAGAATGGACCGTTCCACAAAGAATTTTTAGTTTATGATAATTTACAGAAGATGTATCGGGAGAATTTTTTGTGTTGCAACTATTTTATGAAAAAGAAAATCAAAAACTCGTGAATAATACATGTAAAAATTTACCAATTGTAATATTCTTTGTTTTCTAAATGAACACTACAACTATTCAGAGGGAATCAAATTAAATATTGAAAATGGTTTGGATATTTATACCCGTGAAGGGGCTATTATACAATTGTGCACAAACTCAAAGCGCATGGAAGGAAAGCATCTCAAACCACAAAATATATAAATTGTATGTATGTATGTATTAATCAAAACGACAAGCAGCTTTAATACATCTACATATGTCTGTCATCTATGACATACATATGTATGTCCTTTTTCTTTTGAATTATTATTCGGCATAAGTAGGCGTGTGCTCTAATAGTTCTTGAATTTTATTGTGTGTTACAAGGTTAGAAGTAGAAACAAATCACAAAGAGATCAACAATGGAGGCGGAACTGGATGAAATAATTGCCGGTCTGCTGTGCACAGATACCAAACGCATACACGACTGCACCGCCGCTTTGAGAGAGGCGTTCGAAAACCCAGAGGTACTGCCGGTGCTCTGCCAGATGCTGGTGTCGACCCGCGAGACGCAAGTCCGCCAGTTTGCAGTTGTCCTGATGAACAAGCGCCTTGCAAAGCTGCGCCACTGGCAGATGGTGCCGCCCGAACATCAGGCAGGCATTAAGGCTTGCATGCTCCAGGCATTGATAAGGGAGAAGGAAAAGAGCGTAAAGAATGCCATAGCCCTGCTTATTGGGACATTAGTGCGTCATGAGGCAGACAAAAAGGACTCGTGGTTGGCCGAATTGCTGAGCTTTATTTTCGAACGCTGCAACATGGACGATCCCAAAGAGAGTGAGCTGGGATCATCCATATTCGCCAGTCTGACCGACAGCGCCCCAGATCAGTTGATCAGCCAAATGTCTGAGATCTGTCAACTCTTTTCGAGTGTGCTGATAGCCGCCCAGAGCAATGGAGATATGGCCACGCTCACTATAGCCAATATGATGCAGGGAATGTGTTCCCTGATGCCATTTATTGTCGGCCACACAGAGGCAGAGCAGACGGTTTCCAAAGTCGTCCCGCTGATGCTCGCTGCTCTCCAGGCCTTTGTCCAAAAGGGAGTCCTGACAGAATTCACTACCGCCTTTGAGATCATGGATTCCGTTGCAGAGTACGTGCCGAAACTGCTGAATAATTACATAAAGATGTTGGTTGATTTCTGTCTGGCGACGCTGAGCAACAAGCAGATAGATGACCAAATCCGTGTTGTGGTGGTGACCTTTGTCGGTCGCATCGTCCGCGTCAAGAAGAAGGCAATCGTCAAGCAGAAACTCCTGGACCTCATCCTAGTCACCGTATTCGAGATGATGTGCAGTGAACTCGGCAACGATGATGAGGACGACTATTTCTCGAGTACTAGCAACACGCCCGTGTCCACGGCTACACAAACACTCGATGTGATGGCTCTCCAGTTGTCGCCACAAAAGCTGATTCCACCACTTCTGCAGATTCTCGAGCCAGCTCTCCAGAGTCCGGACCCTCTGCGCCGTCGCGCCGCCTTCATGGCCATGGCCGTCATCTCCGAGGGTTGCTCGGAGGCCATCAAAAAGAAATACTTGGAATTAATGCTAAACATAATGAAGAGCGGCATCATCGATCAGGATCCAGCCGTGCGCAATTCGGCCTTCTTTGCATTGGGCCAGTTCTCCGAGTTTATGCAGCCCGAGATAGCAAAGTTCGCCCCACAGATTCTGCCCGTGCTCTTTGAGTTTCTCCACCAACTGGTTGTGGAGCTGAAGATGGGCCAGCCGGAACCCACACACATGGATCGCATGTTCTATGCCCTGGAGGTTTTCTGCGAGAACCTCGAGGAAGAGATTGTGCCACATCTGCCGGTGCTGATGGATCGTTTGTTCGAGTGCATGGATCAGCAGAACTCTATTCACATTCGACAGCTGGCCCTGTCGACCATCTCGTCGGTTGCCGCCGCATCGAAGTCGAATTTGGTCCCATACTTCAGTCAGATTGTGGAGATACTGAAGATTTATCTGGTGAAGGAGTGCGACGAGTCGCTCAATGAGCTACGCATTCAGGCCATCGATACACTGGCTTCTATTACCCGAACCGTTGGTAAAGAGAACTTTATTCATTTCGCCCAAGACACGATGAATTATTGCATGAATATGCTGGAGCTGGGACCAGACGATCCAGACCTGAGGCGTGCCATCTACGCCTTAATTGGTGGACTGTCCGTTGTTGTCACAAACGATATGAACACGTTCTTCCCTAAGGTTATCGAACGCATGATTCAGACGGTGGTGTCGACGGAAGATGCTTTGGTAAAGCTACGAGAAGACTCGCCGACGGGCGGCCTCTTAACTGAAATCGATCTGGGCAGTACCGACGATGAGGACGATGATGACGACGATATAGGGGAATATCAGGTGGAGAATGACTACGTCTATGAGAAGGAGGAGGCCATACTGACGCTCAAGGAGTTCGCAGTAAATTCGAGCAACGCCTTTTTCCCCTACCTCACAGTGGTGTTCGAGGAGGTGTACAAAACCATAGATCATTGCCAGGATGTCATCCGCAAGGCAGCCATCGAGGCCCTCTGCGCTTTTGTAATTTGCCTGCACAAGATGAACGACGGAGACGGAGTAAAGCGCGCATGCTCGATTCTCATTCCAAAGTTTATTTACCTCGTTAAGAACGACGAGGAACAGGCCGTCGTCCGTCAAATACTCGATGAGCTTGGCGAGCTCTTCAATACCGTGAAGACGCTGGCCTTGCCCACCCCTGATCTTGCTGAGTCGGTTGTTGCCTGCATCAAAGATGTGCTGATCAATAATACGGCCTGCCAGTTCAATGAGCCTTGTGGCGTTGGTGATGAGGAGGAGGCCGATGAAAGCGAGTACGATGAGGCACTCATCGAAAGTGGTGGCAATCTGGTGGCCATGATTGGCCACGCCCTCCAACCGGAGACATACTCGCTGTACTTTGGACGACTGTACAATTTCTTCTTGACCAAACTGGCAAAGGCCAAGACGAACGATGATCCAGACCAGCGTTCATTTATCTATGGCGTCCTGGCCGAATGCTTCCAATCGTTGGGACTCTGTGTGGTCACCTATTTCGATTCGCTCTGTCCCGTGCTTCTAGAGGGCACCACCGACTCGTACGCCAAGGCGCGCCAGAACAGCTACTTCGGCCTGGGTGAACTGGTCTATCACGCCGAAGAGATGTCCTTTGACTCGTTTGGAGTGATTTTGCAGGCACTCTCCGATGCGATCGCCCAGGAGCAGAATGCCCCTGCCATGGACAATATCTGCGGGGCTGTGTCACGCCTGATCATAACCAATCACAATATGGTGCCCCTGGGTCATGTGTTGCCCGTATTCATGTCCAGTCTGCCCCTCCGCGAGGACATTGAAGAAAATGACGTGGTGCTGAAGGCCTTCCGCGTGTTGTACATGAATACACGTGAGAGTATTCTCCCTTACATCGAGCAGATGCTGGGCATCATCTTGCATGTGCTGTTAAAGCAGGAGTTTCGAGATAATGACACCAACGCCAATGCTGTTAGTTTCATGAAGGAAATCCGCATCGAGTATCCACAGCAATTCAACAGTGTGGCCAACTCGAGTCCGGAGGTGTTCACATTCGTGCAGACCCTGTAAGCAGCACAAGCGCGGCTCCAATATCAGACCTCGCAACAAATACCTTGCTCATACACATACACATTCAAGAGAGTTCCAGGCCAAAGTTTCTTCAGTTTCGGAGTAAAAACAAATCTCAAAACCCTGATGTGATCGAATTTCAGTCAAAATTTTTCCAATATTCTCACGTTCGTTCACACACAGTACACAGTACACGGAGTGATGGCAGTCAGTCCCAAAATATTGGTCACGTTCATAGATACATATAAAAACTCTCGAAGAAATCCATCTCGGAGATAGTACATGGAGATACACGATAGATACGAGCTAATGGAATTTTAACGAAATGTTTTTTAGTTTATAATTGCAAAGCGATATGGAATAGTCTGAAATAAAATAAACATTTCGTCTATCTGTTTCTATGAGAATTATTCATAAATCGAATATCAGTAGCTTGAATTTTCTATATTTTGAACTAAAATGGGTGGCACAGTGTTTAAGAAAGTGTTTTAACTCTGTAAGTGGAAGTCTCCAAAAGTTTTCTCCGAACGCTTTCTTTGGATAATAAAAAGTGCTTCGATTTATAAAACTTTATAAGAACTGTATAATGCAGTAATTTTGAACAGACTCATCGGGTTAAGCTGGTATAATCAACCCGGGGGGAACGGCCAAAAAAAAAAGCTAATAAAAATGTTATACGCGGTACAAAGTCAGTAGAATAGAATAATCATAGAATATATTTTATATGTTGTTTGGTATCGCTGTTCGCAAAAGGGACATGTTGATTGTCAAACCAAAATTTAAAAAAAAACGAACCGTTTGGGGATTTGTTTTTGATTTTTGAAGGCAATGCCAATGCAATTTCAATTGTGCCTTCTGGCTATAATTCCATAGTTCTAGAATTCCGGAGGAGAACAAGGCAACTTATTTGAAGTTTGACTATTACCAAAACATTAGGTCTTGGGATCCGCTGCTGGGATCAGCTCCACTGGACACTGAATCGAAATATGCAGCAGTTTTGGCCAGATTCGTCGATGTGAATTTCCTCGGCTTGTACTCGTTTAAAAGTTCTAGCTGGAAGCTGAAAAATATAGCGATGACAGAAGGTTTTGCTGCGGTTGGTCCAGCGTATTTAGCTATGGAAGGACATGAAGTCACTGCGGGCCAGAGGAGTGGTCTCCTTATCTAGCTCACTTGCATCGCTGACGCCTTTCATGGATCAATTTGGAGTTCTTTTCGTACGTGGTCGACTTAAGAATTCTCCGCTGGAGTTTGATATTATGGCAGATTATGGCGGATCTCCCAACGGAGTGGCTCGACGTTTCTCAAGCCTTTGAGAACATAGGCGCATATTTTTGTGGCCCGTTTTTCTATAAGCCTGCGGCACAAGGCTCCAATTAAGTTTTACGTCCGCGTCTTCATTTGATTCGGTACCAAGACTCTTCATTTGTAGATGATGAAGGATTTATGTGGAATTGCTTCAATCCATGGTCGCTTCATAAGCGCCAGATAAAATCCGCGAAAAATTCGGTAAGAAAATAAAAGAAATTTTGTTGGTACTAGGAATGAGATGATTGAGTTGAAACGCCTTTTCCTCACCGACGACCATCAAAAGAGGATACAGGAGTTTTTCTTTCTCCAGGCTATAGACTAGCACCGTGGTGGTCTATGGGAAGCTGCTGTGAAAACGGCCAAGTACATCTTCTACTGTGCGAAAGGCAATTCGGTTCTTGGATTTGCCACCCCTAGTTTACATTTTAGAGTGAATGGTGCATTTCTTGAATGATGGTCCTCCTGGTTCGTGTGCTAATCCTGACGTCACGAAGATAAACATCGATCGCCTGCGTGGCTGGTAGCGAGTACCTGCAGTACCTGCAGTACCTGGTCCGGTGGAAGGAAGAATATGTCCATATATATACATCACTGCAGCAGCGCTCAAAGTGGATTTCTAGTTTCTTTAGTTCAACTGCTTGCATTAGGTCATTAGGTAACGGGCAATTCATAAAACGCGCGCTTTTGTTTACCATGTACATAGATCTATATGTATGTATATAGTGAATCGAAGCTGCCTTACTTTTAATTTGAACCTTCAACAGTTATTCAAAAAGCTTGATAGCTGAACAGAAATAAATAAACTTTTGTTAATAATCTGTTGTTCTATTTTTATGATAACATTCAGTTTACATATTATTTATTTATAGGGCCTCCCCTTTGCAGGTCAAATGTTGAAAATTTCCCCATAGTAAAAAGAAAGCTAAGTATGCACAACCTATCACAGACGTTATCAATGGCCAAAGATCGGGATATCGTGAAGGGGCTTTGATTATTAATGAAGCCCCCACAATGACAATTAAGCAGATTTTTGATATATATAAAAATGCTTTTTGGCCAGAACTCGGTCTAGTTTCAGAATAAAAACATTGGCAAATCAAGTGATATATTAAAACACATTCCAGCGACGGTACTAACAAACCATCTCTTTGTAAAAGTGGTAGCATGGTGAATACTGACATTTCGAGAAAGAGAATAATTTCGTTCGGCCACCATGTAAGCAAGCATAATGATGGTAGTGCAGCCAGCAGAATAGTCTTCTCGTGAACCTAGAATTGTATCGAGTTATAAAACTGTTCTAAAGTTTAATTCTTCATACGTACTTGAAATGAAAATAAAAAAAAAGCAATGGCAGTATTGAAAAGGGATAATAAAAAACCCATTTTACATCGCTTCCTATACAGTGTAATATTAGTTGGCAGAGCACTAATTAAGGTGAAAGCCAGACAAACTAGAGCCATGTGATTATTCAACACATGTTGTCTGAAACATACAATTTTTGTACTGTTTTTTTTTAATGTTTTTATTAATTAGTGTGGGCTTACTTTAGTTTCCAAATTATATTTAATGAACACCAAAAATTAGAAACTTTGTCTTCAAATACGGTGCGCCCGAGAGGAAAAAGGCGATGTAACACTTCAGCCACCGCATGAAGCGATCCAGACCAAGGGTACCAAAGCAGGCAGAATGTAGCTAAAACAATGGTTGCGGTTATTCCTAATTTAACTGCAAATAACCTGAGGCTAAAAATATTTGTATTAAAACATGTTCAGTATTAAATAAAGTATTAATATATATTTAATAAAGCTTCAATCTAGAAGGCCAATCAATTTAAGTTAAAAGCAGCCTATTAGACTTTGACTATGACCCTCTTAATGCAATACAGTCGTAAATATATATTTCGTATCTATGCAGCTATATCAAAACGAGGGACTTAGCATTCATTCTTACTATAATAATTAAACCCGAATTTAAAATTGATACACTTCTAGCAGGGTGATATCAAAGAAGTCTGAATAGAAAATTTGGTTGCTCGAGCTCTTATAGTCACTGAGATCTATGCGCTCAACGGGACGAACGGTCGGACAGGCAGACATGGCTGTATCGACTCGGCTATTGATGCTAATCAAATCAAAATCAAAATACACTACTGGGATGGCTCGAATGGCTCGAATATTTTTGAATGCATGGCTGCCAATGGTTTGTATTTTGAGAGGCGAGTGCTGCAAAATATTTAAACCAAAAATTAAAATGGCAAAAGCCCTTCATTCAATCACTAACCATACAATACTGTATGGTTAGTGATTCAATGCTAAGCTTAAATTTATGCTGGATGGTAATTTTCGGTCTGGTCAAAATAATAAGTATACATACATAAGTATTAGTATAAATCATAAGTATAAGTATAAATAATAATAATGAGTGAATTCAGAATTAAGTTACATTAAATGTACACATACATATGTTACATACACTGCCGCTCATTTTATTAGAAAAGGGCAACAGAAACTGTTCCAATGACAGAGACAACCACATATTACGTGTAGGTTTACAATTGAGCGACATTTATGGAGTATTTAAGTATACCATAGGATTATTATAAGTGATTACCGTAAGCATACCTGTTTGCTGCCAAGCATTCGCCTAGAATATACGTAAAAAACGGAATGCTGTGGTATAGTTCCATTTGTTTGTAGTTCAAGGCTAATGTGAAGGCAAATGCAGCAATATATTGTTTGCCATGCAGAATTGCTGCAATAGCCGCAGCTGCTAAGCCCAACGACACGTTATTGTATTGAAAATGTCCATTGTCGATAAGCACTTGACCAGGATAGGCGGCGAACAACATGAAGGAAAACAGTAGACTTTTGCTTTGAAAGCTTTTATCTATACAAATACACACCCCCAAGATAGCCGGTAAATAGATTAAAATGTCTCCTGTCAATACAGTTAGTCGCATAAAGCTTTTATGCAGTCTAGATTGAAAACCTCTACTTTTATGCAACTCGATAAAGCGGGGATCAATGGATTCTGCTATGCGACCAATTAAATAGCTATGATGTGCGGTTAGTGGAGGATAGTCTAGCCCCCAGTACTGCAAATCATTATCGGAGCTATTCGTATACCATTGACCAGGCTCCAAATTAATTGTCACTTCTTGCCAGTGGCGTTGAGCTTCATAGTCACCGTACATAGGAGGCGAGTCAAATCCTGAGAATGAGTACAATGAAACTATGGATCTAAGTGACACAGCTACGCAAGCTATTGCTAAAATTTCAGATTTCATATTTCCTATGCTATTTGTTTTTAACCATTAGTGATGAATAAATTTCGATGACACTATCGATTGGTGTTAAAAAGAGTCTTGTCACCTATCGAAAGCAACCAGATAGAAAAGTTTCGATTTTTCTTTTAAAACCTACGAAAAAATTCTCCTTGTATGCAAAGTTGCGTTATTAAAACAGCTGATGTGTGTGTCGATGACAATCAGATAGCGATTTTGATCTGGTCATGCTAAAAATAGCCGGAACAACGGATATAAAAGGCAAAAGAGAGTGATAAACATATAAATATATATTAAAAAAGTTATACGAAAATAAATTTCCATTTCCATATAACATATATAAACTGAAACTATCAGCAAATTATGTTTTCATATTTTTTTCCACGCATGTTAAATCGTAAGAAATCGTAAAATCATTCTCAAACGTTTCTAAACTGTTGGAGCTGTTGTATATAATATATAATGATATATAATATAATAATGATATACAAATAATACAAAAAAAATCGAATAAAACGTTGTAACAACCCTGTTTTGGAATGGTATTGCTCGGTATATCTCGCCGTATCCGAGGTTCGTGACAGAATATTTTTGTATATAGCCCCTCCAGTCAATAATCGTTTACATCCTACCCAGTGACAACACTTTAAAGGTTAAGTTTATATTATATTTTTTTTTATACTGAATGGATTCTGAAAATGGTCCGAGATACTCGCGGTCCAGTCCAGGGAATCCTAGGGCTTCGTCGGTTTTGTTCTTCACACAGTCCTATTTGACGGGGTAAGCGTCGTTTACGCAGTCGGTCCTTGTTCTGCGGGTATGATCTGCCAGGTATGTTTCCTGGTCGTAACTTGAGAATGTATCGGGAGGCACAATCAGGGATTCTAGGAATCTGCATGCTTTGCGCTTGAAGTGGTTCAGGTATTCTAGTTAAGGCGTGGGTCAGCGACGACGCTAACGGATTCTGACGATCTGCGGGTTCTGAGCTCCGAAGTGGCTCGGAAACCATCTGGTATTCTAATTGAGGAGGGGGCCAGCATTGTCTAGACTTGGGGTTGGTTTGAAGACCTATCTTGACAATTTCAAATCTTGTCCTGATCAATTTAATTTAAAAAAAAATAATGATAAATAATAATATGATCTCCTAATCCTATTATAATTTCAATTTATTCTAACTTATTTTTGTGAGGGGCGCGTCAAAAAATTTAAAAAAAACAGATTGAGAAAAAGTGTTAATATTTAAATTTGTATTTAAAGTTATAGATTGTGTAATATTATCATTCGTATAAAGCTAGTGTAATGTGGTATGCGACCTTTGAAGTTCTGCTAAGTTGGTTTGAAAACTTTGTGTATCATCGCGTACATTACTAGGACCTATTTTATTTTCAATTCGTTGACTGGTGTCCCGCATTACACCACTAAAATCAGGCAATTCGGGAAGATCTAATACAAGGTGCGCTGAAAATCTCTTGTATACCGAGGATTTGATGCTTTCTTTTTTCATTTTTATCCTGTTCTCTTCCGCTGCAAGTTGTTGCTTTAAAAAAATTGATGTTTTTAAAATTGATTGTACATTGGAAAATAGGGACTCCGATTTTTCTATTGTTTGTAGTGCTCTGTGAATTATAAATAATCGTAATGTTATCGTTAAACTTGTAGCAAATTAAATTAGTTGACATACTCTACTCCATATTCCATGTCATAGCAATGTCCCTGAAGATTTTTCTGCAACTGGAACACTTCTTCCCGTTTTTCATATATCGCTGGTAATACTTTCCGCACATGCTCCTAAAAACAAACTAATGCAGTAATATCGAAAATAATCGTGAGGTATATTACAACGCTAATTCCGAAGGCCGAATACCCTAATTACACCATTGAAATGTGGTATTGTCCGTAAGGTTTTTCGCTTCCAAAAACTTCTCAGTTAGTCGACCATGCAGTTGATAATCCTTACGTTTCTATTCGATATTTAGCCGATAATTTTAAAATGAAACCCTGAATAATTCACATATATTGCGCAAAAATGCAGCTGTTAGCACGAAAACGAAAAGTGTTGCTTTCCTACATTTTAACTAGCATCTACCGCTTGTTCTAGACACCGATGAATCTTTATATGGCATTGGTGTGGTATTCCCACACATTCAAGCAGATGGTACGGAAAGGCCAATAGCATTATATTAACAATATATGTATGTCCACCATGTTCGATAAAGCCAAATAGAAAAGGAAGCACTTTCGATTATATTTGGGGTAACAAAAAATCATCAGTACCATTACGGCTGAAAGTTACTTCTACAACTGATCATAAGCCATTGGTTACCATATTTAATCCAAACAAGCATCTGCCAGCAATGACTTCAAACATGCTTCAGGCTATAATTTTTAAGCCCAAAAACTTTGAAATTAAATATCGCAGCACCAAAGCTTAATGAACGCATTCTTACGTCTTCCTATCAGCTCAGATGAAAAGTTTGACACTGAACAGGCAATAAATGCCGAAATAATCAGGCAGAATCTTAAGATTTTCAGATGCAGACTTTCCCTGACGATTAACAAGAGACGAACTGAAGAGAAAAATCAAGCATTTAATCATTATTGGATGGATTCTTTTTCATATGTAACACAGAGGGTTTTCCGACTTTACTTGAGAAATACTTCACTACAAACCATAACCGATTCGCTGTTAGAGGTGTGCTTGAAACTTAAAACAAGTTGTGAGCCAGATTTAACAGCTAACTATTATTCAATAGTTATAGTTATATTATTTAAATACTAACTTCATATTTCTTTCAGAGCTAGCTAAAATAAATATGGTGTGAGCGAAACATTTGTATATTTTTATTAGAATAAAGATCACGTATAATTAATCTATTCGTTTTAAAATAAAATAAAATGTTGATAATATAACTTATCCTATACAAAACCTTAAGACCTGGTATATCCTTCTGTGTGAAAACGTTAACCCCTGGTGGGCAATCTGATCCTCGGATTATAATTTCCTCTTCTTGAATTAATTTCTTAGCTCATTTAGCTATATTAGTCTAACATATATTTTTCCTGCATGTATGCGATCGGTTCGGTTACACGTGTAGCACGTCTTTCGGCAGCGGTCCTTGGATGATTGGGCAAGAGGAGAAAAAACCACACTCCGAAGATAACGGTACATAGTAATCCCCGGAACAAAATTGGTGAAGTTTGAAAAGATTGTCTAGACTCTAGACCTACAATAAACTAATGGGAAAGACTCAGCAGCAGGATTGGCTCTGCATCACAAAATAATGATCACAAAACTACCACTACCTCAAGTAAATTAACAAAATTTGTAAAAGAGCACAAAGTACCATCTGTTGAATTTACCACGAAAGGCGTTAAAGTGGTGAAACACTGTCTGCCTAGACATCACCAACAACAGATGCAGGAAATGCAAGGAACTGCAAATCCTCGATTATGTTATGATCAAGCAACAGACACAGCGGCGCTCCTGTGCTGAAATCAGTGGATTGCCTTTCCTTCGCCAAAGACACTTCAATTCTGTGGGATTTTAATTATACTCTTAGCGGTCCCATTCAACCGGGGAACTAAGGGCCACATAGATCTAAGTTGGTCGGTCCGATATACTGATTAAAATAAAATAGAGAACATAAAAAAGGGGTAATTTGTGTCTGTCAATACAATTGTAGCCGCTTGTTCAATACGAGATTATATTATTATACAATATAGTTACAATAATAACAGCTTCACGTACCTGAACTCGAAAAAAAGCTAGGGAAGGGTCATTTGCGAATATGTGTACATTTTCCGATATTTTTTCGGAAGCTAAAAAATAAAATGTTTTTATATTTATTAAAATCAGCATTTTAAGATCATTAATGTCTATGTGTGCATTAAAAACATATTTAAGAACAGAAGGTTAGCTTTGCTGGCCGAAACTCTAAATACCCTTGCAGTTACCCTACGTCAGTTATTTTTTTTTCAAACAAACTTGGTTTTGTATATTGAGTTAAGTGAAATTGTGAAATATTACATCTGGTTGTATTGAACTTTGCAAAACTTAAAAACTGATAAATGCAGCTATACCTTCAGTATGGTAATAAAGTTTAAAAAAAATGCATTTGGTCAAGATTGGCCTTATGTTTTTGGAACAGGTACTTTGAAGATTACCTTTGATAGTAAATAGAAATAGCTAGTAAATACTAATGTATTATTTGTTTTGATTCAGTGTATGCACGACTATTATTATTTTCCTGTGCATATTGTCTGCACCTCATATAAACATACGTTCGTAAGATGTTTTCTCTACCCCGACTTTTATTTGATATGGGAAATTTATTTAATAACATACTTTTTCTTGTTTTAAAGATCAATTCACTTGCTCGAGACATTGTTTTGCTTTAAAATGGCACAACAAAATTAAGGCATGAGTAGAGCTGGGAAAATATCGATTCAAACATCGATATAATTGATTCTTTGGTGTTGGTGAAAACATGGATTCATTTGTTGGGAATCGATGTTTGTTTGACAACATGAAACCAAATTTCACTTCCTATATGGAACGCGAGCTTGATTGAAAAAAATGGCAAACAATTAAGAAATTACAGAAAACAAAGCGAGAGATGCTTCAGTAAATTGAGAGCAGTAAAGGCCAAACTAACTTCCTACAGAGCTGATTCAATTTTAAAGGGATTCCAAAGAGCAACGTTTTATTGAGCCTGTATGTAAGAGCCAATAAAAACGCAAATTTATTCATTTCAACTTGTAATATGTAACAATTCAGACAAAAACATGGCTATTGTTATTGCCAAGTTTTTTTTTTTGATGGATGGTAAATCGTAGATGGTGACAGTGGAAATCGAGGTTTCAAATCTGTGAAAAAATCCCATCGTTCCCCGCATATATTCTGTGGTGGAAAAGAATATTATATTGGAAGCTCTAGGCTTTTCCGAAGTTAGGGAGCACCATCGAAGCCAACTTGACCACTTTTCAACCACTTTTGGGCTGAAATCTTGATCGCTTACGGATTGTGTTGCCAGCCGTCCTCTTCTCCACAAATGTTTGTGTTCTGGCTTGGGCGTTATTTGATAGAATAATATATAAATAAATAAATAAATAAATAAATAAATAATATATAAACAGAAAATTGGACAGCCGCAGTATTGCATAGCTACCTTACCAAGGTATCGGTTTTGCGATCCGAGTCACCATCCACCCCAGGTCTGGGATGGGACCCCTTTGGATTCGCTTATAAGAGTCGTCAATAAAAGCGCATCGTCTGCGACGTCTTTTTCGGTATGCCCACTGTACCAAACACTACATATACATATGTACATATGGTTACACACGGCAGTAGCTTATGCACCAGTTCTTTCGTCTCTTTATCTCGGGCTTATTAAGCTTAATAAGCATTTAAATTCTTGATAAATCGTCAATCGAGAGTATTCTTTTCTCGACTTTAGGAGCTTATATATTTTACATTTACCTTGGGTTATTCAATAATGACTTTAAATAGAAAATATTGCCAGAAATTTTATAAATTGCGTGCTTGGAAGACAATTTTACCAATAATTTGTATATTTTGTTTTTTTTTATCTACACAACATATCTCAAAAACCATGTAAAAAATATGTAAACTTTTGAGTTTGAATCGTCATGAGTTTGAAATTTGTATTTGAAAGACATATAAAATATGTTATAGCTCATACAAAAAGAGGAGTGTATTCGAGATTGAATTCTGAACAAAAAACGTATTTCTCATATAAGAAATACACACAGAAACACATCGCTGGGTTGACTGGGCTTGCCAACGTAGTCAATAATGAATATTCTTTATGATAGTAGAGCTACCCTCTAAAAATTCCTAAGAAATACCCTCTAAAATGACAGATCATTAGTTGGAATCGGACAGACCACCATGACCACTATGTCATCTATCTGCCACAAAAACGAGAGGTTAAAGCCAAATAATTATAATTATATAACTCTTCTAATAAAATAATTATAAAACTTAAAATAATACTTTGGTCGCAGCTTATCAGCCTGCTTGCAGATTTATTGGCCGTTTCTTTTCAAGGGAATACTTAAAAACTACGTCACGCATAGGATAAATTTTTAATTTTCACTGCTTTCGTTTTGGTTAACGTAAAGAATATCAGTATCGGGTATAAAGTAGTCGACGTAATCATATTTTAGTTCTTATGTTATGTGAAATTCGAATATCCAAAATATTGGTAGTTCATGCACATGCAATGCTGACGTTGTATTTTCCATGATAATAAGAACTCATTCTTGCGTCGTTGTGGTTTTTTTTTTGTTTAAAGTTTAAAAAATATGTAACATTTGTATATGTTAGTTGAAGTTACGAACATGTGGAAAATTTTATTTTTATATGGTTTCAGTACTTTATCAAATCTTAACGCTAATTACCTTGAAAATGAATCTACTTTAGACATTAATAATGAATTCGAACAATTTAAGGTAGGTACGACTTTGACTGAATGTAAGAACCGAAATTTATATTAACATTTTTTTTTATAGAAGATAAATAATAAGACGTACAGTCGTAATTTTGATGAAACACGTAGTCTAAAAGCATTTGAAGTAAACTATAAAATAATAAAAGACCATAATAAAAATTATCAGGACGGTCAGACTACATTCAGGTTAGCAACAAATATTATGGCTGACATGGTATGTATAAACATGTTCATATGTCATGTGAACGTAAAAATAAGTAAATATAACAGAAATTTTGTTTATCTCGCTCGTCAATACATTACAAATTTTGTACAAAAATGTCTCTGGCGGTATAATTTCCTCGAATTAAATGAAGTATTTTTATTTAGACAAAGTTTTTTTTTTAATTTTATTAAATTTGTATTTGTTTTTAATGTGTTTTATAGAGTAAGTGTTTCTTATTTTCACCTAAATTAAGTAACTTACATCTAGTTGTAATAAGCTGATAAATGCAGACATAAATTGGACCTGAATACTTTAAAGCTGACCGTCTGGGCCTAAGCTTTCAAACGGAAACTGCATCATTTTTGCGGTATTTTTAAAAAAATTTGACATTAAAAACTCAGAAAACGTAGATTTTTCTCTAGTGTTTTAATATTTTATTTATATAGCTGCCTTAGTTAGGCGTCGTTTTAGGTATAGTTTTCAAAAATCTGTGGATAAACGGCTAAGGTGCAGTCGTTTGACCAACCCTCCTAAGGTTATGTTCTGTTCGGTATGTCTTGCTACTAACTATAGTATACAGTATATAGATGTGCCAGCTTAACAACGAATATGTCGCAAGCGAATTTGCTGCGGTCTTCGCCTATGGCGTGCGGCTCGTGCCGTGTCATCATGAGACATTCATCTCGCTCGCACAAATTCAGAAGAATAAACAAATCTGTAAATAGTATGAGCTTGCATGTGTGGTACGTGTGCTTACTCGTGCAAAGCGAGCGATTTCCGTGCCAAAAAATGTTGTTCTTCTTCGAATATCCGATTGCGATTGACTAATTATATTCTGTGCATTCATTTTTAATTTCTAAGTAATAGTAATTTCTAAGTTTCGAGTCAAGCCTGTAGAGTTTTCTGTGGCACCGCTGTGTAATTGGAGAATTCTACTAAATCGCATTTACTTTTATAATGGAATTATAACTTTTCAACACTTTTCACTTAGAGTACAGAGGGTTATTTAAAAAATTTTCTACGTTTATTGAAAAGTCAATCAAACGTGGCCGACGATAATATTGCTGAAATAGTTGGATCGTCACAAATGACTAACATCCCCGAAAGTCTGGATTGGCGGAGAAAAGGGTTCACGACCCCATCACAGAATCAACAAAGCTGTGGCTCATGCTACGCTTTCAGTATTGCTGAAAGCATTGAAGGACAGATTTTTAAACGCACAGGAAAAATATTGAGCTTAAGCGAACAACAAATTGTAGACTGCAGTGTGTCTCATGGAAATCAAGGATGCACTGGAGGATCTTTACGGAACACTTTAAAATACTTACAGAGCACAGGCGGTATAATGAGATCGGATGATTACAAATACGTTTCAAAGGTAATTTTTTATATTTTTTAGTTTTGCACTACATTAAACAATGCAACAACAAATTTATTGCGCTCTTTTTTTGTAAGCTCACATACACAAATTTACATCTGTTTTGCAGGGAACGCTCTAAAGAGTCAGGAAAACCTTTCGTATACGTTTGAATACATTTAAATAATTTTCATTGCTTTATTATCAATTTACAGAAAGGGAAATGCCAGTTTGTAAGGGACCTTTCCGTCGTTAATATTACTTCTTGGGCTATACTACCAGTTAATAATGAACAGGCAATTCAAGCTGCTGTGGCACATATCGGTCCTATTGCTGTTTCAATAAATGCCACTCCAAGGACATTTCAATTATATAGGTATGATTTAAATACTCAGAAATAAAAATGGTTTTACGACTTGCTTGTCTAGCTAATAACTAGTTGGTGCCGGAGTTAACCGTCCAAGAAAAATCTTGGTGTAATCGGCTAAGAAGCAACCACTGGTCACCGTTCAGCACAAGGCTGGTAAAACATTCCAAACAAAAAAAAAAACGGAAAAAGCTCAATAAAAACCATTCTACATATTCAAATCTGTAAAATACTTAATTTTTTTTCAGTGACGGCATTTATGACGACGCTTCATGTGTGTCCACATCTGTAAATCACGCAATGTTGGTAATTGGATTCGGAAAGGATTTTTGGATATTAAAGAACTGGTGGGGCGACCGTTGGGGAGAATCTGGCTACATGAGATTGAAGAAAGGCATAAATTTATGTGGAATTGCGAATTACGCTGCGTATGCAATTGTGTGAAAGTACAATATTATTATAAATATTAAGTTGTAATATTATTTCATTTTTTATGCAGATCTAATGTTAGGTAAAAGTTAAAACTACTCTGATAAAGTTTTTTTCGGCTACTACATAATATGAAAATAATTGTTTGTATTTTCTACTAATTTTATATATCGAAAAATACTATTCAACGTTCTTCAACCCATTCAAAATAAGCCCCGAAACAATATAGCAAATTTTAATTCGCTTCTTGGAATTTAATAAATGTTTAAAATCATAATTTTGGATCACGGTATTTGTAGCGCAAGCGATACTGAAATATCCAACTAACAAGATGTTAGTTTGGAAAAAACATTTTTGAAAAGTAAAAAAAAAAAGGTAACAGGCTGTAGCCATTTAATTTTACGAAGTATGGAGCTTTAATTGTTTTTTTGGTTTATTTGGATGTGTTTAACACCCAGAATGAAGCGATTCTGATCCCATAAAGTATATGTCGTATCCTGAGAGCTATTTGGCCGTGCATCATGGTAGGTCCTTAATCAGCTGCTTTGTTTACAATGCCACTGTAGAGCGACCACAAGTCGTGAGCGTTTTGTTTTTTCTCTCTCTCTCTCTTTCTCTATGTGATCTCTTTTCAGATGTGATCCCTTCTCAGAAGATGAAGAAAAGAGGATCCTTTTTCTTTTTCATTTACCCCATCCAACTAACAATACGAGACGCATCAATTGAATATTCTCGTTCGAAATATTTATAAAATTTTTCTGCGAGAAACTATCGATGGGGCAGAAACCATCGATGTTCTGTTAAATTTGCAATATCTATCAATTTTTTCCCATCCCTAATAAATATATTTACGCACCAAATAATAAATATATTTACGTACCGTACCTAATTCCATATTTCATAATTCTTTACAAAATGGACCCAATAGAGCCTGATGCACATTTATTGGCTTTAAAAGGTACAAATTACAAGAACTACATATATTAAAACTAATAGACATAATGATTTAATTAATTAAACTTTTTAATTTAAAATCTATCACAGTTATGCGTTTAATGCGGCCGACATTAGTTGAACTTGGGCCGGTCGTAAGCTGTGAACACAAAGATTTGATGCAACGCTTTTCTTCTAAGCCTCATAGTGATGTTTTTTCTGGGATTATTGCTGAAACACTGTCGGCAGGTCAAGTGCTGTTGTTACCACAGTCATTTGGAAACATATATCTGGGTGAAACATTTTCAAGTTACATTTGTGTTCACAATTGTTCACCCCAGCCTGTTGAATGTATTAACGTTAAAACGGACCTGCAGTCAAACACTACCCGTATAAATTTATCCTTGCAAAAAAATAACAAGTCTGCAATCATATTGGCACCTGGAGAGACTATTGATGATGTTATACGATATGAAGTAAAAGAGATTGGAACACATATGTGCGTAAATTCGTATTAAGTACAAAATTTTTATATTAATGTAAAATTTATGTTTTTAGACTTGTCTGCGAGGTGAATTATACGAGTCCAGCGGGGTACGCTCAATCCTTAAGAAAATTTTTTAAGTTTCAAGTCTTAAAACCACTTGACGTAAAAACAAAATTTTATAATGCAGAAATTGAAGAAATTTATTTGGAGGCTCAAATACAAAATGTTACCACCAGTCCATTCTGTCTCGAGAAAGTGGAATTGGATAGCTCTGAAGAATTTACAGTTATTCCTTTAAATACATTGCCCAATGGAGAGTCTGTTTTTAATACTAAGAACATGTTGCAACCTAACAATAGTTGTCAGTTTCTTTATTGCATAAAAGTAAGTAGCAAGGAATTTTATAAATATCTTTAAATATAACAATGTATATTGCCCACAGCCAAAAGTGCAGAAAGCTACAGACATCCATGCTCTTCGACAGTTAAGCAATGTAGGCAAACTGGATATCGTTTGGCGGTCAAATCTCGGTGAAAAAGGACGATTGCAAACTAGTCAATTACAGCGTTTGGTATGGTCTTCAACTATGATATGCCAAGCATTTTCACAATTAAACATGAAAATTACTTTTTTACAGCCCTATGAATGTAAGGATCTGCGTTTCGAAGTCATAAATGCTCTAAATACAGTAAAAATTGGAACAATATTTACCTTTAACTGTAGGGTAACAAATACATCCGAACACACAATGAAATTGCATGTTCGACTGGTTACTAAGTTATCGCCGGAATGTCAATATACGGGCTGTGCTGATTTCAAGCTTGATGAATTAAACACTGGAGAAAATGCCGAGTTTCCACTATCGGTTTCCCCATCGAAGTTGGGTCTCATTAAAATTGCCGACTTATTACTGGTTGACACCGAAAACAATGAACATTACTCGATAGAAAAGGTAGTAGAAGTCTTTGTAGTAGATTCGGATTACAACAAAGATCACAAAACCTTTCAGAATAGATTAATTCGCTATGCAAAGCCAACGGATATTATAATACAGTCGCCGGTTCAATTACAGGTGGTATAGAGTGTAAGCAAAATTGACACTTTTTGTACATTGAAGCGCTAAATAATAATTGTATATCTAATTGAATCACAGCTATCGGGATTTATTTTAAATACAGGTTCTTAACATATTCCCTCTCATTGTAATAAGACATAAGACACCCCACAACTGGTCTCCAAAAATTAAGTTCATTGACTAGTCGATAATACACATTTGATTACAACAGACACGTTATAGCGGCTTACCTGAACGATCAAATAAAGACATTCCAATATACAAAAATATAGAATAGCTCTGGTTAACTTCGCTATGATAGTCAAATCACAAATTAGGCATAATCAAGACTAAGACCTACTTTCGAAGTGTCGGTCGATATTGCACCAACTGCCTTCGTAAAACCGAGTTTAAGGATCTTAATAACCTCGGTAGGAATTTTGGTTCGTCCGCTGTTAATTTTTGTGCACAGTTGAAAGCATTTTCTACAGTGTAACTGAAACACTTTTTGAGCTCTGACAAACCGGTTTGGCTCAACAAAGTGTTGTCGAGTCTAAAAAACTTCAAGAAGTCGCGGCCCTATTTGTGACTCACCATGTTCCTCCTCGTTTTTCTTAATACGTCGGCAAACAATGATCAATGATTGGTATTCAATCTTTTTGCCCAGTTACCCAGTGAAGATTACCGGCTTGGCCCTGGCCGGTCCTACTGTTCTACGGTAGAACTACGGTTCTACTGCATCCACTAACTCCGTTACGAGAAAAGAATCGTAGAAAATATGAGAAACATGCACCGAAAACCAACTTGGACGGATTTAAAGGTCAACGTACATTAAGCCACAAAGGGACACTTTTTTTTGCATCTGATGATTTTCTCTTTTCGGTAGTACCCATCAAAATGTCGTCGAAACCAACAAAGCGCTCACTTTAATGATCCCCTAGGACTGATTGGGTCTGTCATTGCAAAATCAAAGATTTTCCTTCAGCTGGCGTAAAAGGAGCAGTATCAATGGTATGAGAGTCTGCCAAAGTCTCTTTCGTCAGCGTGGACCCCCTTCTGCGAAAATTTGTCTACCCCTCAGATTCTCAATTGATCAGTAAGATACAGCAACTTAAATTATTTACTGTAAGCTATTGATGGTCCAACTCCACAACTGCCCTCTCTTGGGTTCGCAATGAACCTTCAAGTTTTGACGTCTTTTTTGCAAATTGGGTCGGAAATTGAATACGGAAGTTGAACACGTTTGAATACGTCTTCCAATTTATGCAGTGCACGACGTCAGGATTAACATCTTTGGTTGACATCTTTGGTAGCACACGGATATTTCTTCGTTCGATTGAGAGAGACTGACTGCTAGGCCCTCCGTGACGCAAAGGAAGTGCAGTCGTCGAGCTCTATTTCGTCACTCGCGACATTTCTGGATGAAAATAAATGGCATGGATGCTGAATTTATCTATTGATTTCAATGCGTAGGACCTAGTTATTTTGTGGCCCTTTTGTGGTCAGTGAGATTTGGGTTGATAACGTAACCAACTTTGTGGCAGCTAAGAACGAGTTGGCGGCTCTGGGAGGCTGTGGTGAATACAGCCAAACATCAGTTCCTTTCTGTGCTTGGATGACCTAAGGACACTCGTGTGCCATATAACTGCTATAGTGAACTCAAGACCATAGCTTTCCATTTCAGAGAATCCCGGCGATTTAGACGTGCCTGTTCATACATTCGCATAACCAGATGTGGACGGAATGAGCTTCAATCTTCTCGACCGATGGAAGCGGGTAAACTTCCTGCAACAGACGTTCTGGTCCCGCTGGTAGGAAGAGTACCTCATCATTCTTCAGAAAAGGGCCAAATGAAGAACTGAGCTACCTTGTTTCAGTGTAGGCGACGAGAACTAAACTCTCCTCAAGTGGCCACTAGGAAGGCTGACAAAGCTGATCGTTCGAAGATAGGGAGTTCTCAGGTTAGCTGAGCTTAAAACTACTAATGGGATCATGCCCTACGCTCTTAATTGTAGCATTCACTCTTTTTATCTTCCCCATCATCCGACGAAAGTTTTGAGGGAGGGTCGTCTGCATAGGAGAACTCACTGGCACTGTTATAAACTAAATTTAAACTTCGTCTTTTATCGCTTAAACATCGTCATCGGGCCCATCTGTTTGCTTCTCTTTACATCAAACATAATAAAGCCTATTTATTAGTATTTATAAACTAAGTATATATTATATTTATATAAATATATATATTCCTTTTTTGTTATACATGTGTGTTATTATATATGTATATATAAAAATAGATATATTATTTTTTAATATATTTATGATATATTAAACACGAGTAATTATTTGAAAATAATTCGCTATCTACATTTACTCTGCTGAAAAGGCTATGTCGCTCAATTTCGCCAATGAAGTTTTGCTATGTGGTTTTGACAGAATAAATGAAATACCGATCAATAATACAAAAACAGCTGATGATATTTTACGGGGTAGGAGAGACATACTATCTGTCTCTCTTATTCTAACATAATAGCCAAGCTACCAAGCAGGCCGCGAAAATAATGAAGATAAATTTATAATTTGTTAGTTAGGTATATTAATTTACATGGAAGTCAAACCATATTGCTTATTGCTTATTTTCCGCTGAGTTTGTATTTTTACTGCTTCAGAAAATGTAAAAAATGGTCATTTTAACCGAATCAATTTGTAAACAAATAGAAAAATATGACAATTTAAAACATGTATGATTAAAATTTCATCTATCGCTGCTGTGTTAACTCGAGCCATTTAAATCATTTCATCAATTCCTAATTTGCAGGCTTTAATTAAATCAGCCATTAAACACCTACGTGAGTACCCTGGTTTCTAACTATATTTTCCTTATACCATATGAACATAATAACCTTTGCACAACTACAATGACGAATTCAGTTACAATTTTGACTTGAAGTCTAACCTGTTTCAATGTTTTCTCACCTGAAGGTGACTTTTACTGTTCAATGATATAGTTAGAAGTGATAAATCTACATATGAATGTTTAATTAAGTAGATATGTATGTATTTTTCAAGTATTATTTTTTTAAAGCTTTATTATGGACGTGGATTAATGTGCAGAAATAATTATACACACACTATATGTTGATAAGTGAATATTCATGGGTTTTAACCAGCCCCGCATAACCAGTGCCTACTCATAATTTATAATTAAATAAGTATAGCAATATTTGGTTGCACGCCCCTATTCCAGATACAAATGTGTAAATCAAAAGGTCTTAAACAAAAGACTTGAGCAACAAACTTGCATACATCCAGCATAAATGTACAAGTGTAGGGTATATATGTACATATGTATGTACATATGGTCATGGACTTTCATATGTATCTTTAAAGACGTGGCTATATCACAACAAAAAAATTGTATGTGTGCATTAGTTTTGCGCTTATTTGTGTGAGCGAACAAAAAATTTGTCTGAATCTAAGGTCTCAGGGTCCAAAGAGGTATCTTTTGGTATTAAAAAATAAAATAGAAAGTTATAGCCCGTTGCGACAACGTTTAGAGGTGCGGACTTGGGCTCAAAGTTTTAAAATACGATATTTGGTCGATGGTTTCTATGGCAGCTATACCATATATCGTTCAAATCGGATTATATATTTATAGCCGTATATTATAGCAGTGCATGGTAGTGCATGTTTCGTGCCGTGTTGGGTCGTGCCAAAAAATTTCAGTCGATGTCTATCCCTTCTGTTAAGGCCATTCCATCAGAGGAACATATTTTTTGCAGGAACCATTTCTTGGTCTTGGTATTAAAGAGTGCTTCGGGTCATAATCCCGCTGGATCTCCCACTGTAGTGGCATTCAGAATGTTACTGTCGAGTACGGGAGGAAAAAATTGTTTTCTCTACACAATGTATGCATATGACCAATACCCGAGCATGGGAAAAGCATTCCTCACAGCATTATGATTTCACCACCATGCATAACCATGTTAAGAGACTACCTTAGGTCTTGTACTGCCCACTTGTACTGCATACTGGGAGTAAAACCCAGAGGGAACCATTTCTGACCCCATATATTCTTGATCAGCATCAAAAGCTGATAACTAACAAATTGCTGAATCGCGATCTAAGAAGTTTTTTTTAAGAGAAGTATTAAGGCATACATACATATATGTTTGAAGTCGATTTTGTAATGGCTTAATTTGTATAATTTGTGAATTTTCAACGAACTACGTACATATGTATATACATAGTATGAATGATCAGAATTGAATGCTGGTCATTGAAAGATCACCGTGTAGAACAAATAGTATTATTAATTGTTTTGTAATAATATTTAATACAAATTTATTTATTCTTTTCTCAATATAATACATACTTAAGTATCTTCATAATGGTATACCCTGAGGAACCCTTTTGGGTTTTACCCACGGTAACTGGATTTTACGAAGATAGAGATTATAGAGGTACGCTTGAATTTAAAAGTTTGTATGAAAATGTCTGCTTATATAAGAATGTCATGTGTTTTAGTAAATGTAGTGGAAGCACTTCAAGAATTTTGGCAAATGAAACAGTCACGAGGAGCGGACCTTAAAAACGGCGCACTTGTAATATACGAATCGATTCCGTCCAATAGCCAGCCTTATGTATGTTTCGTAACACTGCCTGGGGGTAGTTGCTTTGGTAGCTTTCAGGTACATAGCATTTTTTATATAAGAAGAAAACTTTATACTGTGATTTGATTTTAGAACTGTCCAACAAAGGCGGAAGCAAGACGTAGCTCGGCTAAAATTGCTTTAATGAACTCCGTATTTAATGAACATCCGTCGCGTCGAATTAGCGACGAGTTTATTTTGAAGGCAGTACAGGATGCACGTGCTTCCTTTAAAACAACACTACAAGGCAATGAAGGGACAGAATCTGGAATCGAAGCTTTCAGGTAAAATGAATTCCAAAGAATATATTTCCTATACTCATGCAGAATTGTATTTATTAAGAAATCAATAACTTATTATATTATAATTTTTTAATGCCTTACTATTACGGATTGTGTATTAAATAACACATCATCACCAAAAACAATGTTGATTAAAAACGATAGCTTGGCAGACCCGCTGTACTACTCTATACTCAGTTCTTATATATGACATTTGATGATCTAACTTTTTATACCCGGTACTCGAAGAGCTGAGAGATATAGTATTAGTTTTGTAGTGTATGCGGACGCATGTGACTCCCAGAAGGAAACGTTTCCGACCCCAAAAAGTATATATATTCTTGATCCGCTACAAAAAAAGAGTAGTCATTTCTGTCTGTCCGTCCGTTTTGATGAGCGTCTAAATCTTAGAGACTGTAAGATCCAGAGGAACCAGGTCTTGTGATATCACACAAGCGAATTTAAAAATTTCGTACGGAAATTTGTGGCATCCACAGATACGAGAAAGCCGAAAATTTATTATAGTATTAAAGAGAATTATCACATCTAACAGATCTAATCGTTATTATAGCCCCATCCACACGCTCATTTCCTCGTGGAAGATTATAATTAGCCGTTGTGATTTCTTTCTTTCTCTCTATGTTCTCTAGACAAAAAGAAAAAAAGAATGCGGCATATATCTACAAATATAAAATTCGGGTCTCCGAAGCTAATTTTTTTAGCATAAAAATACATCTGCAAGGGTAATTCGACATCCGATCACTAACTTAACAATTCCTATTTTAATTTAGGTTTATGCTGGAAGCAAATAAGGGAAGAACCATGTTGGAATTCCAAGAATTGATGACTGTATTCCAGCTCCTGCATTGGAATGGGTCTTTAAAGGCAATGCGAGAACGTCAGTGTTCAAGGCAAGAAGTAGTGGCGCACTATTCAAACCGCAGTCTAGATGACGAAATGCGTGCACAGATGTCTTTAGATTGGATAGCTCGTGAACATGATAGCCCTGGCGTTATCCGAAGGGAGTTGCTTTTGGCCGAGCGCGAGCTAGAGACTTCTCGTATGGCTGGTCGGGAATTACGCTTCCCAAAAGAAAAAAAGGACATATTAATGATAGCTCATAATCAGCTGGGTGGAAGTAACTTGAACTCGGCATCTATTGATCATTTATAATAACAAAAGAAAACTGATCTATTGCGAAGTCAAATTGAACAGATATTTATAAAATACAAAAATCTCTCATTGAGAACAAAATGATTATCCGACGTGTTTCCAATTTCACTTTTTCAATATTATCAAAATCGGTTTAAAATCGGAAAAAAATTTTAATAATGTGCATCTAAATAACATACAAAATTTGTTTTTATTTGATGGAAACTAATTGTAATAGTACAATTTAGTTCTAGTGGGAAATCTAACACAAATATTTGTTTAACCAAGCCTCAGATGTTGTGGTGTGGTACGTTAAGTGAGGTTTACGCCAGAAGGTAAATACAAATTGTTAATTGGTAATCGAACAGTTTTGAGTATCGAAAATTAATTTAAATTATTTGGATCAAATGGCTAAGTGAAAATGGAAGCACGGGTATATATTTATATAATTGGCATACCATATGATCTCCAGTAAAAAGGACAAGTCGATTTAAGATAGAAAAAATATTATACATTCCATGAACTCTTTCCAAAATAAATTTCTTCTTCAGTATATTAAAAAATATGGCTCATAAAAATTTCCATTTTCATCAAAGGGGGGTTGAGTGTGTTTTTTTCTATCGATATGCCATGGTGGGTGCGAATCTCTAAGAGACGTGACTGACTCGTGCCATTCAACGAACTGGCCTGCCCCTCCGCGGGATCACCGTAAAGAATTACTTTGCGAATTACATTGCCTACTTTAGGCACTCTCTGCTACGATTCACTTCCTTTCGCATCTTCTCAGATTGCTCTGGCGGGTTATTAGGGTCTTGCAAACGAACTTCCAGTTTTTCTCTAACTTGTTCAAGTAGGACATCCGGCCGGAATCCTGATGGTTGCTACGGGGAGATTTCCTTTGGGCAGAGGGATTAAGCCCTGCATTTTCCTTCTTGTCTCGAGTTCTCCCGAAGTCACCTGTCACCTGCTCTATGGAAACCGGTTGACCAAGCAAGACAATTCAATGCTCCAACTATCAATGAAGTCGCAGTGGTAATTGTTGCGTCGGAATGGTACGAGTATTCAAACAAAAGATCAGAGTAATCATGAATTAAATCGTTAAGCAGAAGGTTTTTGGCTAACTCCGAGGTCTAATGTACTCGGTTAAATGCAGAAGCGTGGTTTACCACATAGTACAGATCGATTATAATGATATTGCGGAATCTGAATCATATGAAACTTTGCCACGGTACGCGGTTGTCCGTCAAGAAACTGATGAACAGTGTGATTCAAACGACGATAATCGAGGCAATTGAAAACCCTCAACTAAAGGAATGGTTAAAGTCAAAAAGAATATAAGTACATCAAATTCGTATGAATGTGGGTAATGATTTCGGTGATGGCTTTATTTACCATATAATATGTGGTATTTAACTTAATCTAGATCAATTCTATTTTCTAAAAACAAACTACCGGTGTGCATTTTAGACTCCTTAATTTTTAGATGTGAGCTCAGCAAATCATCCATTGTAATTTTTAAATTTGTCTTGTCTATGACGGATATACTAGAGCCTGAATTATTTTTAACCTCAATTAGTTGTCTCATTCTAAAAACTGATGCGTTTCGACACATTTCTCGAAGATCTGAACCTGAAAACCCGTTGGTGAGCTTAGACAAACGATTTAAGTCAACATCCGGACTTACTTCCTCAGACTCTAATATCAATTTTAGTATTTCTGTTCGCTGGGTTTCAGATGGAAGACCAATGTGAAATTGTGCTGGCATTCGGCGAACAATAGCCTTGTCTAAATCCTGTGGTCTGTTTGTTGCGCCCATTACAATCACGGTCGAGTTGGTATTTGTGCTTAGACCATCCCATAACATCATAAACTGAGTTTTCATCATTGCGGTGGCCTCGTGGTCATTTAAATTACGGGCCCGAAGGAACGAATCGATTTCATCAATGAATATTATACAAGGTTCGATTTTTGCAGCTAGTGAGAAAACAGCAGACGTAAGTTTTTGAGATTCCCCGTACCATTTATCAGTTAGAATGGCTACGTCCAGATTGATAAAGCGCATCCCAGCCTCTTTTGCAGTGGCTTTCGCTATTAAAGTTTTTCCGCAACCGGGTGGCCCGTGAAGAAGTACACCTTTTGGGGCCTGCCACAATTTTGAGCTTTTGAACAAATCTTTGTGTTGAACTGGCAAAACAACAGATTCACGAAGCTCCTGAACAATCAAATTCAATCCTGCAATATCGCTCCACCCGACTGTAATGTCAGCTGGAACAACAAGGTGTGACGCAATCATCAATTCGTAGTCATTAAAGTCATGGGCATTTATTTTCAATCCATCATTTTCACTTAACCTATGAAATCAAGAGAGTAATACAAAATAACATTTACTTCAAATACAAAAATATATACCTTTTTAATTGTTCTTCTGCAAGGCCTTTGGCCTTTTTTTTGTTTTTACTGGTAGGGTCCAGCTGGTTCATCATCCATTTAACAGAATAATATGTAACCATTGAAGCAACAGATAAACGTATTATGACTTGAAAAATCTGTCCCCTCGTTAAGTCTGCTCCTCCAAAACTGAAATGATCCATGTTTAGTTTTTAATTGATTTAGTTTCGTTTCTTTAGAAGTGCACGACGAAATAATAAATGTGTGACCGGATGGCACCAAAAACCATTTATTAAAAATGAACGATTCTAAAGTGTAATACAAGCATGGGTATTCCTGCAACTGAATTGGTGTTGCTGTAGTTTTGACTAATTATCTGTTGGCAACTGATCAGTCGATATTTAAGTCCATCTGAACGAATTTTTTTTAGATTACTTTTTAAACTTTCAGAATAAATGTATTCACTTAGCCTTCAATGGAAGTTACACCAACAATCTTTCGCATCGATCCCCTGGAGCCAATTTTGAACTGTTACGCATACGATATTTTCGAGCGAGATTTTTTTAAATAAAATTTTTAGGCCTGATAAGATTAAAGCAGGATATAGAAATAAAGGGAGCCCCGGGTGTCCATTACTTTTGCGTGTTCCACCAAAACGATCCGTTTTGATTTGTAGGTGCTCTCATTTTGCAAATATTTGTCATTGATGTGCTGTCAAAAAGTGACATATTTTTCAGTAAATTCTAGTGTGTATTGGTGTGCGTGCTTTACTGTTACACAGTCAGTGTGTGTTGCTTACCAGTTTGTTTAAAGCAAACTAAGTTAATGAATGGCACTCGCTTTTCTCGCTATTCGCCATATATAGGCTGGCTTGCTTGTTTTCCGCCATTTTCCTCTGTGTTCGGCCTTGAAATATACAGGCAAGCTCTGGTTTACACATACTTTTGCGGATTAGGTTTTCGGAAAGAACTCTTCGCTTTTAGATGCTCCCGTTTTCCCGTTTAAAGCTTACTGTGTTCCACTCTCTATTTATGTGTTCCCGAAAGGTTACTTGTAAAAGTTAGTCCACTATCCATCTAGGATAATCCTAGCTCGCAAGTTTCTATAAGACATTCATACAGTAGTTTATTACCCTAAAGAGCAATGATTGGCCAAACAAAAAAGTTCGCGCCTAAAAATATTTCAAAGCGTATTTTACATTTTAAATCGTACACAACCAAAATAAACAAAATGAAAACGAGAAACAGAACAAAATAGAGACAGCAAAACTGTTATAAAATTAAGTTTTTATATACATATATTTTTCTATGATAGGTGTCTTGCAACAATTAAAAGAAGCAGCACAATTACACGCATGTTGTGGGAGCTCCTCGAAATCTACAAAAATCACTTCATTCTAGAGATTGGTCGGGAAATGCTCCAGCAGCACAACGCATAGGAGGAGCACCAGAATTGTTTAAGGGATAAGGAGTGACGTAATCTTGTACACATATGTATAGTTTATTATAGTTAATAAAATCGCCAAGCTATTCACTTAAGCTTTTATAACATCTTACATCTCATTAAAAAAAACTTTGTTATTGTTATTTTCATCATCCAGGTAAATGAAGCCAGTGAAATTTGGTGCTCCACATATGTCAGAATTTCTCACCGTTCCACGTAGATGTGCATTGTGGGAAAAAGCTAAATTTACCCCACCGAGGGTTGCTATTTGAGAGATATCGATCACTATCACTATTGTGAACTGTCAACGGTAAATCGATCTTGATCAACCTTCCAAACAAATCTATGTTTTTATGCATGTGTTTGTTATAACTAGGAAGTCAGCTCACAGCTTTTATTAAATTAATTTATTTCGTATGCATTGAAATCATACAATAATAGTCTTTCGCAGGTATGTAAAGGAACTTCTTAAAATTTGAACTTAACTCGCACCTGTTACATTAAAAATCATTGTTTACTCCCAAGATATTACATACACATCGATAAATGTGTACATATGTATATACATATTACATATCAACATGTTCATCCTACATACATGTATGTATGTACATTTAGGTCCACAGTCTTTGAAGTTTGAAAATTGTACAAATACGTCTTTACTTTACGTTAACGACTTTTAAAGGTCAATCTATAGAATTGGCAGTAAAAGATCTACTTATGGTTTGCAGTAATATTGTTTCCAGATCCATTTATTCTTATTCCCAGATCCGAAAACCAATATAAAAAACGACTTAATATTTAGCCTTCTTATAAGGTGTATTCAGAAGTAAAAGATAAATGTTTAATACAGTTTGTAAACGTATGATTATATTGTTCATCATCATCATCAGTAACCGAGTCGATATGGCCTGCCGTTTCTGTCCGTCTTGATGAGCGCATAGATCTCGCAAACAAAATTAGCAACCAAATTTAGTGTTCAGACTACTGTGACATCATACTAAAACAAGTGTATTCCGCCCATAAGTAGGCAAAATCTGCGCTGTGAAGAGGTCTTAAGATACAAGATAACCAGATTTCTGAATTTGGATCACATCGTACCGAACAATATTGCTAGGGGTAAAGGCGAATTTTTACAAACGATACATTAAACAATGCCCAATTAATGTTTAGATCCGTTGTCGAGTTGGGTCGCTTTGGCGCTTCATAATTTCATTGTTTGATTCAGTGTTATTTTATAGTAGTACCACAGATAAAACCCGGTTGCTCTAGCTCTAAGATTAAGTCGGTCGGTGGTTTAGAAACCGTGTTCGGGGACTGTGCTGATATAGACCATCTATGGGGATTCTGGTGAATCTTGTGCGGTGCTGGAATACGCTCGCTAACTGTCATCGGGGCTCAGGGATATCTTGGCTAGATCTAGGTCTGGTTCGGAAACCGTACTAGGGGATAATGGGATCATTAGGTTCCTTCTTGACAGAGTACCGCGTATATCAGGAACGACGCGCGTTCGGTGATATTATTATTCTGTTTCTTTTATTTTCAATGCGTCTAATTAATCAACATTTAATTGTAGGTAAAATTTAGCTATGATTTCCGAAGAAGACCCCATAAATAAGGACAGTTCAGTGCGTGTGGCTGTAAGGTGAGTTTAAAGATGTAATAATAGCCCTAACAAAATACTCTTTAAAGCTAAAAACGGTATGTTTAGGTTAAGTTAAGGCGGTCGGTGGCGACCGCAGTGCGGTCTAGACCGTAACTGTGTACCTTTCAAAATGATCGGAAATTTTTGTGAATTTTTAGTCCATTGCGGTTAATGAACACGACATTCCAACCAACGGGGTATCTCACAAAGTACTACCACCCGAGATATCACCTCCAGAAATTAAATCTAGAATCCAGAAATTAAAGATAAACCCCTGTTTTTTTCACATAGCTTAAGTATCTTGTCCTGGTTGTATTGAACAAATGAAGCTATAAATCTGACCCGAACACTATCGTTTAGAAAATATTAAGCTTTCAAATTGAACATTTTTTGTGGTATTTGTTAACGAAACTTCGACTTTGAAAACTCGGAAGTGTCGAAATCAAATTATTTCTTGTGGTTTTGTATTTTTCTGGTAAAGTTACATGAATTTTGCGTTGTTAAAGGTATCGTTTGTCAAAATCTATGAATAAACGGCTTATGTGCAGCCGTTTGATCAAACCTTTAAATATCGCATTTTGCCTTGAAATTCCGTTACGTTCGATGTTACAAATTTCAATGGAGGATCTCCACTTAACAAACCGTGTGCGTTCGTGCTTGCGTACAAGCGCACCCTGGTGATGCAGAAATCCATATCCGTGACAATCCGCTCTGATACAGCCGTTAAGCTCTAGCTGAAAGAGCCACCTCTATCTACTTCTGGACCACACTTAGGATATTCAATGAACTTTGATAGCTTTCATCCAATCGTCTTGACCAGACAGCATTCAGTCTGGACTCTTGAACTCGATCGCGGCTGGGACTAAGCCCATCCCAACATTGATTCGTTGGGGGAGAGAAGTTCTAGTGAAGATGGCCAACTAAATCTTCTGTCGCACTATGGCCCGCTCAAGAACACTTGAATTTGACGAGCTCAGGGCAGTATAATGAAACAAACAAAGTATAATAACTAGCGACTATAAAGACTATAATGTGCCAATCACAAAAAAAAACTTGTTACCAATCTATGCGCGATCTCTTATCGCCAGTGCTGTTAGACGCAACGATATTTTGCGTTGCCATTTATTTGCATGTTACGACGTGACTGTATAAATAATATTATTTTTGATATAAAAACAATGTTTTTTCTTTTTGTATTTCAGAATTCGACCTCAAAACTCGAGAGAGCTCATCGATATGTGCCGTATTTGTACAACAGTAGCTATTGGAGAGCCTCAAATTCTTCTTGGATCGGACAAAGCCTTCACTTTTGACTATGTCTATGATACTTGTTCAAATCAGGTAGTTTGGTTTTAGTTAATTCGTTATGCTTTCAATACAAATTCAAACCTCTTCCTCAGGGTCAAATATACAAAGAAAGCGTGGAGCCATTGGTTGAGAGTACCTTGCAAGGCTATAATGCTACAGTACTAGCATACGGACAAACGGGGTCGGGAAAAACATATACAATGGGGACTGGGTTTGACCGTGAATACGATGACATTCAACTTGGGATTATACCTAGAGCAGTGCAACACATATTTTCTGGTATCGAAGATTTCGAAACTACTGCAAATAATGAGACGTCTGCCATTGGAAGTCCACAGTTCAGCCTTGCGGTCCAATACATAGAGTTGTATAATGAGGACATTTTCGATCTCTTAGACCCATTTAATAAGAACACAACCTTTAAAATTCATGAAGCTGCCAATGGACAAATCGAAATAACAGGCGCATCTATAAAGCCAATTAACCATCCCCAAGATGCATTAAAGTGAGTACCCTCTCAACTTATTTATCTGGCAGTCTCGGCTCTTTTAGATTCTTCTGTCCTTTCGACACTAAAGTTCGTAGCACTATGATTTTGGCTTGTACCCTATTAATATACGTATATTACAGGTTCCTTCAGCAAGGTGCTTTAGCACGCACTACTGCATCAACGAAAATGAATGATCAGTCATCACGATCACATGCATTGTTTACAATATTTGTCCGCAGGCAGCGTTTACTTACGCCTACAAACAATGTTTTAGATAACGATCTTGAAACTTTGACTTCGAAATTTCATTTTGTCGATTTGGCGGGTTCTGAACGTCTTAAACGGACTTTGGCTACGGGAGAACGTGCACGTGAAGGCATCTCTATTAATTGTGGACTTTTATCCCTAGGAAATTGTATATCAGCGCTTGGTGATAAGTCCAAGAGAGCTTTACATGTACCTTATCGGGACTCCAAGTTAACACGGCTCCTTCAAGACTCCTTAGGTGGAAACAGTCGGACTTTAATGATTGCATGCATATCGCCAAGCGATCGGGACTTTATGGAAACATTAAATACATTAAAGTATGCAAACCGAGCGAGGAATATTAAGAACAAAGTTCAAATAAATAAAGATCAAAGCTCACGAACCATTTCACAACTGAGAAGAGATGTCTCAGCTTTACAAATGGAATTACTAGAATATAAACAGGTAATTTAAAAAAATTCTCATAGACAAATATTCGCATGCTCCACCAGACTTCAAGACAATTCCAGACTGCAAAAGAAAGATAGCATGCGAGATAAATAAGTGTTTCGAAAATAGGGAATTGTGTTGATCACTAGTGATCAGTCTGCTTTGGATCATCGTTCTTGTTTGTGTAGTGCTCTCACGCATCATAGATTGCATCGCCTACACGCGCTTTGGAAGGTATACCTTTCCAATAAAGGTGAACACTTATTTGGTATTGTGTTCTAAAATTAGACATAATACATTCTAAAGGACCAAATTAATTTAAGAACCTCATATTTGAAAATCGGGTGATTTCTTTTAATGTTATTCGATGTTTACATAGCGTCCGTACAAACATGTTTTAATTAAAAACAACGAAATTTTTTATTATTTTTAGGGTAAACTGGTAGTGGATTGCGACGGAAATGCAACACGCTCGGACACATTTAATGAAAATATCCTGCTTTTATCAGAAAATAAACGGTTGAAGCAACGTCTCAAATCAATGCAAGAGACAATTAACACGCTAACTGAACGAAATGCACATCTACAACTAGAAAAGGATTTAAATAAATGGTCAAATGACACAAATTTAGATTTAGATAAAAATAATATTGTTGAACATTATATAAAAGAAATCGAAAAACTAAAAGCTAAATTAATAGAATCTAAAGAAATGCAAAACCAACTGAAAGCTTATATTGGAAAATGGCAACAACCTCATAAGAATGTCTATAATGGTAAGCTTAAGTGTGTATGAGCGAGATCGAAGAGTCAGCCTAGGGAAATAGTTCCAATAGTTCTTCCAACTCAAAAGTTTCGGCGTCCGAATATCGCCCTCCTTTTTGTTTTTATTCAACTCATAAAATTTATAACTCTTTTCACATTTTGTATCTTAGAAGAGCAAGGAAATATTATAGACTTGGCAAAAAAAGGCTTGGAAAGGGACAAGGAGTTATTAATGTCACAATCCTTACCAGGAATACAAAACCAGAATCTCAGATTGGATGAATCTGAAAATTCCAGTAGCGATTCGGAAGGTAATGTCGCATATCAAATATTTTTGACATTTTTCCAATTTATATTTTTATCGTAGAAGAAGGAGTGGTAGCAGACTTGCATGACATTAACTCGGACATTGAAATTAAAAGTAAATTAATTGAGCAGCTTGAGTTGTCACAGGAAAGAATAGAACTCATGCGTCGCCACTATGAAGAAAAACTTACTGTGCTAAATTGTAAAATTTTGAACACTCAAAACGAACGAGATGAGTTCTTGACAAATATGGGTATGTGTAAATAAGTTCAAAGATATAAAATGCAAAATTAATAAAACTGTCTATGTTTTAGTTTCATCTACATCAGTACAATCAAAAGAATCTATAAGGAAAATGAAAACAGAATATGAACGTAAGATAACAAATATGCAAGGTGAGCTCAAAAGATTACAGCACGCACAGACGGAACATATTCGACAACACAGAGAACTTAAATCCCAAAGCGTTAGAATAAATACCTTGCGAGTCGAACTTGAAAAGTTGAAGTTCACAAAAGTAAGAGAATTGTATACGTCTGATTAAAACAATTTTTATTGAAAATACGATATTTCTTTATATTTCCAGGTTAAATTGATGAAATCAATTTCAGAACAATCTAGTCGACACAAAGAAGAGGACACTAAAAAATCGAAAAAAATTTCGAAATTACAAGAGGATCAACGTCGCCAAAAAAATGCATTATTATCTTTAAAAGAACAAATGAATGCCAAGGATCAAATGATAAAGCGAAAAACTGAAGAGGTAATTGCCCTCCGTAAAAGTCAAAGAGGCCGGCTAAGCCAAAAAGGGGCTTCCAATTTAATATCAAAAGTCGGGAAGTTTGAGAGCTCAAAGTCTCGATCCACCCAGCAGCAATGGGAAAAGTTGTATCGCTTTATATTACACGCAGCCAGAACAAGGCAACTAATCACACAATTAGAAAACGAATTGCAACGTTTAATATTGGAACGAGAAGATCGTTGTCGTGAGCTAAATATAATGCAAAATTGCCAAAATGCGGATAAGAAATCTGAAGACTTCAATGAACAAGACAGTTTAAAGACCAACATTAGGTATTTACAAGAAACTATAGAACATGTACAGCAAGCCATTATGGAATTTGAAGACAGCAAAGAATCTGCACAGAGTGGCATATATAAGATCCAGAATTTTTTGGATAATATAAAAACAGTTGAAGAAGCAAAATATGTTCTTCAAAAGCTTTCCGACAGTGCTATTATACTTACATGTAATTTGGCCATAACGGAGACCCATTTACAGGAAAATGAATCCCTACTACAAGAAGCTCAACAAGAAAATAACATTCAACAGCAGATATTACAACATTTTCTGTCGCAAAACAGTAATGTGCATATGTCTGATATGTTTCTTTCTTTAAATCTTAAAAGTAATACAAATACATTATGGCACAGTTCGCAAAAGTCATTATTAAGTACTGGAACATATGATATACCAAAAGAGGATATATTTGAAGATTCTGCACATAAAGATAACCCAGAAACAAGTAGTAGAACCCCATCACCTGGAATCGACACGTAAGAGTATAAACTTAAATACTATTTATTTTACCATGGTAACTGAATTATTGTATATGAGTTCCACCAAATCTATGAGTGAGATCATATTGTAACAAATACGAGTCTAGTAGCTTAGAGCGCGATTCATTATGACTAAATAATTTGAACTAATCTAACTTCAAAATTGTGGCAGTCGCAAAGTTGTGCGATTCGGGGATGCGTAAGAGGGTGTGGTAAGCATTAAAAACAAACCTAATTAAGTGAGACTCCACACTATGCAGTTGGAGATGCTTCCTTCTGGGTGTTACATCCGAGGGTGAGTTTATGAGAACGAGAGAGCTCGCAGCATGAGACAGTATGTGAGTGTGTTTATGTTCGTTTGTATTCAATGGGATGGTACTGAGCTTATATAATTACTTTACTTTTGCGACTAATATAAACTCTCGCTATACCACACACTTTTCTTGAAAATACGCATGCAAAGTGATATTAAAAATAAAACATATTTTTGTATTATTTTACTGGTAGCTTGCCGGATAAGACTTCCAAAATACGCAGCCGAACCGCTAAGAGACAAGATCTCCTGTTTGGGGACGTTCAAATTCCTACTCAGGTAAAACATTTCTTTACTATACTACATCTTATGTACTCAAACTATACACTTTTTTATCGTCCAGCCTAATAGAATGTCTCGATCCTACACAAAAAATGATGTTATCTGTGGTAATCCGCTTATGCGAGTTTCAAGTACTCCAGGATATTTAAAGCTCTAGCACGTACATTCATCACATAAACCGTTTTTGGAGCAGATCGCGTATTATGCAACTAAATCTAGCTTTTGTTCAACATATGTGAACTAAATTCTTAAATTCCGATTACCTTGAATTTTTCATTTTTGAAAGCGCTAGAAAATTCTTTAAATACTGCACGGAAGCAAAGGTATTACCAAAGACTATACAATACCAAGATGTTGCATGAGGAACGAATTCTTTTTCAATTTTCGTTTGACGCTTCATGGTACGGGCGCGCGGGGCTATTACTTCAATTCTCTTTTACGCTACCTTCGCCTCCGAAATGCTACTCGGCTTCGTCAATGACTCGGTCAGCGTCGAGTCGGTGTGTCTCGAGAGAAAGAATACAAAAACAAAATATGAATCGTCTGCGTGCCGAGACCGTAGGGCAGCGTGGTCGCTGATGTCTTTGGCGCGGCACAGTGGGGACTCAGCCGAAATAGTAAAAAAATTGTATGAGTGCTTTAGATAAATTTAATGTACGCATCTAATAGAGAATTTTCCAATCGAATTTTCCCACTGTGCCGCTCCAAAGCATCGGCGATCCGCGACCACCGCTTCGACGGTGCTGAGGCTCGAGAGTCCAGAATTGCCGAACAGACGAAACCGATGGGCAGCGGGGTCGCGGTAGAGACAAAGTACAGGCGAAAAGGGAATTGAAACCCCGCGCGCTCCCTCGTGCCCTTTGGGTTCTAGTGTTAGGACCCGCCATAGAACAGCTTTTTGGTCGCTCATGCAACATCTTGGTATTGTATAGTCTTTGGTATTACGCACCCTAGGACCTCATCCAAAATCATGTAGCAAAATTAAACATTTTACAAATTTGATGTCAGCTTTTTATAGAGAATTTTTCATGGCTTTCAAAAATTAAAACTTCGAGGAAATCGAAGAGGAGATATGAATTCAGAGTTGACAATTTTTCGGCGAGAAGCAATTTACTCCATTTTCATTCACATACTGCATCTTTCAGGTTAAATAAAAACTAAACTATTTAACATATGATTCCAACATAAGGGATGTATTCATTGTTAACACTGTTCAATAAAAAAATTTAAAGAAAATTTGATTTTTCAATTATTTATTATTTGGTCGTCAATATTGTATTTTGTAAAATAAAGGACTTTTAATTGATATTTTTTTTAATGAAAAGGAAAACATTGAACAGGAAAACATTTCATGCCATAATAAGATGTATGGACTGAGGACCGAGAGCACTAAATATGGATATAGGAACCCAAACGATGCAACTCATCCCGGACATTCCTTAAAAACGAAAATGGTGCAAAAATAGCTGTAGTGGATAATTATATTATCAAAGAACTGAATGTCATGTTTAATATTTTTAATCAAAGACTACAGAGCTGTTACGGAAAAAGTATTTTGGAAATAAGCTTTTCAGTTCAAACGCTTGTCAATTGTGATTTATTTTTTCATATATTCTTTCATAAAATGAAAATTATACAAAACAATAAATAAAATTAAAAGAGATCGGTTTTAAGAGTTGTTAGTATTTTCAAAATAGGTAAAAAACCCTTGGAATTAATTTTTAATTAATAATTTATTCTTTAATATTTTGTCCTTTGTCCTTATCACACTCTGAATATGTTTGGGCATAGTGACAAGTAAATTTTAGCATGTGCTCGCGATGTGTTATGCGCCACTAATTCTATCCCACCGTTCCCCATAGATGTGCTGTATGGGAAAAGTCTTTTAGAAGTGGCTCAAGGTATCTTTGGAATGGCTGGAGGAAAAATTCCAGCAAGACGATTAGTACCATTATTTGCTTTGAAATCTCATCCAATGCCATTTAAAGGTAGAAATCGTTGAAGCCTATTTCTCGCCCTATTGACTAATGGCATGAAAAATGGCTCGTTTTGTTGGGGATGGTTATTGCTTTATACCCATTTATGCATTGACTGGTTAGCATTCCACCGACAAAGTAAGCGGAAGCGAATCCATTCACACTATATCACAACTTCCACCACATTTATGTACACATTGAGTTATATTAGAACACAAATCCCACAATGGCTCGATCTTCATTCTTCTTAAGCATCGTTGGAATCTATTCGCCCTTCCACAATCAAATGTCAAGAAAAAATGGTGACATATCACATGGCAGGAGAAGTATTGGAACTACATAAACAGAAAGTAGATTATATTAGTACAAGTTGTGCATATTGCAGCTTTAAAAAAATAACTAAATGCAGGTTGAATTGGAGTACGAAGAAAGAAAATGTTGTTGTAACAGTTTGACAGGATTAGTATTGGAACTACATAGTCTGCAGGCGGCAGAATGGACTATTAAACGGTTGTACTGCTCAGCCGGGTGCACTTAAGCTCTTATTCGCGAATGTGGAGCCATGTATTTTAATGTCCGCACATACCACTTTGTTTCATTAAATTATTATGATGCATTTTCATTATTCCAAATTGAACCATACTTGGGGTAGTTATCTTGACTGTGACATTAGTGAATCGATAGCTTGTAAACTCTATCAGAAATATGATGCAGTAGAAAAGACCAAATCCTACATTGTTGTGTTAGTAAATAATCTAAATGGAATCCCAAAATAATAAAATGGCGGTCACGGAGGAAGCTTTTCCATCAGTAAGATATGTTCTTATGCTTTCGACGTTTTGTTTAACAATGTTTTTATGTCCCCGATTATGCACTATGAGATTTTTGCTGCTGCTACATTTACCCCAAGCTTATTGTAAACAATACAGCGCATGTGCATATGTATGTGTAAAGCATACAATCTTATTTCATTGTCATTCTGCGCAATATCAAATCCATTTAGATATTTTCCCTGAGTCATAGCTTGGCAGATGGAACAATAAACAATTGAATGGAACTTGAAGAGTGCTACAGCGCGCAGAAAACGCGTGCACCCTTACAGACACAAATGCTGCACTCAAGGCAAGCAGCAAGCAAGAAAACGTATATACATATGTACATATGTACGTACGACTTCATGCTTGTTGTCTATGCAGAAAACTTCTCTTTTGTGAGGTGGAATCAACTTCCCTCATCAGTCTTATTAGTGTTTCTGTCCCGTCCCGCCCGACTATGAACCACTTTCCTCTGTATCTTCCATAGCCTGCTTGTAGAGTCATATGTATATGTTGTACGTATTTTTCCTATACAACTGACCATTGTTGAACCCTAAACAATAAACAACAACACAATTGTGCTACAAAAGTTGTGAATGAGAGTGTGCCGACCACAAGCAAAAATGCTTTGATAGTTCGACATTTGGTGATCAAGTTTCTTGCATTTCTACTGTAAAAAGAAGCTATAACGAATACAATAATGGGCGTCCTTCCCTGCTTTCAATTGGGTGTATACCGATTTTTTATTTTTTTGATCTAAACAAGTTCCATTCTGGAATTATTCGGCCCAAAATTGGTATTTGTCAGAGAATATTCATAACTTTGGGTAGAGGAATAGAGAAAAATGAGTGTGTATAATTATAGACAGGTTTTTTTAAGAATCGTATGGGATATATAATACAATTTTCTAAAACGATTTACAGGTCCGCAAAGAATGTGGAAAGAGAGGACGGAAGCCCGGAAGAAAAACATCGACCGAAAAAATAGATATAAAGGCCAAACTTGGTAAGATAATTGTAAATTAATTCGAACCATAGGGGTATACTTTAATGATATTTTTCTTATAGAACGTAGCAGGCAAAGTGCTAGGGAATGCCGGGCCCGTAAAAAACTACGCTATCAGTACCTTGAGGAGCTAGTTGCAGATCGTGAAAAGGCCGTCGTTGCATTGCGGGCTGAACTGGAACGTGTTGGTATATAAGCTACAATGTCATGTTAAACTTATTTATTTGGCTCTTTTTACTTACAGTACATACTCTGGAGTAGACAATTAAATGAACATGTCTCAATACCCAACACTGACCAGTTCCTGAAAGAAATCGGAATTATTAAAGAAGAATAAGTCATGTTAATCTATAATTAGAACTATAAGCACATAAATATTTTTCTGTCTTAATTTAATTAAACGCCCTTGCAGGGTATTATCAATTTGGTTATATTTTTGTATCGAATAGAGTAAAGCGGTTCTATACTAATGAACTTCGGTAAATACATATATTATAGCACTGGAAATACAAATATACTAGAGCCCTGCATGACGCTGATTCTAACAGACCGAACGAAGCGAATACTGAATCCATTCGGTTGCCTGTTCATACTAGGCTCTAATACATATGTACCTCAGGCAAGATTACTAAAAAAAAAAAGTAGAATGTATTTAACTATATGGAATAAGTATGTACATGTGCATCATGAAATAAATTTAAAAAAAAATTTGTTTTTTTACACTTTAATAGTTTATGATTTTATTGTGCAATTATTGCAACATTGCCGTAAGAAAGCCATTAAACGGTGGTAGGTCTTCCCCTATTAAGAGGACTACGCTTCCATCCTCTTTGCCGTTTGCAGCAATATAGATTTCTGTTGGGAGCAGCAGCCGTCAATAGCTCGTAAGACAATTCAATAATCTCTTGTTATGTCTTGTATCCGAATTCTCTTTAATTCTCTAATTCCGCTATCAGCGCATACACGCACACACATGAAACTTTCTTACTGCTTATATTGTCTGTCGCAATTTGCATGGTCGTCGAACGCGCAGCATAGCATGCCTGTTAGTATTTCCGTCACAATACGAGGAGTTCACGACCATCAGAGTTGCCGCAAAAGCGGCGGCTTCCAAAAGTTGCTTTGCATCGTAATCTGGGCTCAAATATTGAATATTGAAATATCGCGCCTACGCGAGCTAGTCCATCACCACCGACTAGCGAGTGCGCGTACACCAGGACAATTTGCTCAGTGCACGGTGATGAATTTTGAATTTTTGAAAACTGAATTCAAATTCGTAATAAACGCACCTTAAAAATCTCGCAAAAAAAGGTACAAGCGAAAGTTTAAAAAGCACAATCACGGTATTGTTGGACGGAAATATTGGTTTCTACTGGAAAGAGAATTACCATTAGAACACTTCTTTTGAGGACAACGCGGGCAGTAAGGATATCCACCACACGGACCCTATCAACCTATCCCTATTTCTTTTGGGAAATTGCCGAATTTTGTCCAGCAGGAAATCTGGTTAATAAATGTTAGCCGAGAGTCCTCTCAAGTGATGCGAATATATAAACCTGTTTTGCTGAACACACTTATGGGAAATTTACCTGGTGATAGACTTGAAGCCGTGAGGCCATTTCATATTTGTGGCGTACATTTAATTGATCCTATCGGTGTCTCGTGGCGTATTCCTGTACGGCTACCGTTAAAGGTTTATATTATTGTTATTGTCTATTGTCCGATTGCCTTCTTCTGGCCTTGGTAAGATGGAGTTAATGAGTCTCCAGAGGGCCTTCGATGATCAGCACTGCCGTCTGCCGTAGGAGAAGTGAAGGAGGGCGTCCGTGAAGTCAGCGGAGGACATCCTGGGGCGTCAAATAGCCGACGGTTCAGTCACCGAAGGTCGCAAATACGCGGACGACAAAATGACGTACGTCCGAAATTGTGGCTTTGTCTATTCGAAGGCAGTAATATGGTCGTGTTGGCGCAGCGAAGCGGGGCGGGTTCTGGCATTATTCAATCAATTCAAAAACTTTAAAAGTATTTGTTTTTGATGCCATACATATTTACATGACGTTGATTTGTTTACCATTTGGGTGAATTACACAAAAATTCATTTGTCCTCTAAATTTGTATTAGAATACTTATAGGTAAATATATTGAATAAATATCTCGACAGATTATATGTTGGTACATATAATATATTCATAATTTACAAATATAATTCAAAGTCTATTCTATTGCTGGAATAAAAGTTTGATTTTTCGCCACATTTCCGAGCATAGACCCCATTTTTGAAATATTTTTCTTTAGACCATTTTAACATCTTATCAGTGGTAAAAGGGCCATGGATTTCATCGTTATTTTGTGTCCACTTAAACTCCCACATGACTTCAGACGAATCGGTCATAGTTTGACTTGATGTAGGACGCGCTTTAAAACGTTGAGACTCTTTCAAATCGAAATCATCAGCATACATGTCAACCTCGTCATCAATTGTAGATTTGCTTGTGCTAGGCAAATCAGTAAGCTTGGATTTAATGCTTTCCGTAGTTTCGTCATATATATTCATGTTGCCCGTCCTTAAAAGTATTTCATTAGCAAGCTCAGTTAGTTTCAAAATATCTTGAGTTTTTGTATCAACAAAGCCAGCTTTCTTTTGTTTTATTCTTTCCAGAGTTGATACCGCTGGACGCTGATTTCCCAATCTTTTCAAGGCTTGTTGAACGCTTTCCCCCTCTTTTAAATATTCCAATATTTTTCTTAGTGTCATAGACAAATTGAAGGGATTCGCTGGGGGTTCTATAGAACTATCCGACGAATTTAAGCTTTGATCGCCATTTTTGGAGTCACCTTTCTCGATCTAAGGGATACAGATTTATATATGATAAGAGATACTGAATCAATCATCCTTACCTTAACCCAATCGATGTTATCCAACCAATTATCTTTTATTTCCGTGTCAACATTCCAATGGTAATGACCATCTTTATCAAAATGACCTTCTTCCAACTCCTCTCGCATATTAAAAGGTGTTACCTTTACATTGTCTTCTACTTTTGGAATGCCCTCCTCGCCGCCTTCAATGTCGCTATCATTCATATATTCACTGTAAGATAATAGGTTGTAAAAGAAAATAAACCACAATCTTAAAATTTTATTCACACCGTTCGTAGTGGTCAGAATCTTCTTCATCCGAATCAAGAGTATGTTTTTTACTCTTTCTTTCGTTTATGTTATCGCTTGGTGCACGTTTTCGTCGTTTGGTTGCCATTGTTTGTATCAATTTTTGTTAATATTCTTTTTAAGCAAATTGAGTGCTCGCAAGACAATGAATCTCCAATGACCGAAATTGTTTAATAAATAGTTATTTTCATACAGAATAATATGACCGCATACAGAAAGCGAAAAATGTTCACATTATTCTCATCGTTGAATTGGAATAGAGAGAATGAATGGATTCCATGGGGGCGTGATAGAATTAACCGGAATATATAAAAATAATGCAAAGACAAAGCATAGGCTTTGGTTTTACATCTGTCTCTTTTTCCAACACCAAACGTTTTATCTCGCTCTCCCCCTTTCACCGAGATGTCTTATGTTTGGAAATGCTAATATTGTTGTTCTGTGTTTTATGTTCCAGAATAATGCTAACTCAGCGACGTTATATGAATTGTGTATATCAATTAAATACCGTATCTAACGATATTGTTATCGGTATCGTAACAAAAAGGCGCGTATAGGAATAAGTTTATTTTGATTGAATTTGTGCCAAGCAATGTGTGATAATAACGAAACTGCTTTGCGCAAGCCATGGTATGTAATATGGTAAATTGATTCAAACATATTATACAAAATAAAATATTATATTTTCAGGGTTGAGAAATATCGCCCATATTCATTAGATGACCTTATATCTCATGACGAAATAATTTTAACAAGTAAGTTTATCAATAATAGATGAGATCAATCAAATAAGTACTCAATTCAATTTCAGTCAATCGCTTCATTAGTCAGAAGCAGCTTCCCCATTTACTTTATTATGGACCACCGGGGACTGGTAAAACAAGCACCATATTGGCGTGTGCCCGACAACTTTACCCGCCGGCGCTCTTTAAGTCCATGGTACTAGAGCTTAATGCTTCCGATGATAGGGGTATTGGAATTGTACGTGGCCAAATCCTTAACTTTGCATCTACGCGAACAATTTTCTGCGATACTTTTAAACTTATTATATTAGATGAGGCAGACGCCATGACTAACGACGCTCAAAACGCTTTACGACGCATCATTGAAAAGTATACGGACAACGTCCGTTTTTGTATAATTTGCAATTATCTAAGCAAAATAATCCCGGCGCTACAATCGCGATGCACCCGTTTTCGTTTTGCGCCGTTGTCTCCTGATAAAATGATACCTAGGTTGGAACAAATTGTTCAGTCGGAAGAGTAAGTTTTTTGATTCATTGTACCGTTTTAGTTTTTTAATGCATTGTACCGTTCTAGTATAAAGATTACAGAAAATGGAAAGAAGGCACTGCTTACTCTTTCAAAAGGCGATATGCGAAAGGTACTGAACGTTTTACAAAGCACTGCTATGGCATTTGATGTGGTCAACGAAGATAATGTGTACATGTGTGCTGGCTATCCTTTACGGCAAGATATTGAAAACATATTGAAGGCGTTGCTTTCGGGGCACAACTTTGAGGTGTCATTTCAAAGTATGAAAAAATGTTTAAATTTAGGTTCAACATTCATAAAGCATATTTTTATTCACGCAGATGTTGACGTTGCCAAGAGCGCTAGAGGTCTAGCGCTCGAAGACATAATCACGGAGTTGCATTTAATTGTAATGAGACGTAAGTGTTAATAAGATATGGTTTTTGCTTTGATTTTTTTATATTCTTTACAAAAACAGTTGAATTTCCGATTTCGGTAATGAATGAATTGGTGGTGAAGCTTGCACACATCGAAGAACGTTTAACAAAAGGTTGCACTGATATTGCAAATACGGCAGCGTTGGTTTCTGCTTTTTTTATATGCCGGGACATGGTTTCATTGCATAAGGAATAAATTAAAAAAGGTTAAATCATATATTCATCTGTTCATGTCATCTGTTTTAAAATAAATACATAAGTAACTTTTTCATTCAATCATAAAACTTCATCCAATTTTACTTTATCGAGCAGTTTTAAAAAATGATTTTCCTGCAAGGAGCTAACTGTTTTCTATGTTTACACTGAGTTAACTACCCACCAAAGTAAGTTCACTTATTGGGCCATCGCATGTCTAATCATCAGTTATAGGCGATCGACAATCGGCAACGATGCAAATGCTACATTGCAATATTTGTCGGAAAAAGTCGAAATAGATTTATTCCTGGGGTCTTATATTTTTCTGGTACAGGTACATTTATTAGCCGTCGTTTAAGGCATCGTTTGTAAAAATCTATGGTAAACGGCTAAGGTGCAGCCATTTGACCAAACCTCTGAATGCCGCATCTTAACGTTCGAAATAGGCAACGATGTAAATGCTATATTGCAATATTTGTTTGTTTTTCAACAAAGGCCACACATTCATTGTTTTTCAAGGATCGTTAAAGCAAGTTGCGACTGAACACTCGGGGAAAAGTCGAAATAGATTTATTCCTAGGGGTTTCACATTTTGCTGGTACAGGTACATTAATTAGCCGTCGTTTAAGACATCGTTTGTAAATATCTATGGATAAACGCCTAAGGTTCAGCCATTTGACCAAACCTCTGAATGCCGCATCTTAACGTTCGAAATAGGCAACGATGTAAATGCTATATTGCAACTTTTCTATTTTTTTTAACAAAGCCAACGCATTTACAGCTTTTCAGGGATCTAAAGCAGCCTAATTCATTGCAGCGTTAAGTATTCAGATTGCCACGGCCCTATGGAATGAAGTGTTGGAGCTTAAAGAGCTGCTCAACAGTGTATCAACGGTTTTTGTCATCACTTCACCTTGCCGCAGCTATAGAATCGCCTGGAAATGTATCCTCCTCGTTCTCATAATTTTGGCTGGTTATGAAAAGCTTCTGTCAAGTCGAAAAAATACCAATTTTATCGAGTCGTCAGAGCAACAGTTCTAACTCTAGAAAAGCTTCGCATATGAGATTTTTTCTCGAATATGAGATTCTGGCAATTCTTAACTCTGATCTGCTTGCCGGTTCTTCCCGCAATTATATAGAAATAAAGATTCATTATTAAAACCGTATCTGCATTAAGCTGACGCTTCCGACTGATGTGGCTTTCAGCGAGGGAGGGCTCAAGCACCCTGGTTGTCCGGGACCATGTCACCGCGTGGCTTGCAGACTTGGGTAACTGCAATTTGGATACTAAAACGGAAGAAAAATGGGAGGTCCATATGAATTTTTGGAGAAACGCTGCCAGAAGACGGAGAGCTTTAAGTACGCTATAGTGCTAGTAGTGCTCATGTGCGGAAAAATCATTAAAACCATTTTTGTTGCTTACAACTTCCGACGAGCCGGCTTAATGAGCTGTTTGCCATTCAGCTTGCCACGAAAGATACTCTTGCAAGCTATTCGGAAATTTGTCACCGTTGCTGCATCACAAAGCAGTGAATAAGCTTTCCTTCTTTTTCTCTTTTCTAAAAAAGGGGCACTTGGACTCATGCCGACCCGGCCGGACTCGGCTTGGGTGGATCGGTTTTGCCGGTGGACAGCAAGCTCGGCGCTCTTGGCAATGCACAAATCTGTATATCCGGAAGTTAGGATGGATGCAAGGTTCGATGAATGCATTCATAAGTTTAGGCAAGTAGAGAAATGTGTGACGGCTGCAAGAGTTTTACGTGGATGATCACATTTCGGGCGGTAACTTTAGCTAACTGTGCTCTAATCAGCAGGAAGTACTGAGGGAACCCGTGAAAATGGCATAGAAAAATTCCTAAGGAAGCGACACAACTAAAACTCTTGGCTTTGCGTGGGACTCTGCTGGACACCGACTCAAAGCCTTCCAAGCGGTCGGTTTTATCTACGATTGCGCGTTTCTACGCGCTTCCATATATGTCGTGTCCAGGGAAGGGCAGTCGTCTAGCCATATTCTGATATTCATTCGAAATGCACGCTTGTCAGACACCTTATCCAGTCAGAGCTGTGGTACATCGTCTTAGGCATTCACCAGGGCTCACCGATTCTGATATTTCACTCGAGTGAGGTCAAATTTGGTCGGACAAATTTCGTTGGCGCCAAGAACGAACTTCTAGAGCTAAAGAAGCTTTATCTGCGCGACTCAATTATGAAGTAGGTCCATGAATTATATTTGGCTGACCCGATCGACAGGCATTTCATCCCTCCGCACTTTCAGCACTTTGGCGTTTTGCAGAAAGTGGCCGTAAAAGAAAGAAAGAAGAAAGTGGCAAAAAAAGAAAGTGGCTCGAACTCTGAACTGCCAGATCACTGTAATTGACCGACGTTGCCTAAACTCTTTCCACATTGGTTTAAGACCGATGTTATTTATAAGAAAAATTTACAAGTCTATCTTCATACAGCTATTAGAAAAGTCTTATGTCATAGCACCGTATCAGTCGAACACCATTTATGACTAATTAGTCTAAAAACTATTTTCATCAACAGTCTAGACAAATCATACTTTTCAACACACAATTCTCCGGTGCAGCGTACATTTTTCTCACTCATACTACCTGCTTATGCCATAATGTTTTTTTACTTGTTCTCGCCAACCTTCCAGTAAGTCGAAGTCAAGCACTCCCCATACAGTAATTGTATATATATGATATATAAAATAATAATGAATTAAATAAAAATAATATGTATATATGTATTTAAGTCCATTCTCCAAAGAGTTGACCAGTCTAATAAACTTCACTTCAAGACTATATGCAAAATTTCTAGAAGTTTTTTGTCTCTTTTTCTTCTTGCTCTTGCTATGTAAAAAAGGTTGGTAAAATTTCTCCGTTCTTAACGCTCAATGCTAAAGCTATTCACCCTATTTATTGAATCTGGATGATTCCCCCCATCAGGAAGGAATAGTTTACAATTTCTATTCTTAAGAAAGTTAGAAAGTCAACTAACACAAATTTATTAGATTTCACCTCCTTTATGAAATGTTTTTCCGGAATCAGACTTTCAGTGCTATTTACACCGTCAAGTAAAGAATTCGGGTCTGTAATCCACTCCCTTCTAGTGCAAAAACTTGACCTTTTATAATCTAAGACATACAAAAATGAAAACGGCAAGAAATTCAGACTTTACGAAATGTAAAATACAACTTTTATTTTATTCTTATCTAATTGTACTAATCACTTTCTAGAGTACCCATATTAAAGCGCTTTGACATCTCTAACAAAAACTTGGATTTTAACATCTCAATTACTTCATACGGTCAATAAAAACATATGTTCAATAATATGTTGAATAATCCAGTTTTAACAGCATCCACCACTAACTAAATGTTGTGTGAAACTAAATGGACAGTTTGCGTTGGCCTGCGATAAATATAAATTCAGCATTATAATATATTTCATTTGGAAACTTGATTAAATTGAAAAACCAGTAACCCAGCATAATTTGCCAGCATGACGACCAAACATATGTATTCTACAACAAATTTATCTGATCTTCAATTGAAAGAGCAAGGAAACTGTTTATTTGCAGCTCGCAAATACGACGACGCAATAAATTGTTATTCGAAAGCCATTGTAAGTATACTTACATATGTATGTACGTATGTATGAATGTACTACATACATACATACAATTCGGCTTAAAATTTGTTTGGACCTTCCCAGCGCGAATAAAAACAAAACAAAATAAATATTTTACGTCTATTTAAGATGTACAAATGACTAGAATTTTGCATAAATTACATATTATTAAATGTTTACGATTCGGAAGGTAAAAGTACCCATATAGTCGTCATTGTATGCACACATTTGTATATGGGGCAATAAATTATGTGTTGGTAACCTTCGGACTTTTTTCTTCGCATCTTCTTGCATAGGGTACTCCGATTTTCAAAGTTAACTAACTAGAATGCATAGATATAAATATTTACATATATTCTTGATCACATTGACCAGCTGAATTGATGTCTTTTTGAGAAAAATATTTGAATGGAAAATTGTTTTTAATCAAAAAATTAAAAGGATTCAAGTCCAATTTAATTTGGCTATTTAATATTGGCTTATTAGTGATTAAATAATCTTGTAAAAGAATTTTGTGTTGCCAATCACGAGCCAATCAACATGACTCAATATAGCCATGTCTGCATGTCCGTCTGCCTTTCCCCACAAAGGACGAAAATCTGTGAAATCCACTATTTTGAAGATACGTGTAAACCGAAAACGCAGATCGTAGAGAATGCCCATCAGAGTTCCTTAATTTAAACTAAACTAAGTCCTTGGCTTTGCAAGAGTATGTGGGTTGTGAAATTAGTGCGGCATATTAACAAGTGGTTTTCATTTTATTCAAAGATAAAAAACCCAACAAATGCTACCTTTTTCACAAATCGTGCGCTTTGCAATCTGAAGCTAAAGCGATGGGAGCTGTGCTGTCAAGATTGTCGGCGAGCTTTGGATATCGACGCTAACTTGCTAAAAGGACACTTTTTCTTGGGGCAAGGCCTTATTGAGATAGACAGCTATGACGAAGCAATAAAGCATCTCCAACGCGGTTAGTAGTAAATAATTAATCAACAGTTCTTCTTCTAAGAATATTTTTTTCCAGCTTACGATTTGTCAAAGGAACAAAGGCAAAACTTTGGTGATGATATTACATTACAATTACGACTTGCTCGCAAAAAACGCTGGAATGTCTTGGAAGAAAAACGAATGCAAGAAGAGATTGAACTTCAAAGTTATTTGAATCGGTAAGAATTTTAACTGAATACCGGGTATAGGGTAGAACCGCGGCCCCTGCCGTCATCACAACGTTCACCTTTAATTTAACTCAAATTAATGACATGCATAAGCCTTTTTAAGACATAGTACATAAAAAAGAACCTGGATTATTCGTTAAAACATGAATTATATATATTTTTTCAGATTAATTAAAGATGACATGGAAAGTCGTTTATCCAATTTAAAACTAAATGAAAACTTACATGAAGATCAGCTAAAAGAAAAGCAACAAGAAATTGAACAAGAGTGTGTAAGTAACAGATACAACTAGTTATACTTGAATTACATCACTCCATTAATCGTCGGTACATATTTTTATTGGTTCTTTTCACATCCGTTCGAAAACTTGAAACACGTAAATATTTTCAGAGATGAAATACATACTGTGTTACATTTACTGTATTATATTAAATATATATTATTGTACCAAAACCAATTAATCGTTAGTAATACCAAAATAGCAGTTACATAATTGAAATAATTTAATAAATGTAACAGCAAGAAGGGAGAGATTCCTACAGATTCAGCATCATATACCAAGTATGGTAGATATAGTCATGTCGGTTTGTTCGTCCTTTGGTCTGCCCGTTCTGTTCGGCGGCAAGCTCTTAGTGACTGTATAAGATCTAGTAGATTAATCTAATTTTGTGTGCAGACTCTTGTGATATTATACTGAATCGAGTTTGCCCCTTCCGCGTCCTCAAATTGTGAAATATTAGGAATTACCAATTTTAAACATTTTTTGCGCAAACACTAGCGTTTTCTGCCAGCTATTGTACTCACTTTATTTGTAAGAGTATATATATTAATTCATATTTAATTACCATTCATGTTTTTTTTCATTTTAATTATCCTCCCTTTTTATTATAATTCTTTATCCTTTTACGAAAACACCATTTGGCTACGACCAGTTAATGGTGCATTTATTGAATGTTGAAGTCTATTCCGAATCATTAATCGGAATATCGATTATACACCCATGCTCCGGTTATCGCAAAAAGTTGCTAATTGACTGTAAAATCGAAAAATTGTGTGATGCGCTTTTCTAAGATTTTTACCATTTAAAGCTTGCGTTTTCTATGTTCTTTCGTTGGAGCGTGGCTCATTTTGCACGCGTGGCAGTTTTTGTTTTTCCTTTTTATTGACTTACTTTTTACATGAAAACCGCATTATAAGCTTCAAAGCAATAAGCTATCGTTCAAAGTTTAAAGACTGAAGCTAAAAAATGTTGATTTAAGTCTGCCGTTTTGCTAAAAAAAAGTAATGGTTATTGCTAAGGAAAAAGATTTAATAAACAAGATACTATTAAATATATATATTTTTTTTCAGGATGATCATATAAAAGAGCTCAACAATATCTACTCAAAAGTTGATGAACGACGAAGGGTAAGTTATGTAACGAATTTGGAGTATTAGACCATTTTTAAAAATGCATTCAACTAGTGTCGACTATTTTTTAACGATAGATTAACATTGTGACGGCGGAATTGGGCATTAAGTCCTAGTCCGTATAGTTATTGGCCAGGTTACAGCCCAGACCTCAATATGGTAAACAATGTCGAGGCCCTTATGACTGGTTGAGTTAGGGGAAATTATAGAAGGCTTTACACGATTCGATGTGTAATAAAAGCAATGCCAAACTTAAAAACAAAATAATTGTGAAATATTGTTTATTATTAATTTAGAGAAAACAAACAACAATAAAACCAAAAAAATTCACGAATCGAATAACGTTTGGGGAAACCCCAGGCTGTAGAAGTAAAAAATTAGTGCGATTTTAGAGTGTGCCTTTTTTGTTCGGTTTTGTTCGAAGCGTATATGAAAAGTTTAATTTTGCTGCCTAGTGTTATCAGTAGACAGGAATATTAGAATCCTGTATCACATCCACGATTGTAAAACGTAAAATTTAATGTGTCTATATTATTGCAACTCATTATACTAACATACCATAATTTCAGAAACGTGATGTTCCCGATTTTCTATGTGGGAAAATAAGTTTTGAAATACTAACGGATCCTGTGATAACTCCTTCGGGGATTACATATGAGCGTAAAGATATTGAGGAGCACTTGCAGCGGGTTGGTCACTTTGATCCTGTCACACGAGTAAAACTGACCCAGGATCAGTTAATACCAAATTTTTCAATGAAAGAAGTTGTCGACTCTTTTATTGCTGAGAATGAATGGTCATTAGATTATTGATTATTATTGTAATAGCTAATACTTATAAATGTGTCAATATATTGCATTTTTTACTCTGATAATAAAAAATGTATAAGTAATTGTAGCGATTTAATTTGCCTTTTTTCGTATTAAAAAAAATATACACCACCAGTCTGGTTGTCTGAGGGATTTTTTTGTTTTTAGTTCTTCGGAGTAGATCCCAGCTCCCGTAGCCTAAACTGTTTTTGACTCGTCAGTGTACCTGGAGAGCTACTACTTCCTGACGATTGTCTTGCAAAGTCTCAAAAAGTTTAGGGATATACTAGTTTTGTGTAGATGTATGAAATAGTCGGAAGGAAGCGCAAAGTACGTAGGCTTCTATGTACATCCGTAGCCTGTGCTTCTTTTATTATAACGAAGTCAAAGTCTCGATTTCCATTTTAAAGTGAAACTTTGTTTGTTGCTAAATAACGTTTAAAACGTTTTCTGGCACCGTACATACATATATCATTTAACGATAAAGGAAAAATCTGTCTTTGAAGTATAAAGGGGCGTATGCACGCCCCAAATTTTTTTTTTTTTAGTCATGAAACATCCCTGGAAACATTTTCGACATTAGGTTTAAGCATCGTTATTTATCATTACATCTTAAGTTTAAGGTTTTATATTTTCATATTAGGGTCAAGTGTTGACATGTGATTTTACATATTTACCCATTTTAATTTCTTATTTTCATCACATGCTGTTAATAATTACACGGCCCGATGTGTTAATTGTCGGAGTGTGTCGAAACTTCCGCCACGATTGTCCCTCGAAGTGACCACCACGCACCACCAATCAGTCACGTGTGGTCCCGTAGATGCTCAGAAGGAAGACTCGTGATCACGATCCCAAATATGTATAAACTCTGTAATTTTAAGAACAATAAATATAGCTCCTTGTACCGCTTAATCCACCTTGTACCGCTTAATCCACCTCTTCTTCTTGTTCAAGAAAATTTCTGTGAACAGTGGCACAGCAAGCAAAAAGGGGAAACCGTGATCACGGCGGGTGGCACTGGGTTTTGAGTATGGTCATTAAATAACACAGCACCAAATAACAATGCAACCACACCAACGTGGAGGGAGCGCCGCGCCCAGCAACGAACTGCAACGTGGAGAGAGGGCAAAGCCCAGCAACGAATGGCAACGGATTTTTATCATTTCTAAATCCGTTTACGAAAATTTTATGATACGAAGCAAACAAACATACAATTTACAAACAAAGCAAAAAAAATGCGTTGTTTCCGAAGACCGGGCTCTAAGCTGTAACTTCTATTGATACTCGTACATTTCCGTTGCATGAAATATCACATTTACATACTGTACGGCTAGAATTAAAAGGAAACGTGCCAACAAAATAATAGGCTCTACCCACTGAGCACGTCCCGGGGGAGCGGTGGGAATTTTTGGCAGATGTGGAACCGATTCACTGGTTGGTACTCATTTAATATATGTCTACGCGCGAAAATTCATTGGAAACCATCAGCTAAATATCGCATAGAAACTTGCGCCTTACGACTAACCTTACCTTGTAGGTACATCTTAGATGGGTGGTGGCATAGCTGGGAAATTTGCGGAGCGGCAAAACCTCACGGACCGTCTATGAAGGAATAGGATAAGGAAGCTGGCCAGTGTGTCTAGGCTATAAGGATATGAAGTGATACATCTATATATTGGTTAGTGATTGGTTAAAAACCTAGCCTTAAAATCTTAGTAAACTTATCGGGAAATTATATTTGCCTGTCCTATCTAAAGTGGTGTAATAGCCCATTAACACTGCCGCGCGTTTTGTATCGATATTGGAATAGATGTAAGGATGGGAACAGGAGTTTACTCTGGCGGAGAAGGTTACGGAAAAAAGTTATTTTGTCAGCTGATTTGTTTGGTGATGAGGAAAGCAAACAAATTTTGAAAATCAAAATTATGGTTCGTTCGACAGGAAAATGGACGAGTGGGACTTTATGCTCATATTTATTCCTCACACCATAAAAACCATTGTTCTTCATATATATTAGACTGTAATCAATTGATTTAGCCGCAGTCATCGATGAAATTTATGGAAATAGACTTCGGCAAGTCATCCATGGCATACAATTTTCAATTTGTTTCATTTCTCAGCTATTGTTTCTTATTCCACTACAGCTGTCTCAAGAGTGTATTTTTATTTCTGGTGTCGGAAACATCCACACCCACCACAAAACTCTTCATAAACTCTTCGAACTTACAAATAAATAATGAAAGGAACAGAAACTTGTTGTGGTAAGTATATGTATGTTTTCATATAGTTTTGATTAGTATATTGTGCCCATTAACAAAAATATATGTACTCTGGTTGAAGGTGTTCGAAGATAGGAAATCTCGTTATAAACAATTGGCTTATTGCGGATAAGCGGAAACGAATTCCTTTGAGGTTGACCGCACCTCACTGAAGCGGACCAAACGGTACAACCTTTTGCATACTGCTCGGGAAAGGATAGGAGTCCAGAATGAGCAGCCGAAAACCAAGCGAGAGATGCGTGGTGCGTCACAACTTTAAAAAATAAACCACCGTTCCCCCAAGATGAAGACTGTGTATTAATTTAAAAAAAAAGAAATAATAGTTGGCTTTGATGCTTTCAAAAAAAGTATTTGACAGTATCATAACCGTATGACATAAGAATTTAATGACTAATTGAAAAAATTGTGATAGGCATATCGGCAAAACGTGAAGTAAATTAAATTAAATTAAATCCCTTTGTGTTCCTTTTTCTACTGTTTCAAATTATCGCAAGCTCTTCCGATTAGAAATATCTAAAACGATATTTTGAAAACATCGAATTAATCGTTTCTATAGCGCACATATAAAGTTATTTCTGCGTTTGAAAGTATGGAAGATCAACAAGAAGAAAACGAACAAGATGTTCGCATTATGCGTTTACAAGATCTTATCGAAAAAAACATTGAGATTGGTAAGTAGATATTTAATGTTGAATGCAGTCTAATTAACGAATTTCAATTTTCTTAAACAGAGCAACAAATTGAAAATAAAAGGTTCGACGACTCAATACTGGCTATAGAAACAATTATTAAAAAATCAAACGAAATCGCAAAGGGACAGAAAGAACGTCGTACAAATCCCACGGAGCTCGTACTAGACTCTGAATTGCTAAGGCGCAATCATGAAGTTGTCGGAAAGGCTATACAATATAACACAAACTTTACAGACCAAATGATCTTTACAGCTATTGTAAGTAGACAACTAATGATATGGTTGTCGCAAAATAACCTTTACTTTGTAAAAGGCGAATTTAGTTTTCAAAGACAAAGATGAAAATTGGGACTCTCTTTGCACTGTTGCTATTCCGTTTGGAATACCGTTATTCACAAATGACAGTATGATAGCCTTCATAGATGTTGCACCAAAACAGCACATTCAGAAGAACCGTGGTCAACGAACACGAAAACCTTTGGTAAGTATGGTCATGAGAATAATTATTCACTAAGTTAGTCGGAAGTTTGAATCTGGTCAATATGTAGATGGAACTATATGTACATACATATGTATGTATGTTCATTATGTAGTTGCCGTGTGCATAGGTCGGGAAAAAGATGTATGAAAATCTTTTTGGTTTATTCTGGCACATTTAATTTAATTTTCATCGTATCTTCAATCATTGCGATTGTAAACAGAGTCTTCAACGTAATAGAGAATGTTTCAAACATTTGATATGCACTTGATGCAGTGTCCACAGGAGTCCAACAAAAGATCCTGTTATTCTAGCTGGTATAGTCTGCAGGATCTAGGCGCAAATCAGTACGGACTAACGGGTTTATCTATGCCAACTATATTTTTCGATTTCTGAGATGAGGGTGATACTTAAAAATTACAATCAGTAATCTTGCATTTATTTCACAGGTGGAAGAAAAACGTCCAACAAAAAGTGACAAGTTGCAGCGCAAGGAGGAAGGTTCAGCATCAGTCAACAGTACGCTTAAACAAATCAGGCAACTGTACAGAACTGGCAACGACCAGCCCATTCCATATTTCAAATTAGTTTGTCACCCTACAAATTTTATGGACTCTGTTCAGAATGCATTGAATATTTCATTTCTTGTTCAAGAAAATATGATTTATATTGAGCCAGGAAATGATAATTTACCACAAATTCGAACTGTTGCCAATCCCAGAAATTTATCTACAAACGGATCTGCTCAGGCAATTTGTGCCATTGATGTCAACTTTTGTCAGGTATGAAAGTAAAAGATGCGAAGGAATATGTAATCTTTATTTGTTCTTTCACAGAAAATGGTAAAGCATTACAACATACAAGAGCCAATGTTGAAAAGATTGGAAAAAGACGATAGTTAATGACATTTTTTATTTTATTAAGAATAAAACAATACAAAACCTTGCTCTCATTGCAATAACCATTTGATTTTTTGACAACGCCATGGTATTGGCCACTAAAATGAAGATGCATTTTATGTCATAAGATAACCTGTACTTTGTATAAGGCGAATTTAGTTTTCAAAGACAAAGATGAAAATTGGGACTGTCATTGAACTGTAGCTATTCACAAACAGTATGAACACAAACACAATACAGTATGATAGCCTTCATAGATGTTGCACAAAAACAGCATATTCAGAAGAACCGTGGTGAAAGAAAACGAAAACCTTCGGTAAGTGTGATCATGAGAATAATTATTCTATAAGTTGGTCAGAGG